CCAGAGGAAGAAATACCAACAAGTTCTTCGAGAAGTACCATTTCACATGATCTCACTTCTACCACCACTACCCCAGATCCGCTGAATGAATTATCGCAGCAGTTGTCACAATTGTTAGCCATTATGACGATGCAACAAAAGGAACAAAATGCATTAAGGGAAGAACTGGCTACGATGAAAGCTGACCGACAGAACCAACAGCTACTCACATCGAAAGGGGCAAGTTCGATCGAAATCGAAGAAAACAAGCCGTGTTTGGAGCCAAAACTTACCAACAACGAACGAACAGGAAGAACCAGGTGTGCGGATCCACCTACCTTCAGTGGAGAACGAGGAGAATTGGACAACTTCCTTGCAGCATGCCACATGAACTTCAAATTCAAAGGGGCAGAGTACGCCACCAATCGCAGAAAGATCCTGTTCATGTACGGGTATCTTCGAGGCACCCCTCAAATGCTTCTAACCCCGGCCATAACCAATCCAAGTATATGGAATTCGACCGAATGGCTAGAGAGCTACGACAAATTTATCCAGCATTTACGAACTCAATTTGGAGACAGTAACATGGCAGGTACGGCTATGAGGAAATTGCAGGAGTTAAGACAGACTGTTACGGCCGCCGAGTATTTTGCCAACTTTGAACTTTGGTCCACACACCTTGGAAAGGTACCCGATGCAATGAAAATCGCCTCAGCCATACAGGGCCTGAAGGAAGAGCTACTGAAAGTGGTAGTGGTAAATCACACCGACCCTCGAACCAAATCGGACTGGATCTATTTCAAACAGCATGTGATAGGGACTGAGGAGAACCAACGGATGGCTGAAACGATGATTGCAGCGAATCGATGGGCTGCTAGACGCAAAAATGAGACGACCTGGCTTCCCCCTCGATCGAATTCGATGCGATTGGATACTAGTCCGCCCAACCCGGTAGAACGCCACTCACAATCGACTGGTAGAGGACCCTTGCCCGGTGGAAAACCAGGGATGATGAATTATGGTCCACCAAATGACCCTCCGGTCACTTGGACAGAGGACGGAGGACGTCTCAGCGAGAACGAAATGACTTGGAGGAGGGAGAACCGACGTTGTCTCAAATGTAGAAGTCCAGAACATTACGCCAACAACTGTCCAAATGGAGGAAATACGAGGAACAACATTAGGGGATCCCCAAACCCGCATAGTTCACCAATTCCTAGTGGATCGAACTTGATCCCAACTGGATACAAAGGGCCATTAGTTCGAGGAATGGCGGTGACCTTTGAAGAAGAGGGAAACGAATACCTGGCCTAAGTGATGCGACCACTTGCGGCCAGGATCTAACAGAATCGCACAAAATTCAACTACCAATAGATCTCAGTAATGACTCGGCTATAATATACATAAAAATACAGACAGAAGAAGATACCCTACGATTTGGAATGTTAATTGATACCGGAGCTACCGGAAGATACGTACAGCCGGCCTGTCCATTATACCATTTATTCCCAAAGAGACAGTATCAGGAACCACGGAAGATCAGGTTCCTCGATGGAACAACCGCCACGTTAGTGACCGAGTATGTAGAAGCAGAATTGGATTTAGGAGAAGGACTCAAAATTGCGACTCGATTGGATGTGATGGCATACGAAGGCCCCGAGGTACTGGTGGGATTGGACTTCTTGAAACAGTTTTGGGCAAGGATCGATTGTGGAAAGGGATTGATCGAGTTCGACGGAATCGGACAGGATAACGGTTGAAAGTATCCAAGATTGGAGGAAGGATTGGTAAGAGGAACGGCGTTGGAAAAAGGAGAAGATGAAATGAGCGAAGAAGAGTTACGACAAGTCATACCGACACAATGGCACCAATACCTGGAGTTATTTAAAGTGGAACGGGCCAGAAAACTACCACCAAGAAGAGAATGTGATCACGAGATCGAATTGACCCCCGGAGCAGAACTAAAACCAGGTCCAATCTACCAACTGGATGAACATGGGGACGCATTCCTAAAGCAGTGGATCAATGACGGTTTGGCCAGTGGCCACATACGAAGGAGTAAATCACCTTATGGATCTCCTGTATTCCTGGTTCCAAAAAAGGGAGTGATTCCCTATCGAGTGGTAACGGATTATCGGGCGCTTAACAAGGTAACCGTTAAGGATTCATACCCAATGCCACTCATCTCGACACTACTCGATCGACTTCAATTAGGAAGGATCTTCACTAAACTTGATTTGAAAGGGGCTTACCAGTTAGTCAGAATAAAGGAAGGAGATGAACATAAAGCTGCCTTACGAACAAGATACGGCAGTTTCGAGAGCACAGTCCTAAGGGATGGGTTGTGTAATGCACCAGCCACCTTTCAGAACTTTCTACACAACATGTTTCACGATCTACTTGACGAAGGGGTAATAGTTTATATCGACGACATCACGGTATACTCCGACACGATCAAAAACCATCAGATAATTGTCCAAAAGGTGTTAGATCGACTACTTGAAAACGATTTGGTCGTCAGTCCGAGGAAATGCGAATGGAGTTCAAATGAAGTGAAGTTCCTGGGGTATGTAATAGGACACGAACGGATCGAAATGGATCAAGAAAAGGTGAAAGCTATTCTAGAATGGGGAGAACCCATGACAGTCCGGGATACTCAAGTGTTCTTGGGCTTTGCGAATTTCTATCGGAGGTTTATCAAGGGGTTTTTGCATATTGTGGGACCTCTCACACGATTGACCAGGAAGGATCAAGCTTGGAACTGGACACAAGAATGCCAAAAGGCTTTTGACGATCTAAAGAAAACATTCACCACAGCACCAGTACTTTGACATTTTGATAGAACCCGACCGACTTGGATCGAAACCGATGGATCCAACTGCGCGATAGGTGCGATAGCGTCTCAAAGATTCCCTCACCCATCAATAAAGGGAACCACCGAACTTCACCCAGTTGTGTACTGGTCTCGAGCAATGACACCCTGTGAACTAAACTACACGGTAGGAGAGAAAGAATTACTAGTCATCATGGACTGTTTGGTCGCCTGGAGGCCCTACTTGGCCAACAGTAGTGATGTTATAAAAGTCATTACAGATCACAAGAACCTAGAATACTTCCAAAGCAAACGACAACTAAATCGAAGGCAGATGAGATGGTTGGAAATATTGGGAGACTTCAACATAGAGATCACTTACCGACCAGGTAGCAAAAATGGGGGAGCAGATGCTCTGACTAGACGAGGAGATTATCATCCGGGAAGAGGGAGTAGCAAGGACCCAGACCTAAACAAAGGTAACTGGCTACAATTGCTACCGACACACGAACAAATTGGATCGAATTCAATGGACTCAGAACACAAAGGACCAAGACACATAGTAAGAGGAGCAATCCGGGAAGACTCATTATTCGGACTCATCAAGAACGGACTGAAAGACTCAGAAGACATAGCAAACATACGACAACTAGGACCACAAATGACACAGACACATAGCACACAGAGCACACAGAGCACACAGAGCACACAGAACACACAGAACACACAGGACACACAGAAGACACAGGCTAGCAACGAGACACCAATAGTATCATGGACACAGAGCGGATTACTCTTGTACAGAGACAGAGTAGTCATACCAGAGGGACAGGCAAGATTAGAAGTAATGAAAGCAAGACACGATTCGATACTAGTGGGTCATCCAGGAAGAGACAAAACTATCACCATGGTCAAAGAGGACTATTACTGGCCACATTTGGACGAGTATATTGCGAAATACGTAAAAGGATGTGAGATCTGTAACCGACATAAGACTCATCGACATCAGCTGTATGGACATCTAGTCTCTTTACCAGTACCCACACTCCCGTGGACAGATATCTCTATGGATATGGTGGGACCCCTACCAAAATCGACCGAGTTCGACGCGATACTAGTGATAGTCGATTGACTAACCAAGATGGCTAGATTTATTCCATGTACAACTGGACTAACAGCGAACAAAGTGGCCGACATCTACATCAAGGAGATCTTTTCAAAACATGGAGTACCTCGAACAATTGTATCAGATAGGGGAACTCAGTTTACAGCGGAAATTTGGAAGGAAATATGTCAGTTCTTAGGAATAAAGAACTTATATTCAACTGCGTATCACCCTCAAACAGATGGACAAACTGAGCGAGTAAATCAACAGATGGAAATCCTGCTCGGAATGTATGTAAACTACAACATGGACAATTGGGATCAACTTCTACCAATTGCTGAGTTCGCTTATAACTGTTCGCCACATAGTAGCCACGGTCTGTGTCCTTTTGAAGCCTGTTACGGCTATGTGCCACACTACGACATCCATTCGCACGATATTCAATCAAAGTCAAACAAGTTGGAGAGGAAATGGAGAGATATGGGAGAATTACATGCGGCTGTTCAAGAACAGGTCAGGATGGCTAATGAGATTAGTGCAGAATACTACAACAGGAGGCACAAGAGTATACCAGAAGAATTCAGAAAGGGAGAACAGGTACTACTGAGTACGAAGTATCTTACGACGGAAAGACCCAGTCGAAAATTAGAAGCAAAATACGTTGGCCCCTTCAAGATCATAAGGAAAGTGGGGAAAAATGCTTTTGAATTAGATCTACCTCCATCAATGAAAGTGCACAATGTCTTCAATGTCACGCTGTTGGAACCATATCCTAAGGACATGATACCAGGTCGACAGATACCACCCCCACCACCTGTAGTAATTAACGGCCAGGAAGAATTCCATGTGGAAGCAATTGTGGACAGCAGAATTCGACGAGGAAAAGAAGAATTCAAGGTAAAATGGTTAGGATACACAGGAAACGCGGCCTATGACTGGGAACCACGAGAAAATGTAGAGGAGTTGGCCGTTTTTGGTGAATTTGTGGAAAAAAGGAAAAGGGACCCCAGAAGAAAGTGAGAATTCAATCAAGATCAACAAGACTGGGTTGGAAATGAATGCATACACAGGAAATATAGCTACAAATAGAGAGATATAATCACACTAGAAATTGGAGGTGGTGGAATTGGCTCGGGGACGAGGGGCCGAAGCGGGAATACGAATGACATTGCGGGGAAGAGGAGTATGGGGAGAAGAGGATGGACCGGCGACTGGTTGAGAGGAACTCAATCCTGTAGGATCACCAGTAGAAGTAAGATGATCCAGAGTTTCATCGGCAGTAGGAGGAGCGTAGTTGGCAGAAATAAGATGGAGAGATTTGTAGAGATCCAGATGTTGAGAGGGGAGAGGAAGGAGAAGGGAGGTAAAGAGATGGATGTAACCCGAAAGTTGGGTCAGACAGGCGGATTGATCATGGGCAGGAAGGGATCGATAACGGACCGAAGCCGCACAGAGTTCGTGCTCCAGGACAAAGGTAACCTTGGAAGTAACCGTTCTTGCTCCCACAACGATACCCTATACATCAACATCGACCAAGTTTGAAGGAAATAGACAGGTACCTCACGAAATTTGGACTCAGGATTGTTGGTCTTCACCGAACATTTTGAAGTACCCTTAGCAGAACATTCACCGCACACACCACCGACTGGATTGCATCAACATCGAAAGAGTCGCAAGAAGAACTTACGAGGGCCAAAACAAACCAACACGAAAGTCTTCACCACCATCGAGACGACGTTGACAATCGGTACAGAGCTCACCCTCTAGCCGAACAACAGCACCATTTTTGTTGCGGAGGCGCCAACCTTGGGCCAAACGATCGAGCTAATGATTAGAATCGATGAAACTCGAGAGAATTCGAGGCTTACAGCGTTCTTAAACCACTTTACAGTGGGCTTGATGGCGTTGGTTTCGCGGAAACGATCCAGAGCTTCGTTCTTCAACGCAAGACAAACAGAGGAGAAGGTCATGCTGGATCAAAGGGTAGCTAACAAGTCAGAAGCGAACAGAACTCGGTGGAAGTCTCACCGATCTCGGAGTCCTTTCAATCCTGGAGCAACTTAACCAGTTTGTCATTGACCGGAACCTTACAAGGGGCGTGAAAAATGTGTCCAAGTTCATGGGGAAGCTCGACAAGTCCCTCTGAATAATCAGACGGTGGCACAGGGGACTTATTACCAGGAGAATTTTGATTCTCGACAACGGTGCCGTGTTCGGATTCGACGGATTTGGCGGGAGATAGGTTCTCACCAGTGGCAGATGGCCCAGCACCCCCTTCGAAGTCAAAATATTGCTCGATGACCTGGTCATCGAGATGAGACGATTGTTGATCGCGAGAAGGACCGGATTGATATCGATCCTTAATGGTGTCGAGAGCCCTTCGAGAAGCGTCAACCGTGGGAGTCTGGGTAGTACCAGGAACTTGGGAAGTAATTCTCATTCTTTTCGTTTGACGCATGAGATGTTCGGGGTCGACGTCGGGTAAAATTGCCAAGGTAGAGGCCCGAGTGCGACGAGAAGACGAAGAAGGAGACAACTAATCTCGTCAGCCAAGTAAGAAATAGAAAGAAGTACATCAACTTCGAAAGGAATTGCTTACAGTGCGCTTATACATGCTCACAGACAGGTCAGAGTTGGAAGGATACGCTAAGATATGGGTAAGATATGGATGGATAATGGTAGATAAGTAAAAAGAACGACAAACAAGAGAAAAAAGAAGGAATGAGGAGGAAAGAAGAAGAGAGAGGTGAGAAAGAGACTTGGTCAGTAATTTCTCAATCACATTGGAGGTCCGTGCGGGTGACGCGTTTCATGGCAACCGTCACACTACGCGTAGGTATGACGTCAGGGCGCACCAAAGGTGTCTCAGAACAATCCATGTGAATCACTTGGTTACAGGACTCAGGATCCTCGCCGAGGATCCTTGAGACAGGGGGGGAAACTTGTTACGGGGTAACAACGAATCGAGAGGATTCTATCAAGTTCGACGGATTAGGACAGAGAAAAGCGGGAGTTGGAGGCAGTGCTGCAGTAGGTAGGGATGGGTTTTCCCCTTTCGAGATTTTCCCCACTGGGTTTGCTCAAAGCGGTTTTTCACCTGTCCGAGTATGTACGTAGACGCTTGCAGCAGGAAGAGGACAAGGACGAGGATATCCGTAGACAGTATATAGTACAATCAGCAAAGTACCAACTTTGCTGATTCTTCAATATCATTCTTTGGCTACATTGATTGCAGAGGAGACACGATCCATTAGCACCAGAGCCCCTAGATTTCCACGAGACATCCATCGAGTTCGACCCAACCTGCGACCTAGTCATCGTGTTTCCAGTACCGTTACATGAAGAGAACAACTGTCAACCTCTGATGCCATACCAGGTAATTTTCTTTCCCAGTGAGCTTGGGCACAGTGTCGAACGATTTGGAGAGATCATTGGACGACATGATGGGGTGATGATGCTGTTATCGAGCGAGATGGGGACAGGACGGGACGAGTTCGATCTAGTCGATGTCAGTTGAGTTCTCTATGTATGTGGTGGTCAGCCGTTCGAACGAGCAAGAAGACAATGACGTTCAAGTGAAGCGACTGTTGGTATAAAACCTAAGGCTCGTTGCACTCCCACTCACACAGAAGGCTAGTCTTCCTGACTTCCTATATATACTCCAGCAGTGACAAGACGAGCGAGGAGGTCGGTCGGTCGAGCTGGTTGAGTGAACAAGTGAACAAGCAATGGGTAGATTATGCTTGCTGAATTCACTTAGTCGGTTAAAGCACGGGTCTCATAATCAGTGAAGACATGAACGAATGAACAAGAAGAAAAGTTTCAATGCGCATAGCTTAATCGATTCCTCCAACACTACCCTCAATGTGATGCAGATTCCTACATACTCGTACTCAAATCACGTTCTCGTCGTACAGATGATGACAGAAGACCATGCCCTAGTCTGATTGTGATCATTTGATAGGCTTTTCTCAGCGGACCCTTCTGTAATACACCATGACGGGAGCCACTGGCTGACGTGCCCTTTCGCAATCCTGCCGGGTCATTAATACGATGCTCTCCGTGCCCTGAGTGCGATCTTCCTTACTGGGATCAAGGCTGCGGTAGTCTCCTGTCTTAAAGCGATATTCTGTGACAAAAAGCTCTTCCCCGGCCAATCTCTGCAGAATGGTCTCCTTGAGCTTGTGCCACACTGAATTCTGAAGCGCATCCATAGAGTTCAGGCTGACAGGCTGAGTAAGCTGTACAGCGGTTTCAAAGTCATCTTGTGTAACTCGTCTCCCCAAAAGAGGTTCACTTCTCCTCTGACTGTTGTCAGGACCACCGTTGAATATGTTTGATATGACCCCTGCGGCATTGGTATTTGGCTCTAAATCAATAATCGTTGCCACCGATTGCTGTTCGCAGGTGCAGAGGTAAAAAGGGTTACCTGGGCCACGCTCCAAAGTAAAAGAGAGCTGGTAGTTGAGATCTGATGGGTCAGGGGTGACTGAGAACCTTATTGCAGGTCTTGCATTGCGGTGATGGTGATGTTGCATGGTGTATACTTAGGTGCGAGCTGAGAGTAGTGTCTCCTTAGAATCTGTTAAGTTGGTGATTTGAGTGTAGAATCAAATTGAGAAAAGGTGTATGTGTGGCAAAGAGAGATCCCCCATACATCCATGTATATATATATGTCTAGATTCTGCATAGCCTTAGAGCCTGGGAAGTACATAGGTTGAAGACTGAAAGTGCTAACTTCTCACCTCAAAGGTGATATTCTAGCCGTCTACATTTCAGATCCGGATCCTTTCTTCCGCTTCTCACGTCATCAAGAAGCCTACCTAGATCTCAAACCTAGAGTTCTCACATTCCCTCAAAGTGTGTGAGAGCCTCTCACTGCTCCCAAAGTGGAAATGTAGTCAAAGAAGCAACCGGGCGTGACGGAAAAGGAGGGCTCGAGAAAGGGAAGATTCTTCTTGATGTTGAGTTTCGATCGCTGAGCGTCCACGCCGTGGTCCTGTACGAGTGGAAGAAAGGATCCTATCACTTAGCGAAAGTTTTAGTGGTACTCGTCCTCATAAGCCTCTAAGAAAAGTTCGGCTTTGAGTGAAGGAGGAAGGTTCATGTCACACACGAATTCGACGTCCATTCCGAGTTTACCGGATTGATGGTTGATGGTTGATGGATTGATGGAATCGTGGGTCCTTTGATGATCAAAGAATGTGACAAAGTTGAGGGTCTTCGTACCTGTAAATGAAGCTTTGTTGGAATCTTAGCTAGTATGATGGGAAAAGTACGGGTAGGTTCTTGATAGAAGGCTAGTAGTCGATGGCCGGTAACCCGTTTCGTGTGGTCTCTCCTTTCGACTAGTCGCGATGGTTCGTTTACTCCACAAGCTTTGGTACTCGTTGCCACTAAATCCATTCTTTTCCGCTTTCGAGAATCATTCTTCTCTTCCTGATTTGGCTACTACCATAACTCATTGTCATGACCACGTGCGTCGAAGTTGCTAGTTCGGGTAATATCCAATCACCTCCATTACCCGCCACCGATAAACACTACCAGCCACCCTTATCTACATTACATTCTCATTCCATGTACATAAGGTAGTGCATAGCTTAGAACAACTTCGATGAATGTATCTTGTCTGTCTCAACATACAAGTTCTCATATACATTTGCCAAACTTATCTTTCACTCCTCGAACTACTTGCTTCGATCCTCGTATCCTCTCGCAACTAGTTCAAGTCCCTACAAGTAGCTTATCACCCTCGACGCAGATCCTTCGACCTTCGGTCTGGTCTTGACATAAGATACATTCGTCTAGCTTGTACCGACTTCTACGAGGTTGCTCTTCTAGTCTCGAATAGTAATCGCTCGACACCTCTGAAACAATGTCGAGCGTCCCCAATACTCCAGGTGGTCGGGTCACAAGATTACACCCTGAGGGTAACGGAGCCTCCACTACTCAAGGGGGGCAACAACCAGCCACCCCAGCGGTTGAATCTACCGACACTAATGCAATCCTCCAGGCTTTAGCTGGTCTAAACCAGAGGTTCGAGGAACAAAATCAGGAGATGGCTAGATTACGGATACAGGTGCAGTCCCTTCAAACTGCTTCCCACGATGGAGGTTCCAATGGACCTCCTTCCCCTACCCGGACAGCCATCCCTCCACCTAACTTTCGTCGTGACGGTCCCCCTCATATGGAAGGGGTTCAACCACTAGCTAATGCGTTAGGAATCCGAACCCCGGGGTTCAACCGTCAATCCCAATCCCCCGCCCCGGGTTCGGGGTTTACTCTCCCCAAACTGCCAATGGCAAACTTGGAGAAGTTCAAGGGGGATCGAGGTAAACTTCCTGCTTTCATCTCCCGCGCTAGAATGATGCTAGAGATGGCAGGTAACAATATGCTACCTGAAGCACAGGTTCTCTGGATCGCCTCTCATTTGATAGAGGATGCCGGTGCGTGGTGGGACGGTCATTTTGCCGAACCGGCCGTCGAACGCCCCGGTTGGACGCGCAAGCCAGAGGCTTTCTTCGCTGAACTTAAAAGAATCTATGGAGATCCAGACCGACACCGTTATGCGGTGAACCAGCTGCGATCTATCAAGCAAGGTAAGGGTTCGGTAGCCACTTATTGGTCGAAGTTCACTGCCGTTATTGCTGAAGTACAGTGGGACGATCGAGCCAAGAAAGACGCTTTTGAGACTGGACTGTCAGCAGAAATCCGCATCGCCATCGCCAGCCGCGAAAACCAACCACATTCCCTCAGGGACTTGGTAGAAGCAGCCATTACGATAGATCGTCATCTATATGGTATTCGCCAGTCCATGGGTGGGAGTGAAGAAAAAAAGGAACCTAAAGAAGGTCAAATCCCTCAGCGTTCGAACTTCGAACGAAAGGGTTCGAACAAGGAAAACAATAAGTCTCCCTCCACGTCTAAAGCTGACCGTGGTGGGAAAGTAAAGTCTAGAGGTCCTATTTCTGATGAAGAGAAGGAGCGCCGTAGGAAGGAGAACCTTTGCATGTACTGTGGAGAATCGGGTCACACCGTGCTGGCGTGCCCCAAGTCGAAACAGTCCGGCCAACGGACACCTTTCAAGAGCGACTCCCGACCCGTCAAGGTTAGGGCTATGACGGTGGACGACGAAGACATGAACTTCGAACTCAACGATTCTAGCTCAGACTCGTCTTCCCAGCCAGGAAACGAGTAGACCCACCTCCGAGCGACGAGCCTGGAGAGCCAGTGGGAACTTCTCGTCATATTTCATTCCTGGCTTTTAGAGTGTCTGATGATGTACGTTTACGAACAGTTAAAACTACAAACACCAAAAAAATTATTAAAACAGAAAATCCGTCATCAAACCCCTCAATTCGAGGGGCTGATTCCCGTTCCAGCCTCCAAATCACAATACCCATCGCTATAATCCACAACCATCAATCCTTAATGACCAGAGCGCTAGTAGACACTGGAGCCCAGGCAGATCTCGTCGACCACACCTTCCTCAAAAAGCATGGTTTTCCTCTCATCCCCAAAGACATCCCTCAAACTCTTCATCTTCCAGGAGGTGTTAAGAAACCCCTAGAATTCGAGGTAGAGTTGAAGATATTACTGGGAGAGGGGTTCAAACCCTATAGTTCGAGGTTCACGGTTGCTGACATCGGCCTAGCTACGGTGATACTAGGGTTCCCCTTTGGCAAAAGAGTTCAGCCTATTATTGATTGGGCGCACGAACGAATTCTGCCCTCAAGTTCCATGGTCGGACCTTCGGTTCGACCCCCGAGTATTTCAATTATAAGTCCGGAAGCTTACGAGCAGGATGTTGACGGACAGAAAGGGGCTATCTACCTCCGCATGACTACGGTGGGTGAGGTAGACCCCAAGGACGTGGTTCCGCAGACCTACTGGGAATTCCTGGACGTCTTCTCAAAAGGGGAGGCGGATAAACTGCCGGAACATCGTCCGTTCGATCATCGAATCCCTTTGATCGAGGGCAAACAACCAACGTTTGGCCCTATTTACTCCCTCTCGCTGGTAGAGCAGGATGCACTCAGGAAGTATCTTGACGAGAACTTAGCGAAGGGATTCATCGTACCCTCGGAGTCCTCGGCAGGGGCGCCCATACTATTTGTTAAGAAAAAAGACGACTCTCTGCACTTATGTGTAGATTACAGACGTCTTAACGAAATAACTGTCAAAAATCGATACCCACTACCGCTCATTGGTGATCTTCTGGATCAGCTCCGAAGAGCTAAAGTATACACCAAGATAGATTTGCGGGGAGCTTATAATCTCCTACGCATTGCGGAAGGCGAGGAATGGAAGACAGCATTCCGCACCCGTTTCGGACTGTTCGAGTATCGGGTCATGCCATTTGGTCTGACCAATGCCCCTGCCTCTTTCCAACACCTCATGAACCACATCTTCCGTGACCTGTTGGACAAAACAGTAATTATATATTTGGACGATATACTGATATACAGTTCTGACCTTCGAACACATCAGTTCGATGTCATCGAGGTTCTTACAAGGCTCAGAGCAAATAAGCTCTTTGCAAAACACGAAAAGTGCGACTTTCATGTCGATCGTGTATCCTTCCTGGGCTACCTCATTAGCCCAGAGGGAGTCAACATGGACCCAGACAAGGTCCAAGCCGTCAAGGAGTGGCCTACGCCGAGGACGGTCAAGGAAGTGCAGAGCTTCTTGGGATTTGCAAACTTCTATCGTCGGTTCATAGCTGGCTTCGCAAAAGTAGCAACACCGCTGCACGAGCTTACCAGGAAGGACATTAGTTTCACGTGGTCCACAGCTTGTGAGTCCGCGTTCCAAGAGTTGAAGGCGAGGATCGGGTCCGCCCCGATCCTTTGACATTTTGATCCCAGTTTACCGCTGACCGTCGAATCCGACGCTTCGGACTTCGCGGTTGGTGCTGTGATCTCACAAAGGGGTGAGGACGGCCTCTCGAGACCGCTGGCGTTTGCCAGTAGAAGTATGAGCCCGGCGGAACTCAATTACCCCATTCACGACAAAGAGTTCCTCGCTATTGTCTTCGCTTTTAAGGAGTGGAGGCAGTATTTGGAAGGATCTCAACACCAAATTCAGGTCTTCACAGACCATAGGAGCCTCGAATACTTTCTTACGACCAAGCAACTCACGAGGCGACAAGCGAGGTGGTACGAACTGATGGCGGATTTCGACTTTGTCATCACGTACCGCCCGGGTAAACAATCCACGAAGCCTGACGCGCTTTTGCGCCGGTCAGACTACAAGCCTACCGATACGGACAGCACCTCGCTGTCCCAAGAACTCAACGCTCACAATTTCAAAGCCCTGCTTTCGAAGGAGCAATTTCTCCTTGCCCTGTCGATCTCCACGCCGACGCAGGTTTTGGGCGTTCCCATCTCTGAACTTTATCGGACCGACACAGAGTATGAAGGATTGCGGGGACAGGTCCCGTCGGACAGATTGTCCATCGACTCATCTGGGTTCCTTCGCCATGACGAGCAGTACTACGTACCCTCTCGTTATCGAAGGCAGGTGTTTGATAGTTGTCATGACTCCTTGGCCGCCGGTCACCCCGGCAGACGGAAGACCTTACAACTGGTCGCCCGTAACTGGTGGTGGCCGACCCGGCGAAAGGATGTTTTCCACCACGTGGACAACTGTCAAGTTTGTCAACAAGACAAACCCTCCAGGGCCAAACCCCTTGGCCTTCTGAAGCCCCTGCCTGTCCCCGGAAAGCCGTGGGCAGACATTTCCTGCGATTTTGTGGGCGAACTGCCCAGTTCGAAGGGTTTCAACGCAATTTTGGTAGTTGTGGACCGCTTCACCAAAATGGCAGTTTTTATTCCAACAGTTACTACGCTCACCGCAGAACAATTCGCCGACCTTTTCATCGAGAAGGTTTACTCTCGTTTCGGTCTGCCCGACACCATTACCTCTGATAGAGGAAGCATCTTTGTGTCACGATTCTGGAAGGCCGTATCTACCTATCTTAAGGTCGAACTTAGATATTCGACGGCCTTTCACCCACAAACTGATGGTCAGACGGAGCGGGTGAACCAATGGTTGGAGCAATATTTGAGGATGTACACAAACCTGGAGCAGGACGACTGGGCGACCCTGCTACACCACGCTGAGCTCTGTTATAATACTACTCCACATTCCTCCACCGGTATGGCGCCGCTGACAGCATATACAGGTCGAACTTACAGAACCGACCTTCTTACACCAGCACTCGATGCAAACACTCCCCTACCTTCCCCACAAGCACACCATCGAATGCAGGCGTTCGGCAACCTTCACAAATCCCTCCAGGGCTACATTCAGAAGGCTCAGGCGGCACAGAAGAGGGCCTATGACAAACATCATTGGGAGCCACATTTCCAGGAAGGGGACTTCGTGTGGTTGAGCACAAAAAACCTGCGGAGCCTCCGGCCTTCCAAGAAGTTGGACCATCGGAAAATTGGCCCGTTCAAAGTATTAGCAAAGGTAAACGACAATGCGTGGAAGCTCGAACTTCCTAGTTCGATGCTGAAAAACAGAATTCATCCTGTTTTCAACGTGTCTCTCCTTTCACCTGCCCATGGCGACACTTCCCCTCAGTCGGAACCTCTGGTCGCACCCATCGAGGAGCCCGCTGATGACGAGCAAGAGTATGAGGTGGATTACTTGGTGGGAAGACGGAAGGCAAAGGTTCGAGGACAGAAGGACTTGGAGGACCAAGTTAAGGTGAAATGGGTGGGGTACCCCGAGGAAGAAGCGACATGGCAGCCGGCGGCTACATCACAAAACGACCCAAACTTCCCTCGCTGGATGACCGAGCTGACAGCCAGATTGAACACCGAACTTAACGGTTCGAACACCACACCACCTTCGCGCCGTCGCAGGCTTCCTCAGCGCTTCTCTAATTAGAGATCCGACGCAATTCATGCTCCTAAGGAGATTCTACACACATACAATCCTTACACACGGTCTTTACGATACACATTCTTTTTTCCTTTTCACACTACTATACGCCTCTTTTCATCACTTTCTCCCTCTCTTCTTACTCCTCTCCATCCTACTCCTTTTTGCCGCCCTAGTCAACGGACCCGCGTGCTCCTCATGTTCGTCCCCGGAAGTCTCGAAATCGGGTTCCCACTCTTCTCCCTCTTCTTCGCTGGGCGGCGTTACCAAGGACGATCGAAGGATTGCTTTCGACCGTCGGGAACGCAAAATCCGTGGAACCTCTTCCTGCACTTCCTGCTCTTCCTGCTCATCTTCCACCGCACGTTTTCGCTTCTTTTCCACGGTCTTCCCCTTCTTCGCCTTTTCAAGCCGGGTAGTGGTTCTCTCCTTTCCTTTCCCCTTCGTCGAACGATCAGGTTCGACGAACACATCATTTGATTCGACGTCCGAAGGGCTGGAAGGACGATCATCATCAGTGTACTCGGAATCAGAGGGGTGTCGGACAGGACGATATCACCAATGGTAGCGAGGGATGGGAATCTTCTTCTTGGACACAGCGAGAACTTCGTCCGCTTCTTCGAACATTCCCGGCACCATTTTGGAGCGATCTAGGTCCTAGTGATTAGCTTTCGGGGCTCGAACGATTTAGTTCGATCAACGAACCTTGGCCATTTGTCATAAATCTCGAATCTCGGTCGCAGCACAAGCAGTTTATAAAGGGTCTCAGCTCATACTATGAGCTGAGCATTGGATCTTTTAGCACAAGAGCTTAGTGCACGTCACCCTTTAGGCGTATGCATTACAGAATGCTCAGCTCCACCATGACCAGGGTTCAACTCCCTGTGTGTGCACATTCTTGAACCCACTTCCTTGTGGCACACAGAGGCTTGTGGCAGTGCCACATTCTGGGATCTAATCTGTCATGGGAAAATCCGTAGGAGGATTTTCGGTTCAGAAATTGCTGGCTGCTGGGACATCAGCCCTTGAGGGGGGGCTCCTGTCATAAATCTCGAATCTCGGTCGCAGCACAAGCAGTTTATAAAGGGTCTCAGCTCATACTATGAGCTGAGCATTGGATCTTTTAGCACAAGAGCTTAGTGCACGTCACCCTTTAGGCGTATGCATTACACCATTCTCGTTAATTCTTTCAACCCCGTCACCCCCAGCTGAGAAAGGGAGGTATTCCCATTGTCCACCATTGACACTAGGATCCCCCCAAGAACTTGGAATCCCCGAAACATGGACCGATGAAACGGATAGGTGATTTTCGGCGCTGACCGGGAGCCATGTTTGCCGGACGAAGCAAGGGAACAGGGACGAGCGGTGAGTTGGCAGTAGTAGCATCTGTTGGTTATCGAACATAAGGGTTCGACGGACAAAGGACTTACTTTCCACCAATATGAATCGTTTCGTCTGGAGCGACAAATAAGGGGGTCATGCAGGACATCATTTTCATGGTGGCGGGGAGGAACTTAGTCTGGATGTTACGGCAACCATCACACCGATCTTCGACATCCACCTCTGCTAGCAAGAGTTCTGGATCCTGTAGCATAGCGAACATCCCATTCCACAGAGCCTGGACGTTTGGGGCACGGCTCTGAATATTGCTCCGGAGATATGATGTCAGGATCTTCGAAGAAGTCAGTTCGATCGTCAAACTCAGTACGGACGACGCACCAATTGACCTCTGGACATGTACGGCGACACTTGAACCCGTACGTCGTGAAAACGGGTGACGGTCGAACCATGGGAGACGACTACAGTCCCGTTGCTGACCGTTACCGAAGAGGGCGAGATCTCCACTCGATCACCAACAGCGACTCTCTTACTCTTGGCGGAGGCGACATAAGGAGTTAGATACCCCACTTCTAGGAGCTCGTCGCTGGAATGCCGCGCAGGGGTGACGGGGGGAAACGGGATTGGTCACGATTCGAGAACGTTCTAGCCTCGAACCTAGTTCTTCGATCCCGGGCAAATCATCTTGACAATCAGCTCGACACCAAGGATACGAACAAAGACACCCACTTGTTTCCTCTTCTTCTGGTACTTCCTGCCCATCTTCCTCTACCTGGTTTTGCTCTACCTCGTCTTCGATGGCGCTCTCTTCTTCTATTTCATCTTCTTCTATTTCATCTTCTTCTATTTCATCTTCCATTTCCATATACTGACCATCATCAGCAGAGTCAACTACGCGATTGTTCAAGCGCAAAAGAAGGGCGGCGGTCCGTCGAGTGGCTGACGACGGAGTTGCGGGAGCAACGGCGGTCGAACCTTCTTGTTCGGGCAACGAAGATTCCGGTTTGACGAGGTGCGGGCGGAGTCGCAGGATGACGTCTGAGGATTTGGACATATTGTGTACGAACGGAGAGTGTTTGTGTGAATGAAAAGAGTTTTCGAGGAAGGAAGGATAAGTAAAGGAAAGTTGGAGAAGGAGAAAGGAGATACAGGAGGTAAACATATTAGAATTGTCAATGAACGTAGAAAAGACAGTCAACGCAGGAATGGATGGGAAATTTTTAGGGGATTTGTCACGGCCGTCGAGCAACTACTTCCTAATAGACCGACGGTCGACGAACCTCGGCTAACTTGATCCTTCTTGATCGATGTCTCACCCAACCGGGAGGGCGCAGACGTCGAAAGGGGTGTAACTACGGCGTACTTCGCCGTGGTTACTCTAACTGGGGTTTTGTTCTACTGATGGCGATGTATCTCGATTTGTAAATAGCTATCTCTATCTATCTTTCACTACTGACAACAATCAAGGATCGCTGAAGAACTTCAGCGATCTTCTCAGCTAATATTGTTTATTCCTCCTAGACGTTCATCCAACCCTCTCGCGCTTTGACGTACTTCGACGCACTTCGTCCAACTTCCCCGAGCCCTCGGCCATCCTCTTCCTCCTTCGACTAACTCCGCCTAACATCGCCGCACTTCTGCCTCCGTTGTCCCTACCTAGCCTAACTCCGCCTAACATCGCCGCACTTCTGCCTCCGTTGTCCCTACCTAGCCTAACTCCGTCTAACTTCGCCGTACTTCTGCTTCCATTGTCCCTACCTAGCCTAACTCCATCTAACTTCGCCGTACTTGGTCTCAGATGTCCTGAGTTACGTGTAGAGTAAAGAGTTAAGGTGTGATAGGGGTTTTGATGGTCAAAGGAGGGTCATTGCTGGTGGAATAATCGAGGTGTCACGACGTAGTTCGTGACAGTCGCCCCCTTCTTTAGCCGCGAACGTCCTCGTGAGCATTAACACCTCTTCTGTGGCAAGAAAACTTAGCAGCGTAGTACCCCCATTCTCCACTTCTCCATAGCTATCCTTCGTCCTTATGCTCTCTGCGCCGCACTTCGTAGTCGGGCCTCCTTTCACTTCACAACCCGACAATGAGACTTCCCTAACTTCGTCGAGGTTTGCCGTAAGAAGCCCTGTGCATTTCGTAGGTGAGACACACTTCCTGAATGGTAGCCGAACAACATCGTTGTTTGTGGAAGTAACCCTCGTTTATATTGAGATAAGACACTATAGCGTGGGAATTTTGATCGTCCCTGGCTTGCCTTTTGTTGATGAAACGCGAAGTTTACCGCATGTTGACGACGAGGGGGGTAGGTCTGGTTATACTAAATGCTGAGCAGTTCGTCGAGCTTCTCTCTTTTCCCCATCTGCTTTCAAAACTTTCTATCTTTCTTACCTAGAAAACAGATTTAACCATCTTTTCGAGTTTTATTTTTCTTTTAAGTATCTTAACGTCATGGCCCCCTCTACTCCCACTACCAACCCTTTCGCCGCCATGAGGAACTTTGGTGGTATGATGTCGTCTGCTCGTGGGTTTTCGTCGTTATTCCCCTTACCTCGCCGAACTTGGCTGACGTTCAGTTTCCTTCGGCGATAGGTCTCGCCAAGTCTCCTCCCTTGGGCTCGGCACTCTCTCTTTGGGGGAACCGTCCGGCGCTGCCTCGCCTCCTCGCTCCGCTTCTCCTCCCGCTGCTTCTCCGGCCGCTTCTCCCCGCGCTGTTTCTCCGTCCGCTTCTCCTCGCGCTGGTTCTCTCTCTCCGGAGTCGGAGCCTTCCGTCGTCGAAACTGGTCCTCCCGGTGGGTATTCTCCTACCACCTCCCCTCGCCGCAGGACGCCCGCCTTCCGTCCCGGTGAGTCTCCATCTATCGGTACTACGCCGAAGTTACTCCTGCTAATTAGTAGACGTGAGATGATCACGTATAATCGTCCAAACTGGCCCTGCCTCAAGGCAGTCAGGCCACACAACAAAGCCCTCCGCTGTGCTTCATGCACATCTGGTCCCTGCTCCTTCTGTCCCGTCTCGTCTGCTCGGGACATCCCGCCCCGTCTCTCCGACGCCTCTCCTTTCCCCCCTCCCCAGACTCCAGCGTCTGTTCCCCGTTCGCGGGTGCCAACTTCGTCTCTCCGGTCGGTTCGCCGAACTTCGCCGTCCTCCCGCTCGTCGCCTCCCTCGCCGTCGCCCTTCGCCCCTGTGGCCGGCCCATCACGTCTCCCGGCTGCTACTCCGTCGGCCTCCCGTCGCCCTTCGGCCCCTCGTCCCTCGGCCTCTCGTCCTTCGGCCCCTCCCGTTGAACCTTCTCCTCCGGCCCACGGCACCCGAAGTCGTCGTCCCTCTGTTCCTCCTGCCACCCCAGCGGCAGCTCCTGTCACTCCTCCCGCTGCTTCCCAGAAGACTCCAAAGTCTTCTTTAAAGAAATCGAAAGGGAAAGGTAAAGAGAAAGAGGTTGTCTTTGATGACGATGATATGGAAGGTGAAACTACTCAGCGTGCTGGTCCCTCTGCTCCGCGGTTGTCCTTCGTCCACCCTCGCATCTCTTTGGACGCTCGTATTCCGGAGGATGAAAAGGAATTTGCTACGTATCGGTCTCTCGTTCTCGGCCTCACCACTCAGCTTGACGTCGCTCGACGTGATACATCTCTCTTGCTTGACTTCTCCACCCGTCAAACCAACGCCTTGAACAACCTTACTGCGGCGTTAGTAGATGTAGTGAACGGTGGGGATTTGAACGAGGAAGCAAGGACGAGGTTAGCGGACGTTTCTCGCCGTAGCCTTACTGAGATAGCCGATGTTCGCCGAAGGCTTTACGACACCCCCTTCCTCGTCACTCCCATGGCGTATGAGCCACCGCCGGCCATCGACTGGTTAGGTCGCCGCAGTAGTTCTCGTGTCCCCGCCGCCGCCCAGACTGCCCTCGACCTCCTCAGTCTTCCCTTCGAGTGTCTTCGGACCATACGTTCTCTGTGGCGGACTCCGAGCATGCAAGCTGCTCGCGATGTCCAGGACTTCGGTGATTTCTTTGGGGCTATGAACAGGGCCTGGAATGCTTCTCTCTCTTCTGCCTTCCCCCCTGACACTCTCGATCTACCTTCAGCCATCGGTAGTCTCCACACCAACCCCGCCGGACCGAGTAGAGCGAAGGAGAAAGGAAAAGGAAAGGGTAAGGGTAAGGAGAAGAAGAAGTGAGCGGTACGTAGCTGTAATCCTATGTTGTATGCAGTACGTTCTACCTCCTAGCCCTCCGCCGTCGCCCTTCCTTCGGTTTAGTAGGATGAAGTTCGTGGAACTTCGCCAATATGTCATCAGCTCCATCGACGTTCTCTACCGGTTCCCATGATACCGAATCGTCTGTTCCTTCGTAACCTAACCATTCTACTAGGTACTCTAACTTTCCTGACCTCTTATTTACTCTAGAGTCCACGATGTCCTTTACTTCCCACGACTCTCCTACGTTATCTACCTCTACCGGGCCAGGTGGTTCAGCTTGCTGACCAGGGAATACTGGAGGATGATGGGGGCGAAGCAATGAAACATGGAATACATCATGGATACCTGCCATCGTTCCTGGTAATTCCAGTTTACAAGCATGAGAACCTACCTGCCGTACTACCTTGTACGGCCCACTTTGCTTCACATCTAACTTCTTCATTGGTCTTTTAGTCTTGATGTTCTCTAATGACAGCATCACTAGGTCACCTTCCACGAAGTTCGGCGTAGTTCTGTGTTTCTTATTGTATCCTTCGGCGTACTTCTCATTAGCCTTCTCAATCCCCTCAATACATTCCTTATGTATTTCGGTTAGATCTTTTACTGCTATTGTAGCAGCAGGTACTTCGACTTCACTAGCCTTAATCTCTTCAGCCCATCGAGGGTGGTACCCATAGTTCGCGTAGAATGGGGTCTTGTTTATCGCGGAATGATGGGTGTTGTTATAAGCAAAGCTAGCTCGAGGAAGCAGCTTCGACCAGTCGTTCTGCTGGTAGGAAGTGAAGATTCGAAGGTATAATTCCAGGGACTGGTTCGTTCGTTCGGTCTGTCCATCAGTCTGTGGATGATACGCAGTAGAGAGGTGTAGCCTTATCCCGAGGCTATCGGTCAAGTTCTTCCAAAACTTCGAAGTAAACTTCGATCCTCTGTCCGATACTATACTCTCTGGTAACCCATGCTGGGCCACCACATAGTCCATAATCAGCTCCGATAGTCCTGATGCGGTTAACTTCGTCGTGGTTGGGATAAATATGGCCCATTTGGTCAATCGGTCCACCACTACCAGGATGGAATTATTTCCATGGGAATTCGGAAGCTCTTCGATGAAATCCATCGAGATGCTTGACCAGGGTTTAGTAGCCACTTGCAATGGTTTAAGCTCTCCATGGGGTTTCTGTCTGTTAGTCTTTGCTCTCTGACATACCGCACAACCAGCGATGTAGTCCTCAACATCTTTTCTCACTCCAACCCAAACATAATCCCTTAGGACTAGTTCAAGAGTCTTAGCCGAACCTGGGTGACCAGCCAATGCCGAGTCGTGTCGCATCTTCATGATCTTTAGTCGAGCGTCGGCGTAGTTCGGCACATAAGTACGACCGTCGAATGCGAGGAAACCCCTTGGGGTCCACCCCCCACGAAGTATTAGAGGGGACGGCGAACTACGGCGTAGTTCGGTGATGGATCCTGGTTCCTGCACGTCATCGTGACACGTTGGATGAGAACACTCAGCGCAAATGACCCCTAATAACTCTTTCCTAACCTCCTCCACTTCTTCATCTTCCTGTATACCAACAATCAGATCCATGGGATCAATAAGGTCACTCTCTCTTACTTCCTTCGTCCCTTGCAAAGCACGAAGTAGGTGTTGTAACCCAGAGCTAGTGCCGTCGAGTTCGTCGAACTTCGGCAACCCTTGAATAAGGTTGCTCTCCTGCACCATAGTACTTCCTTTTCCAGAGTGGTAGTCTGCTCTTCTCGATAGTCCATCCGGCAGTGTAGCTTGTTTCCCAGGTCGATACACCATCTTAAACCTAAAGTTAGAAAGCTCTTCAACCCACCTGCCCTGCCTCGGGCTTAACTGCTTCGGTTCCATCCAGTATGTCAAGTTCAAGTGGTCCGTGAGAACTGTAGTTTCTACCTGTAACAGTAAGTGTCTCCTTCTTCTGAAAGCCTCAACGATAGCTAGTAGTTCCTTCTCGCCTACCGTGTAGTTTAACTGCGCCGCTTGAAACGCTCCTGACTCGATCGCTACCGGATGTTCTTGTCCTAACTCGTTCACCTGCGATATTATGAAACCCCACCCGAAGAACGAGGCATCTGTCTGTAGTAATGTCTTCAACGAGGGATCAAAGTGAGCCAATACCGGGGCCCTACACATTCTATCCTTCAACTCTTTAAAAGCTCTTTCCTGCTCCATACCCCAGACAAACGGTACATCCTTTCTTGTGAGGTCATTGATCGGTTTAGCAATCCTAGAGAAGTTGGGGACAAAACGCCGATAATAACTAACGACTCCCATAAATCCTCTGCTCTCTCTTAGGTTCTTGGGACGGGGAAAAGACACAACAGCGTCGATGTACTCTGGATTACTAGAAACTCCCTCCCGTGAGACCACGAAACCCAAGAAGACTACCGAGTCCTTTTCAAACTCGCACTTACTAGCCTTGACGAACAGATTCGACCTTCGAAGAACTTCGAATACCTTCGCCGTAGTTCCTCTCAATTCTTCCAACGTCTGACCATAGATGAGTATATCATCTATGTAGACAACCACTCCCTTCCCCAACAGTTCTCTGAAGCTTTCATTTAGGAAATGCTGGAATACAGCAGGAGCATTTCGCAGACCATCTCGAACAACAAGAGACTCGAACATACCGTACTGAGTTCTGAACGCCGTCAGGTGTTCGTGTCCTTCCTTTACCCGTAGGAGTTGATAAGCTCCAATCAGATCTAACTTGCTGAAGTACCTCGCTTTTCCTAGCTCTTCGGTTATCTGACCGATCAGAGGCAGTGGATAGGCGTCGGGTATCGTTGCTTCGTTTAACTTTCGGTAGTCAATGACCATTCGCCATTGACCCTTTGCCTTCTTCGGTACCAAGAACATCGGTGATCCGTAGGGCGAATTACTGGGTCGAATTCTTCCGGCCGATATTTCGCGATCTAGGATGTCTCTCAGCGCACTTCTCTGATCTTCACCGAGTGAGTAGAGTGGAGCAACCTTCAGGTTCGCCCCCTCCTTAAGCTCAAATTCCAGATCATACTCCCTTGAGGGAGGTAATTCTTCACCTCCCTTCCTCGGGTTAAACACATCAATGAACGGGTGATATTGTTCAGGAACCACCTGATACAATTCCTCCTGTTCCTCCGGACTCAGTTCATCCTGGTCATCTTTGTCTCGGAGATCTATCGCGTCCGTCGGGGTTGGCAGTCCTATGGCTGCTAACTTCGCCGCACTCGTTGGGGTTGGGATGGGGAGTTTCATCGAGTTGTCTCTTCCATCTAGAACAACCCCTTCCTTCCTCATCCAATCCCACCCTATCACAACATCTGCATCGCAGAGTGTTGTTACATCTAGACGAACAGATCGCACTTCGGCGCTCTTCGTCAAACTAAAACCAACTTCGACAAACTCGGTGATAGGTCCAGCGACACTAACCGAGCCATCAAACATGTGAACGGGTACGCTCACCTGGTATCGTCCCCTTCCTACACCTATCTTCGCCGCTGCCCTAGGGCTTATATACGAACAAGTAGCCCCAGTGTCCCAGAGCGTAGTTAGCTTTATTCCATTAATAAAAATGTCCGATTTAGGTTGATCCCTAGAAGTGGAAGAGATGACTAGATGATTATCGACATTGCATGAACAGGGGGTACTGAGTGGTGTATTTTTGTATGCACAATCCTCTGACTCCATCAGCTGTGTCTCTTTTATAGGTTTGGGAATGGTGGCCGAGAGAATATGGCGGACCCGCCGAGCCTCGCCTACTGCGACAGGTCCTCCTCTTTTCCCTGGTCCTCTCCCATCTCTCCATCTCCCCCAACTGCGTTCAAGTTCCTCCTCTGTCCCAGAGGTACTGCGTTACCCCCCGATCCTCCACCACGTTCGCCGAACTTCTCCCCCCACGGAGGCAACCATCCGACCTTTACCTTCGCTGCCCTCACCGGGCAATCCCTCAACCAATGTCCCCTCTCCCCGCACTCAGTACACTTCCCTTCCTTCTTCCTTGCCTCCCACAGTTCGGGAGGTGGCCTAGGCCATTGTCGGCGAAGTTCGTCGGCATTCGACGGAATGTTCTTGACCTGCGTCGACGTAATATTCGCTTGTACCGCAGACTGCGCCGAAGTTTGCCTCCCCTCCCCTCTTTTCTCCTCTCTCCTCTCCACTCTCTGACTATCCACCACTAACACTTCCTTCACCCCCGTCTCCCTCTTCTTCTCCGCGTCCTTCTCCACCTTCCTTCTCCATAACCTGTTGTCCATGGGAATAACGAACTCCAATAACTCCTTGACGGTCCCAAAAGATTTACCGTGTCTAGCAATTTCATCTAGGAGGTGTGGTTTCAGCCCTTTCTTGGCTCGGTCAACCAGGTTTCCGTCATCAGACCACTTGAGTATCGCCACATGTCGTTGAAAGGCGGAGAAGTACTCCGAAGCTGACCCAGTCTGTTTTAGATCGTTAAGCAGTCGAGCTGCGGTTCCCTCTTCATCCGGATCACCAAAGTTTGTCTTGAGATATTTAATGAATAGATCATACTCCATAAGGTAGTCAGGAAGAGGTCGTTTAGCAAGATCGGGTTGGACGGCAAGAAGAGGTGTTTCGCGTAAATGAGAGATCATGAAGAAGACTTTCTTGGTGTCGTTGGGGAAAAGATGAGAGTTCAGTTCGTAATGGATTTCACATTCCGACAGAAATGCGGTCAACTTGTTCCTCTCCCCTCTCCAGAAGTCCGGGTTAGGCAGTTTTATTCCCTTCCGTTGTTCCCCAACCACGCTCGGGGTCGCCGAAGTTTGCCGTCCCATGGCGTACCTCACCCCTTCTGATATCCCTTCTGCAATACCGCCCACCGTCTCCCTTTCTCTTCTCTGCTCCCACTCTTCCCTACGCCTCCTCTCTTCCATCATGTCTTTGTTCATATTCGCCACCATCTGCATCAAGGCCAATATCACCCCTTGTGTACCTCCTTCTCCCAAGTTCGCCGTACTCCCAGTGTTTTCTGGCCGCGGGGTTTGATCCGATTCAACTGGGGATCCTATGGGTGGGAGGGCATTACCCGAAGGGGTAGGAGGATTAGACGGAAATGGTGGAACGAACTCATCTCCTTGAATTGATCCCCCCACACTATCCTCCGCTCCAAGCTGCTGCCCCATTGCTCTGCTAAGCTCCTCCAGTGCCCTCCTCTCGTTCTCCTCCATCCTATCCCCGTCCCTACTCATTCCTCGCGTAACTCTCCTATCTGGTTCCATAGAATCTTCGTACTTCTCCGAGGTTCGCACGGGTCGTCGGTAAGAGCGATCCTTGATACTGTCACAGCCGTCGAGCAACTACTTCCTAATAGACCGACGGTCGACGAACCTCGGCTAACTTGATCCTTCTTGATCGATGTCTCACCCAACCGGGAGGGCGCAGACGTCGAAAGGGGTGTAACTACGGCGTACTTCGCCGTGGTTACTCTAACTGGGGTTTTGTTCTACTGATGGCGATGTATCTCGATTTGTAAATAGCTATCTCTATCTATCTTTCACTACTGACAACAATCAAGGATCGCTGAAGAACTTCAGCGATCTTCTCAGCTAATATTGTTTATTCCTCCTAGACGTTCATCCAACCCTCTCGCGCTTTGACGTACTTCGACGCACTTCGTCCAACTTCCCCGAGCCCTCGGCCATCCTCTTCCTCCTTCGACTAACTCCGCCTAACATCGCCGCACTTCTGCCTCCGTTGTCCCTACCTAGCCTAACTCCGCCTAACATCGCCGCACTTCTGCCTCCGTTGTCCCTACCTAGCCTAACTCCGTCTAACTTCGCCGTACTTCTGCTTCCATTGTCCCTACCTAGCCTAACTCCATCTAACTTCGCCGTACTTGGTCTCAGATGTCCTGAGTTACGTGTAGAGTAAAGAGTTAAGGTGTGATAGGGGTTTTGATGGTCAAAGGAGGGTCATTGCTGGTGGAATAATCGAGGTGTCACGACGTAGTTCGTGACAGGATTGTGGGAATTGATGGATGGTTTTGATGGGATCGGATTTAAGGGTTCGAGGACGAAGGGATTAGATGCGATCATCGTGGACGATGATTTTTTGGAAGGGGGGATACTGTCATGACCACGTGCGTCGAAGTTGCTACAGTCCACGTCCTCGAACCCGATAGCCCGTAACCCGATAATGCCTCCAACCCGATAGATTTTCAGTGATACCGAGTAGGTTTGCAGGAGATTTCATGCGACCCCGGTACCAGGTACCCGATAGTGTCAAGACTGAGATTATCGGGTTAGAGGACCATTTTTGGTAGAGGAGGGAGAGAAATAGGCCCGCGAGGCCAAAGAAAGCGCAATAGGCTCCCCAAAATAGGCGTGCACAGGGGCTTTTAAGACAGAATAGGTGCGCCAGCCCCGTCTCACGTGACCCAAAATTAAGTGGAGGGTACACTTAAGCTTTTCCTCCAACCCGTTAGGTCCCTCAAGGCGATAGCGCAAAGCCCATACCGAGCCTATCGGGTTAGAGGACGCGGACTGTAGTTCGGGTAATATCCAATCACCTCCATTACCCGCCACCGATAAACACTACCAGCCACCCTTATCTACATTACATTCTCATTCCATGTACATAAGGTAGTGCATAGCTTAGAACAACTTCGACGAATGTATCTTGTCTGTCTCAACATACAAGTTCTCATATACATTTGCCAAACTTATCTTTCACTCCTCGAACTACTTGCTTCGATCCTCGTATCCTCTCGCAACTAGTTCAAGTCCCTACAAGTAGCTTATCACCCTCGACGCAGATCCTTCGACCTTCGGTCTGGTCTTGACACTCATCTAGCAACACTCAATATGACCGAATCAGTTCCCACAAGCACCGACATTTGGGTGATCTTACCCTCAGGCAGGACAATAAGTCTACCTCCGGATAGTCTTGTAAAAGGCTCATTGCTATTGGAACCTTCAGCCTGCAGGGAACTGTTGGGATGTAAGGCAGCAATCCACGTTTGTTGTTTGGGCCAGGATATGGAAGACGAGTATCGTTATCGTTGGTACAGGTTAGCAAAACAAGACCATAACTCTGATAATACGTTTATTGACTATCAAAGTCCGGTTGGGATCAAAATAGGACCACCAATTACTGGCATATCGGATCAAAGTATTAGAGTCTTGACATTGGCGTTTGAGATGACGTGCACTATAATCAGCCTTCGGGCCTCAATACCAAGTAGATCTGACTTCAAGTCAAGAATTTTCAGTCTGAAGCAGAAACTTTATGTCAATTTGAATGGTCTGGGAGATTCTATATCAGAGAAGACATTTTTTGAGGGAATGAAACGGCTGCACTCACCTTTCGACCCAACAACGGTTCGATGGTATGCAAATACTTTGTCGGTGGATCGTAGGTACGATCAGACCTTCTATGACACGGCTGACGATGATCACGAGGTTTGGCAAGATGTCTTTCTTACAATGCTTCTTTGCCCTTGCCACGAGTAAGGTCTTACCCTGGAATCGCCATCTGACTAGTAGAAGTAGGTTGGAAGATGGATGCATGGAGAGAGTGAGCGAGTCGGTCGGACCTTTAGCTTGAGGGTAATTGAGGTAGTGGTAGTCGTTTGCATGATGACCTATGCGGTAAGTTTGAGCAGACAATTGTTAGTCTGGTAGCATACCGCTCACGACACGGCTAGATTTTCCGACGTTCAGATAAAACCTCATGGTGACCATCATTCTTGGTTCTATGCGCACTATCTGATCGTTTCAATCCCAGTCCTACAGGAATGACTCCAACTACTCCTGAATTTCTCCTCTCATCCACGGAAAATCACGGTCGACCCCTCGGGTATCTTGGTATCGAAACTCATGACGACAAGTACACTAATCCCATAAAGAAGACCATCGATCTAGACCCTCTTACGTACCTTCCCTTCCCTTCCCTCTTTGAGTCAAGCGCGATTCCTGCGGGTCTTTTTTGATCGATTGAAGGCAGGGTAAATCTTACAAGTTCTATTGGAATTCTCGATCAAAGGATGGAGATAAGAAAAATCTAGAAGACCAAACACTGGAATTTCTTAGTGACGTACCTATTCCGAGTTTTCAACTCCGACGTCGTCGTCGAAGCCGAATATCACCCCTTCCGCTCCACTTCTCTAACCACTTTGAATCTTCATTTCTGGTAAATATCTCTTCTTATCGAATCTGTCATCTGATTAATTCAATATGACTTCGGCTCTCTTCGCTCTAAGTGCGCGGTATTTGGATTTATTACAGGTTGAGAACGGATCCCTTCCTTCTCATTTCAATGTAATTTGCCATCTAGAAGTTCTACACTCATTTTGAACAAATCTCACTTGCGTCAATTTAGTACTATAGTGACCACTTCGACATGCCGGAAGCTCTTTAGATGTTCTGGTAACTTACACAGATGTTTCTTGGTCCAAAGTTCGGTTGATCCCACCATGTGGATTCGAATCACCATAGAGGATACGACACGATTCGCTGAGATGGCGTCACCGAACCAGACATTCTCGTATGGTGTGGGAGGTGGTAGTGGGAGTGTGGGTGGATCCAGGAGCGATGTTCTGCCGAATAAATCGACCGGCGAACGAGTGTTTCGTGTGGTTATGGATACCGAGAAAGGAGCAAAATCGGACTTGTCGAGTACATTGCCCATTCTACAAGGTTTGAAGGATAATTTGAAGATGAAAAGCTGGATACGGAATGGAGGAAAGTTCTCAAGTGTCCAAGTGAGGCCTGCGCGTGAGTTTGTCTTTCCCATTTCACCCAATACGGAACCATCAGCAGAACAAGCTGGTTCTGTGGCGTTCAAAGATACATTGAGAGAGTTGGTGGGAGATGAGGTGAGAATGATCTCGGTGACATGTTATGCCAGGATGGAGATGTCAAACGGAAGGAAAACGTTTCATCGTGAAAGCATCGGCATTGCCCATCATTCATCGATCGCCCGTAGCGGCATCGACCACCACGAGTAGCGAACTCCGGTGTACTGCAGATGGTTTCGGGTGCGCACAATATCAAGATACTGAGGGGAGTTTGACGGTATGATGGAATCTGAATTTGAGAGATCTGTAGAACAGCGCCCCAATGACATTGTCAGTTCCGATTCCAAATGACAGCACTCAGTGAGGATAAACCAGATACATGTCGTGTTTCCACTGATGTGATCATACTGAATACCTTCCTCCAGCGGCGATATTTCGATCTGCGTTCTGCGTCATCAGCATCTTCACTAGACTCCGAAAGGAGAGAACTCACATTGAGAGCAGCAACTGATGCCTCGACGATATTCCGTCTGATCTCCTCGACGGCCGCATGAACCTTCATCTCGTCGTTGGATTCGATCAACAGATGTAATTTCGGTTCTCCGCCGGGAGGTGGTTCTTCCCCTGGAGGATAGTAGACACCTGCAGAAAGTTAGCATCTTCTCGGAACTTCGTACCTATACTTTCCACCCATGCGGTGTTTATGTAGAATAATGTCTCACCAAGTGAGAAGAGAGAAATTGGAGAAGGGCAACTCTGAACTCACCTCTCATCGTCACACTTGCTCCCGATATCTCCGCTAACAACGTCATTTGTTCCTTGTTCGTCGCCTTCCATCTAGCCTTCTGTGGGAAATCGTTGATAGGGAAGATAGCATGCCAATCCGTAGCATCGGGATCCTTGGTTTTCTTCGGAGGATCAACAGCGGCTGCCAAACCTAATTTCTCCGCTTTTGTCAACTCGATACTCGCCATGAGTTTTTGCACCACCCTCGTCAGAGTTTGAGCTTCCGCCGTACGACCTTCTTTCCTCGCCTTCTCCAAAGCTTGGATGGTTTGTTGTGGTAAGGACAATTTGCCTTTCCCAGTGACGAGAGGATTGAAGACTTTGTCTGGTGCAGGACCATGGACGATATCCACGACGATTTCGGAGAAAGTATAGTCCGTCTCTCCCTTGTGATTGTTCTCAGGAGGTCGCCATTCAGATGTGGTTTTTGGTTTGTAAGGAATGACAGCGCCTTCTCGGGAGGATAATGAGAGAGCTTCGGAAGTATCTCCGTAAGTATGTTTTTCTGTTCGATCTTTCTCTTCTCGACGTCGCTCGATACGTTCCAAACCTTTGCCTTTGAACCCAGAACCGGCAGCTTTGGCAAGACCAGCTTTGATTTTCGCAAGATACGCTAGTTATCAGCTATGCTATCTTGTTTCACCATGGTAAGATGAAGACTTACTATTGGACATCTCTTTGAGCTCCTTGGGGACGATAGCGTTTGAGGCTTCGAGTGCACGAACGATGTCCACGGAGAATTTCTCTTGATCCGGACTTATGAATGTGATGCACAGTCCCTTGTTCCCAGCTCGACCAGTTCGACCAGCCCGATGCACGTAGTCTTCTAAGTGATTTGGAGCGTCATAATTCTGTGAAAGTCAGCACCTCTCAAGTATAATGACAAGAACGAAAACTCACGACCACCAATTTCAATTCTTTCACATCCAATCCTCTCGCAGCAACTGACGTGGCTACAATCATCGGAACATCACCATTTTTGAAATTCTTGATGGCCTCATCTCGATCAACCTGCTCTTTCCCACCATGCAAGGAAGCGCACACATAACCTCTCTGCAACAGCTCACGGAATAAATCATCCGCTGCCTCTTGTCTGTCCACGAAGATTAACGTTCGCACATCGTCTTGGTCCTTGTTCTCCTCGCTCAATTCTCCCAAGATCTCCAAAAGACGGGTGAATTTACCGTTGGAATCTCGGACCTCTACCCTTTGGTCCACTTCAGGTGCAACGACCGATCGTCCACCAACAGTGATTTCGAGTGGACGAACGAGGATTCGTCGAGCTAGTGATTCCATAGTTTTAGGGAAAGTGGCCGAGAAGAGGACTTTTTGTGCGTCCGGTCGGGTGTTGTTGATGATTTTCATTACTTGTGGCTCGAAACCCATGTCGAACATTCTATCCGCTTCATCGAGCACGATATATGTCGTTCGTCTGACATTGGTCACTCGACCACCATTCGCAGTCAAAAGATCGATCATCCTTCCAGGGGTACAAACAACGATTTCGGCACCCTTTTTCATGAGGGCGATATCTTCCGAGATGGTCACACCACCGACACAGCATGCCACACGTATATTGAGAGGTTTGATGAAGGCTTTGCATTCGGTGTAAATCTGCAGCGCTAGCTCCCTCGTGGGCGACATGACAATAGCGATCGGACCTTCAGCACCGCCGACTGGTCGTTGGTCTTTTACGTGTCGGAAGAGAGGAAGTAGGAAAGCCACGGTTTTTCCAGAGCCAGTCTTGGCGATACCAATTACATCTCGCCCAGACATGATGGCTGGTATGGCTTGAGCTTGAATGGGAGTAGGGTGTTCCCACCCTTTCGACCTAATGACATCTAGACTACAAGATTCAGCATCGTTCATGTCGCATTTCGAAGACACTCACCATCCACTGGGCAGACCAAAAGCACCCCAGTTCCTGACCGGTCGTGGGGCATCCTGTCCTCTGATTTTGATACCGTCCATCATGAGCCTTACCATTTCCGTCTCCTCTTCGTTCATCTCCAACACTTCCACAGGGGGGTTATAGAATGCTTTCCTGAATGGCTCATAATCGATCTTGGAATGATCAGGAGGCGGTAGATCTTTCTTTCTCGACTTGCTGGCAGCGAGTTGAAGCAAAGCTTCCGCTTTTTCCATCTCTTCCTGAGCCTTGCTCTTTATTTCCGGTTCATCGTCTTCGCTCTCGGGTTCGAGTGCAGTCACACCCAGACCTAAACGTTTTGCATCGGCCACGTTGGTCTTTCGTACTTCTTGAACATTTTCTCTCATGAACGCATCCAATGGATCCTCCTCTTCTTCCTCATCGACATCCATCTTGACTTCCGGTTTCGCTTCACCATTCACATGCTCCTCTCGATTCATAACAGGCTTCTCATCTTCCTCTTCAACATCCTCAGCCGCCAAATCATCTCCGATAGCCTTTTGATCCGCCGCCTCGCCCGATTGAACCTCAGGGACAATATCAGGTAGGTCCAATTTGGCAAGCTTACGCTCGGGTCCATCTTCATCATGATTCAGAGTCTGGAGAGTCCGCTTGGCTTGCACCGTACCAGGTTTGAGTGGAAGACCGATTCGGCTGAGGGCAGGGGCAGAGAGGGAGAACCCGAGTCCAGTGGGTTTGGCCGGTAAGCCACCTGCACGATGTTGAGCGGGACGTCACAGATAATTATACAGAAACTACTCACTTCTTCCGACAGCACCAGAGGGTTGGATGACAGGTTTGACATCGACGACCGGGGTAGGTTCAGGGGTAGCAGAACCCAGTTTTCCAGCTTGTTTCTGTAATTCTCTTTGTTTCTTCCAAGCTTCAAGTCTTTCTCTCTTGATACGTTGTTTTTCCTCTTCTGTCTGAGGCCCAGGAGATCTTGTTGGAGATGCAGAACCAGCAGGACTGAGTCTCATATGAATCGGAGGGTCGTATCACTCTGACTGATTTCCTCTCTGGTGAGCGAGTACGAGTTCGTTCCCTTTCCCTGGGGGGAGGAGAACGTAATCGAGGAGGAGCGAGACGATCGTCCCTTGAATCTCGATGTCGGTCATCAGAATTATCACGTCGTCTTCGATATCGATCATCTTCAGGACTTCGACGTCGGTCTCTATCCTTTTCTTTATCTCTGTCTCGCTCACGATGACGATCCCTTTCTCTATCTCTTTCCCTCTCACGATCACGGTCACGGTCACGGTCTCTATCCCTATCCCTTTCCCTCACATCTCGCCCCTCTCTTACACCTCTATCATCCCTTCTTCTATCATGATCGCGATCTTGATCTCTTGCATCACGGCGTCGTTCGTCTCTGTCGTCTTGATATCTGGCTGAACGTCGGTCGTCAGGTCTTGTCGAACTCTGATGAGAACGATCATACCTTGTTCCGGGAGAAGGAGACCTGTATCCTGAACCTCTTTCCCTATGAGAGGATCTTCTTGGGTCTGGAGACCTCGACCTGGGAGGAGATCTTGCCATAACGCAAGGACAAGAGACGAAGGATATGTCAAGTATGAGAGACCGAGCGAGGAGGGGTGGCAAAGGGTAAGTAGCCAGGGATGGGGAAGGAAAGACGGAATCAAATTTGTCCCAAAGATGTGAATGTGGCACTTTTGTGTTTCACCCCTTTCGCTCACCACGTCCACACAAAATAAGTACAAGTCAGGTCTACACAACCAGTCACCACCAACGAGATACTTTTAGAGAGTAACTTTACAAGTATGACAGCCTCACCTGCACCATTCACCATGCTACCTCCTGGTTATCTGGAATCTCAACCACCTCAAAGGGAAATAACCATGCAAAATCTTCTAGACACTCAACAACGACTCTCTGAACAAGCTCGAGAGGCGTTACCCTACGCGTTCGATGAATGTACATATGACAAGGGATATCTAAGACAGTCCATATGGAGTTGTTTAGACTGTGGGGAGAATGTTGGAGTATGTTATGGATGTTCTATAAGTTGTCACTCTAGTGAGTACTTTCCCAGTTTTCCTGTCCCCTCTTACCCCTCATCAAATACAACACCAAGAAAGTCGCGCTTGGTTTCCTTCCCCTCTAAAGATCGAAGTTTACGAAAATGTGAAAGTCAAGTCTGATGCTCACGTCAGATCATAGATTAGTAGAATTATGGACAAGACGTCATTTCAAATGTGATTGTCCAACTTCTTCTACCTCCAATCGATGTACTCTGATCCCACCTCATCGACAACCTCAAGATAAGAACGAAGAGAATTGTTATACTCATAATTTTCGAGGAAAGTTCTGTCGATGTGAAAAACCTTACGATCCGGAGACAGAAGAAGAAGCAATGATAAATTGTATAGGATGTGAAGATTGGTATCATGAAACATGTCTAAATCTTCGTCCTGTTTTGCACTCGTTAGGCCTACCTCCCATCTCGTCGACCTCATCACACGATTCGTTAGATCCCACAAGAAACGATCATGGTCACGACGATCGACCTTTGGATGTTACAGGGATAGAAGAGGAGGAAGAAGATGTAGAGGAGAAAGGAGTTTTGATTCCTAGTGATTCTTATGATGGACTTATTTGTGCTAGATGCGTAGAGGGTAATGCGTTTTTGAGAAAGATGGCGGGGAAGGAAGGATGGATGGTCATAGAACCGAACGAGACGGATGGGTTTAGAATCATCGGTCAAAAGGATATCACAAATCAAGGGAAATCACAAAATGGAGTAGAACATGGTGAATCGAAAAACGACTCCATAACAGAATTGCACGCTCAAGCAGCCGACTACGTCAAATCCACTGAGGCGGATATAGACTTCTTGAAGCCAGACATGATGTTGGTTACCATACCTTCAGCCAGGAAGAAGGGACATATAGAGAATGGAGAAGAATTAAATTTGAAAAGACCTCATCCTGATTCCAATCCCGATGTCTCATACAAAAAACCCAAACTTGAAGATATCTCCTCTGAATGGAAGTGGGAGAAACGTCAAGGAAAAGGTGATATTTTCTTAGCTCACGACATTCGTACACAATTGCAAAATACATTAGACGTCAGTTCTTCTTTTCCCCTCTCTCCTTTCCCCTTTTCGTTCTACTTCCACCACCTCAATAACTTAAACCTTTCCGTCATACAATGTCAATATCCCTCAAACTGCTCTCGAGTCTCAATACTAGTGATCTGGTCGCTCAGCTGTTTTGAAGAACTCATCATTGAAAATTGTCGAATACCAGTACCAAGCAAATAGAAGGGTCAATATAATACAGAGCGATACTGATTCACAGAAAACAATAATAGAAACACTTCCCTTCCCTTTAGTAGATGAAGAAATATACGAACCACCTCGTGAACCTGATGAACCTGAAGAAACATTAGAACAAGTGACAGATAGAGTTATCTCTACTCTTCCTAGAGTTCAAGCTATAGAAGCTTTACATGGTTATACAAAGATGAAGTGAGACGTTCCTCCCTTTCGCTTCACCCCTCCATACATTGTATCGTTTCTTACCAATTCACTGCTTTATCCGGCGGATCCCTCTGGAGTCACGGGAAGAAGGAAGAGTGGAGAAGGAAGAATTCTTATTGATATATCTTAGAACACGATTACAAACTTTGCTCGCTCAACATGCATCACGAGGAGAGACAGTAACTAGAGAAACTATTGAATCTTTCTTTGAAGATCTTCGTCGGAATTGATAATCTTCTTTTACAACCAACGTATTTCCGGAGAGTAAAATATTTCAGTTTACTTCGTACATCGCTGAGCTACTGTGTAAAGGGGAAATGACTTGTTATACGACATGGACCCTGAGTCAGTCCGGACGGGGGTCCTAGGGCCGGTCCGGGTATCATGTCGATAACCGAATGTACGAAATTGTGACTCATGCTGCCACCTGAACGCGTTCCAACAATTCATCTCGTTCACTCTTCTCTGTCTTAACTTGCTAACTGCTGCTAATTCTTGCTAATTTGTGCTCATTTTTGCTAATGTTTGTGTTGATGAGAGCTCAAGAGTAATTGATGCATACATATAGAGATATACAACAACTTATGTGTCTTCGGAGGGAGGGGTTGCTGCGACAGGGGCACGACGACGCTTACGGGGAGTATCGGGGGCAACAACACCTTCGGGAGCCATATCAGGCAAATGAATCGCCATCAATTGCTCAATATTAGATCTGATATGTTGACATTGATATAAGATAGTTTTCGGTTCCAATTGATAGTTATGTGTTGCTAGAAAATTAGCTTTGCAGTTATATTTAAGAACGAAAAGTACTAACTCGCTAATTCAGCCTGGATCTCGATAGCTTTCAATTTGCCCAGCTCTTCTCGCATATTTCCCGCAAAACTCGCCTGATCCAAGATGTATTCCGCCTTTTCGACAAAAGTACAGCGAGCTGTCGTACCCCTCGCGATACATTCGGTACATGCTCCCGTAGGGAGCTCACCGACGGTTACACAGCCAAAAGAACACAACTCCTCGCGATTTTGACGAACTTGACACAACTGACAGCTAAATGTTCCCATTCTGACATGAGAATTAGGCGATACAGCGTGATTATACGCCTCCCGGTAATTTTTATACTAATTGAGTCAGATAAACACAACTTTGACAAAAATTGACTCGAAAGCACTAACTTTTGACGATTCATTAGGAGAAATTCCAATCTTAGGACCTTTATCTCCAGCTGCAACCCGAAGAACCTCATTACGACCAGTATCAGACCATTTCCGTAGAGGATAAGCAACGATACCATCCCAATCGAATTTGGCGCTCCACTCCGCTAATTATTAGAATTAATTAACCTCTTAACGTTGAAAAAGCAGCAACTAACGTGAATCGGGCTTAGACGTAACAAGTTGTTTCAAAGTAGCAGGAGAAATAGGTGTGTTCGACATGATATCTTTTCAAGAAGCTTAAAATTCAAATGTCAGTGTGGTAAAGTAATGTAAGACGTTAAAATTTGAAGAGAGGTGGGGAAGAACTCATGACAACGACCTGGTATATGTGACAACCAGCAAATTGACCATTTCGCTCTCCTTGACAACCAAAGGATACTTACCCTTGACAACGACATGCATACCCTCGTTTTAATGGTTTGAGGACGTAAATTACGTTGATTTACAGACCCTGATTTACACTGTCTCAAGTCTATCGTTTTTAGCACGTCTTAATTGCATGAAACCGTAAAACGGATCAAATTGTTGATTCCTGCAGGGACGTTTTCTGAACAACGACGTGGTCCTAATTCCTGCAGGTTATATGTCCGTTGTGAGGTTTCATACTCCTTTGACTGTTCTACAACGCCCTTGGCTACGAACAAAGAAATTTTAACCACAGTTAGCACTCACGAGCAATAATTGGCAGAAAGAAGCAAAAATGAGCAAAAATTAGCAGGAAATTGCAGAATCAAATTTATGCAAAGGTAATGCTACACGAGAAGATACATTACTGTACAATACTAAACAGATATGAGTTCTTCGGCAGATGCTTTACTCAACCAATGTTGTAAGGCGTCTAAAGATGGATTTGGTAAAGTATGTCTATGTTTATCCCAAATCTTCGCTGCTTCAACATCTTCTATTGCTCTTGTCTCACCTAAACGTCGAACTGCTCGAATAATGCTGATACGTCTCCTATAAAAACGTTTTTCGGTCTCGCTTGCATTCTTCAGTCCATTAGGGTTATCTTCGTACTGACTTTTGATTGATGGGCGACCATTAATGCCAAAGAGATACTCTTGCCATAGTTCCTGAACCGTTTGAACTGATCTACTCATAGTAAATGGTAATAGCAGACTGGTTTGGATAGAGGTTTGAACGTTTATATTGTGGGAAGATGAAGATGTAGTTGCCAAGAACGAGTTTGTAGTAGAAGTTGTAAGCTGTTCATTTGGCAAAGTCGTCAATGAAGTGCTTGCTTCGTTTGTATTTGCCAATCCGGAGTTCGAAGACTGGTTTTCACGTAAGATAGACTGTAATATAGGCGGAAAAAGGAGTGGACTGCTAAGACCGTTTTGTATTAACGCAATTCCATTCAAGACGGCTTGAATTTGCTCGTTATTTTGTCTTTGGCTTTTATTTACTTCTTCAATGCGTGAAACCATATCATGTGACGTTTGTTGTTGTGCTTGAGCTTGAGTTTGTAGAATGTCGTGTAAAATTGGCAAAGCTTGAGCAATACGATCATCATATTTGTTTTCATTGGCAATCGTTCTAGTAATCGCTTGTTCTTCAAAGGATAAGAACTCTTCGTCTTTGAAAAGAGGATGATTAAAAATGTAAAGCGATGGAAACCATTTGCGAACGTGTACAATATCTTGTAGAAATGATTCACGGAGATGACCCATTGTTTGAAGAAACATTCGACTAGTAAGCTCTTCTTCCGGACGTACGCTAGAATCGAGAATTCCTATCCTTTGAGAGTCAGCAAGAGCACAAAATAGCAAAATTTAGCAAATTTTAGCACAAACTAGCAAGAGTGGGAATCAAATCGCGATTTAAGCTCACCATTTCTCAATTTCAGGAAAAACTTTGCGTAGAAGGGTTGCAGGAGGCGAAATATCTCTCGAAAGAAAGAAACTATTGCCCTCAATAGAAAAACCAGCAAGAGCTCGCACCGGTCGACGAGGAATATGCGTTAAATAGTGATTTTCTAGAACCGAATGTGCCCAATGTCCGGCTCTTGCAATTTCCTCTGATGTTGCACCCCCTTGTTCGGCTAAACGAGCACCAAAACGTCTATTTATATGTGTTTTTTGATATGTGTGAACGTTGGCGGCATGTAGCGCATCACTAACTGCTCTTCGTTGAGTATCGTATGAAATCGGTTTTGTTCGTAATTTACCATCACATAATAGTGGTAAATCGTACCATTTAGCTCTTGCTGACATATCTGGAAATCCTGCGGGTGAAGAGCCACAATAAAAGCTAGAATTTAGTATATATCGAGAACTTGGGTTTAAATACGGCTTACCGTGCAAATAAGTAAAGACTTAAGTGGAAGACAGGACATATTCTTAAATCTTTATTTCTGATAAACGCAGTGTACTGAGGTTTACCGGAGGAGTTTGTTTTGCTTGATTGTATGACCAATACAACGAATAAACAAGACGTCGGGCCTTCTCTGCTAGAAATTTCAGAGGATATGTCCGATAAGAGTAAACTGCGCTGGTTATCACCTCTTAACATGCCAAATATTCCTAATGATTGCGCTAAAGCATCTCTGATACCCTCTTCGTTATTTCGAGCCATGTAATGCTCAAAAGAACGTTTTAATTGCGTTGTACTTTCATAGCCATCATAATAAAGCTCTACTTATCAATGCTGACCGTTTTATAAGCAAAATATGTGCACTTACGTTTTCCTTTGTCGGCGAACATTAATCTCTTTCTACGTTGGTCAAATTTGATTAATATGTTCACAATTGTCATAACGTAGATGCTACGGGGCGAAGAAGTCTTGTTGATTCCTCTTTTTGATTGTTGTTGCCAGAGATTAACAAGAGCAGCGACCCATGATAGAATAGTGCTAGGACTAATTGTACAATTTAAGATAACGTCTAAAGCTTTGACTATTAGCTATTTACTGTTCTAGAATCAGTGATATTTACCTGATTTGGCTGTATTTTTGGATGAAGACGGAACTGTTTTCAAAAGCATGTCGATTTCTGCTTGAGTTTGATGTAAAATTCGTTTTTCATCATCATTTGAGACTTCCTCGAGGCGTTCCTCTACCGTGAGTTCTTCTGGTTCGATTTCCGCTTCATCTAGCATGTTGTTGTCGATTTCAGCAGCAGAAAGTACATGTTTTTGTTTTTTGCCTTTTCCTTGCAAAACAACCTCATATAAAAACAACAACGCATGTTGAGGAGTAACAATGTCGCTATAGATCAGCTGACGTCCTTTAATTGTTTACAAAGGCACCTCCTTTCTCCATCAAACACAAGTCCGCTCAAAATAGCACAATTGAGCAAGAATTTGCAGGAATTAGCGAATTTGAGCAGGAAAGAGTCCTTTACTCACCGTTCAAAGAAGTTTTGCTTATCAGCCCACTCTTTCCACCTTTGTTGTCGAGGTCTGTATTGTTTTCGACTGTTGGAAGACAAAATAAACTCTCCTAGCTCCACTGTTTCGTCTATAACATGTTGTGCTTGTGGATTGTTATAAGGGTGAGTTATTTCTGAATGTGGGTTACTTTTAAGATGACGAGGCATAGTGATACTTGAATATAGAGACTTCAGCAAAGGATTAAGATTGAACGAAAAGAAGAACTACTTCAAGAGAAGTTGTATCATTGACTGCTTGGAAAAGATTACTAATGCATTAAGAAAACAATGTCGTATAACTAAAGGGCAATTGGCAGTATAACTTCAATTATACGACATAGCTCTTCTAATTGAATTAGGAAATGCAGGCGGACTCATTAGGACGCAGATTATCAAAAGCGGGACAATTGCCACTTTGGGGAATTTTGGGCGGACCGAGCCCGTCCGGGCGGAAGCAAAGTTTGGCTGGGACGCGCGGACGGACGCGGACGGGTCCGCCATATAATGATAATTATCTTCAGATCAAAGAAATCATTTAGAGTTGTATCTTCGTAGAGATTTGCAAATGCAAATGCATCAAATTGCCCAACAAATGTATATGGATGGTTAATGTATGCATTTTTGATCGTCAAAACTACACATGTAGATCTATCCCTCCACCTTCTCCACATGCACAAGTCGAACAATCATCATCATCTTACTCTCTCACATTCCAAGTCCGTATCGAATCCGAGGATGGTATAACAATTGGAAAGTAACGATGCTACGGTGGGTGATCTGGGGGAAGAAAGGGTTTACTGCCCCAAAACACTCTTGTTTTCAGGACTAAAAGCCATTTCATTGATCATCTCAATCTCCGACTTGTGCGCTTGTTTACTTCCTGTCGCTACTGATGAAGAAGGTTTTCGACCGGCGTAAATCGGTACTTTTCCTTTATGATGTTCTGTTTTTTGTAAAGCTGTGATGAGACGAGGTTGAACGTATGTCCATGCACCGTTGTTGAGTGGCTGGGATTAGCATTTGGTAGGCGTCCAACATTTTCGTCTTCCTCCTTCACAAAAAAAGTGACAGTGAGAGATAAAGGGACAGAAGCATCAGATGTGCAACATAAGGAAAGAAGAGGAGACATGATACGACAGGTTAGAGGGAGCGTTATGGATTAATAATCGGTACTGTATTAGGGGGGGGGGGAAAGAGATACGATCAACTCACCTCTTCTTGTGCCCAAACCAAATCGGCATTGGGATATTTATCCAAATGAGGAGTTATCAACTCATAAGGTAAAGGACTAAGTTGTTCAACTCTTGAAATCACAACATCCTTTATACCTCTATCTTCTCTTTCTTTCAATAATTGATAATATACTTGACCGGTACATAAAATATGTCTTCTGATTTCTTCAGGTTGTACCAATTCTTCAGGATGAAGATCAGGTAAATATCTTTGGAAATGTTTATCACCTGTCATTTCTTCCAATGTACTTCTCGCTAATGGATGTCTCAGGAGAGATTTCGAAAAGAAAAGGATTAAAGGTTTACGGAATTCACGTTTGTTTTGTCTACGTAAGACGTGGAAATAATTGGCTGGAGTGGTAGGGTAGACGACTTGCATGTTACAATCTTGATGTTGACGGTCGAGTTTTTCAGGTGAAGGATAAATACGAGGTTCGTCATCACATAATTGAAGGAAACGTTCTAATCTACCTGAAGAATGTTCAGGTCCTTGACCATCGTATCCGTGAGGAAGGTTGAGGACGAGACCTGTACGTTGAAGCCATTTACGTTCACCAGCAGCGAGGAATTGGTCGATGATACATTGAGCGTTGTTACTATTGGTCAGTGATGCTATACGAGACTAATTATTTTCCAAATCATACCCCAAACAGCACAAGTACTGTACCTCACGTGTCATCAGCAAGCTTATGAACGGGATAAATCAGGAGAACCAGGTAAAGAAGGGTAAGGAGACAAGGAAGAAACCTTTGTACTCACGCAAAGTCACCAAATTGAGCCTCCCAGATAGTAAGGGAATTAGGCGAAACCAGGGAGTATCCCAACTCAAACCCAAGCGTTCCAAACTCGGACAGATGGGAATTGGTAACGGTGAAAGATCCTTGCTCCGATCCAAGATGTTGAAGAGGAACGTAAGTCCCCTCCGTTTCCTGATCATGCACCACAGCATGTCTTTGTGAAAAAGTCCCTCTCTCCACATCCTGTCCGGAAATCCTCACATGAGTTCCTTCGAGACACAGCGCACCAAAGGCCAAAGCTTCCGCGGTGGACCAATCGATGTTTTCACCCTCCGAAATGGTCTTTCCTCTGGTAGTGATGATTCTTGCCAGATTACGATGAGGTGTGAATCCTTCTGGGAAGGTGGAGATGACTTCACCGACGCGTTTCAGAGTACGTTCGTCTGTCCCCGTTGGATGATGGGGTAAGACATTCTCCGCTAGTTCTTTCGGAGTGGGGAAGCCTTCCCATGAACTGGACAACCACTCACGAGGAGAAGGTTTGTAGTCTTTACTACCATCATAGGCCTTCTCCAACATCCCCCAAACCCATTCGCGATGTTCGTCGACCTCTTTCTCAGTGAATGTACCTTCTTTGATCAGTTTGTCGGTGTAAAGGGAGAGGACTGTGGGTTGTTTTTGTATGGCTTTGTACATTTTCGGTTGGGTAAAGGATGGTTGATCGGTTTCGTTATGCCCGTAACGCCTGTAACAGACAATATCCACCACTACATCTCTTTTGAAAGTCGCACGCCAATCCGCAGCGAGGGTACAGACAAAATTGACAGCTTCGACATCGTCACCGTTGACATGGAAAATGGGGGCATCGATGGATTTCGCGATATCGGAGGGATAAGGTGTAGAACGTGCGAATCGAGGATCGGTGGTGAAACCAATTTGATTGTTGACAATGAGATGGATAGTACCGCCGGTACCGTAGTTTTGGAGATCGTGCATTCCCATAGTCTCATAGACCACACCTTGACCTGCGAAAGCAGCATCACCGTGTAGCAACAAACCCATGGCCGTGGTGCGACCGCCTTCGTCGCCTTCAAAGTGTTGAAGTCCACGAGTTTTGCCAAGAACTACCGGATCTTCAGCTTCTAGATGGGAAGGATTGGCAACAAGCGAGAGGGAAACTTTCTTTCCACTGGGAGTGGGACGTATGTAGTTGGCTCCTAGGTGATACTTCACATCACCACCACCAGAATCATCCCTATCAGCGGGACCAGCAAACTCGTTCAAGATAGCCTCGATGGGTTTTCGGATGACATTTCCTAGCACGTTCAATCTTCCACGATGTGGCATCCCAATGACGACGCTCTTGACTCCAGCGTCGACGGATCGATCGATCAAAGCTTTCATCCCGGGAATCAAACTTTCACAACCTTCCAATCCGAATCGTTTCTCATTGGGATATTTACTGGCGATGAATTTTTCAAACAATTCACTCCACATGAGTCGATCGAGGATCATACGTTTCTCTTCGGTTGTGTATTTCCACTGACGTGGTACTTCGATACGTTCTCTGATCCAATCACATTGACCTCTGTCGGAGATATGAATATATTGGACACCGATATGAGTGCAGTACATCCGTTTGAGCTCGTCGATGATTTGTCCAAGAGTCATTTTGTTGTCGTTGACGGTATCAATGAACTTTGGAAGGATGCCAGAAGTGATCTGAAACTCTTTTTTCAGATCATCTTCTGACCAACCGTAGTAGTCAAGTTGGAGTTCAGGTGGGATACGACTATCAAGGTCGGCATCGGAAATGTGTAAAGGATCAAGGTTCGCGATATGATGACCTCTGACTTGATATGCTCGGATGAGGAGTTGAACCTGATCATCAGCATTGATTGAGATCAAATTTATGACTCACCTTGAGATAGTCCGTGACATCTCCCCCACCTCTGATCTCCAAGGCGGGACTGCCTGCTGCGGGTTGCGGGACACCTCCATAGAGTCCAGGAGGTGGAGTGAAGGCGGAAGCGGAAGGAAGACCTTTATCTAATCCTTGGAAATAAGCAGCCCAGGAGACGTGAACTGATTTTGGGTCCTGTTTCCAATAACGATACATCCTGTGACGTCAGCGGGGTGGACAAGAGGAACGGGAACATTCCATCGACTCACTCCTCGGCGTAATAGGCATTGCTACCGTTTGCAAAAACATCGTTCGGACTGGGAGGAACGGCAGCTTCGGTGGCGTACGAGCGTTTGGGGTTAATGTTTCGAATGGGAGAAGAAGATAATGTTCTGAGTGCGGGAGAATGTAGAGGGGTGAAGGAACGGGGTCGTATGGATCGGGACGCTATACGAAGCATGGTAAGAGGTGTAATGTGTAATGTGTGATGTGTGTAGATGAAGAAGCAAAGGGGTGTGTTGGGGGCCGTACAAGTGTCGGAGTGGAAAGATGTTATGCAGTTGAAAAGGAGGAGAGGTGGTTGGGTGTAGTACTAGTAGTAGTAGTGGCAGACGGGACGGAAGGCGCTGTCGGTCGTTTCGGGTTGCGGACCGAAGGGAGAGTTACGTAATGAGTCAGCGGCCATAAGTTACGTAATATATGTGTTCCTCCCGACGTCTACTAACTAGACTTACCTCCTATCTCTCATCTCTCACTAGCAATCCTCCATATACCCATTCACTCACCTGCAGCTTCATTAATTCGACACAATGTCTATCCCCTATACTCCCCGTCCTCCCAATGTTGGCTTTCTTGCCTGTCAGACGCACTTTTGTCTTGAAGGCCGTCCACCCTTCTCCAATGTCTCTTTGACAGCACTTCAGACCTCTGCCCTACGTGATGCGGTCGCACTCGCCATCGAGCTCGTGTCCTGCCCGAGAGGGCGGGAAGCGACATCTGCTATCCTATCTGCTCCTACTGGTCCTCTAATCAAGACCACTGACACGCTTCCTTCTCCTATAGTGCCAGTCCCCAACGCCAATCACCCCACCATCGATGATTGGCTGGCCAGTAATGAATGCCAAGTCATCGTTGACGTCCGTTTACAAGATTATGCCCTAATGGACACTGAGAATCCCAACGACATACGAGTGCAATACGATGTGAGTTCTGCTTTCAGTTCCCCAGAGGATGTACTGTACAAGGTCAACTCGCTATTACCCCAATAACAATCCCACTTCCATCTTCTTTATACAAACCTTTTTCTCTCAACCTGTCTCTCATAATCTCCACTAATCCGTACATTCTCTCAACCGGTACGGATAGATCATATTTGTGAACTCTTCCTAATTTGCCTATACTCTCCGTGATGCCTTCGCTAACACGATAGCTGGTGGTGGCTGCTGGAAATGCCCTCAAAGGGGACTACATGGAGGCATATACCGCTCATATCATCCACCTGGCGATCGTACTAGCCCATAAAGTCCAGCATTCCATCCAGTATCATCAAGTAAGTTGTGGGTTGCAGAAGTATGGTGCTGTAACTCAATCACTACGCAGGTCTCAACCCCCTCCACTCCATCCAACCGCACACCCCCACCAGACCCTTGCACCCCGCCCTCGATAAATGACGGCGCAATAGATCATTTACGGGCAGTCGGTGAATCATACCTAGCCGGGGAGGTCGGGTGGTTCTGGGAACGGCATGTGATAGGCGGCGCCATCGTGGGCCTGAAGGAGTCCCACCCTCGGTATCATGTGAGCATCTGCCCAACCTCCTTCTCTCCCTCTCTCCCTCTGTCACGTTCTCCCTATCTCCCTTCTCCCTCTCTCCATCTGTCCCAATATCCTCTATCCCTATATCCCTCTCTCCCTATATCCCTCTCTCCCTCTCTCCCCTCTCTCCCTCTCTCCCTCTCTCCCTCTCTCCCTCTCTCCCTCTCTTCCTCTCTCACTGCCCATGTTGGGTGACGTGCGTGACCGACATCACCAGAATGAAATACGAGGGCTTGCCATAGAGGAATATGCTCCTGCGGAACGGTGGACGGAGGTCCCCAAAGGAATTGCCCACAGAATATATCAGCGTACGTGTCAGCATTGTTCGAGTATGTCGCTCATTTTCTAGGGAGCGCTTGGGCATCTATCCTGCCATTCTCGTTTGATGCTTGTGCAGCAATCCGCTCAGGTCGAGTCCCCGAAGATGTACGCCTACGACGTACTCCGCTTGTGATGGAAGGAGTTCCTTCCTTGCCAGACTCGTTCTCAGGTGAGGGCCGGCACCCGGTGGTCGGAACGAGAAGGACATGCAGGAAAATCGTCAGAAATCAGGCTGTGGATGCTCAAGGTCGATGGATAGGATGATGTGCTGTGTAGATTGTTCTGGTGTAAAAGTACCATGCAGTTGTAGTAGTAGCATGTAGCATTGTACTTGTAGTAACGGCCACCGGTCACCGACCCCCACCGGATCTGTCCGGAATTTTCAGTCTGATCACTTTAAACTTTGCTCCTCTGTTCTCCTTTTTGTTTGAGTCACTGTAACTATCACATCAACATCATCTTTCTTTCATCATGTCTGCTCTACGTGCCTGGTATGCTAAATCACATCGACCCCAACTTTCACTTGGGACATCACTCTTGTCCAAATCGAACCCCTTCCGTCTCGCTTCCACCCTCCCTCCCCGCTCTACACAATTCACCAAACCCACCGTAGACCATGTCAACCATCTCCGATCTATTCTCACCTCCCCCGCTTCCCTCCTTACCACCTTGGATGGTTCCTCAACCTTTGGCGAGCTCGATGCTTTCAACTCCGATTGGATGGGTAAATATCACGGTTCCAGTCCATTGGTACTCAAACCTCGATCAACTTCCGAGGTTAGCGAGATAATGCGTTATTGCAATTCCCAGAACCTCGCCGTTGTACCTCAAGGAGGTAACACTGGTCTTGTGGGTGGGTCCAACCCTGTATACGACGAAGTAATCCTCTCTTTATCCAACCTCAATTCGGTCAGGTCATTCGATAAAGTTTCTGGGATATTAGTGGCGGATGCTGGGGTCGTATTGGAATCTGCTGATAATTATCTGGCGGAAAGGGGTTTCATTTTCCCGCTCGATTTAGGAGCCAAGGGATCTTGTCAGATAGGAGGGAATGTAGCTGCTAACGCTGGAGGTTTGAGGTTGTTAAGGTATGGAAGTTTGAGAGGGAGCGTATTGGGTTTAGAGGTGGTTCTTCCTGATGGAACTATCTGGAATGGTTTGAGTAAATTGAGAAAGGACAACACTGGTGAGTTCAGCGTCCAGCCTCCGTCCTGTAGACCCCGGCTCTCCAAGCCCCATTCTTCATCTCTCCAATCAGCGGCCTATCTGCACACCACAGTCAGGATGATCATATGAACGTTGCTAAGTACAGGTCTCGATCTTAAACAATTATTCATCGGATCCGAAGGTACCCTCGGTATCATCACCGCCATATCCATCCTCTGTCCCCGTCGACCTTTAGCAACAAACGTCGCCGTATTTTCTCTACCGTCATACGAAGCCGTCCAAGCCGTATACGCAGAAGCTCGTTTACATCTCGGGGAGATTCTCTCGGCTTTTGAATTCTTCGATTCTGGGTCATATGGTTTTGTAAAACAACATCAAGCTCATAATGGAGGTTCTAAAAAGGTGTTCGAAACAGAAGGAGAGTTCTATTGTCTTATTGAAACTGGAGGGAGTAACGCAGAACATGACGAGGGTAAAATGACAGCTTTGTTGGAACATCTCATGGGTAATGAGATGGTTCTTGATGGAGTATTGGCACAGGATGAAACTCAAATCAAAGAATTGTGGTCTTTACGAGAAGGTATCACGGAGAGTATCGGGAAACTTGGAAAAGTTTACAAATATGATCTATCGGTTCCAGTGGAGAAGATGTACGGATTGGTTGAGATTATGAGAGAAAGGTTGAGAGAAAGAGGTTTGTATAAAGAAGATGGAAGTGGTATCGTTATTGGGGTCATAGGGTATGGGCATATGGGAGACGGTGAGTGATTCTCCTTGACAATCGTCGCGAAGAGAGTCGTACTTATGTATAGGAAATTTACATCTTAACGTGGTTTCCAAAGAATGGTCAGATGATGTCCAACAAGCTATCGAACCGTATGTGTATGAACTAGTCGGTGAGTAATTTCCCTCGTTTCTTTGTGTGAAGTAGTTGCTGAGAATGAAGCCGAAAACTCTGGTTCTATATCTGCAGAACACGGATTGGGAATCATGAAAGCTCCATATATCTCATATTCGAAATCAACAGAATCAGTGGAAATGATGAAACGTATCAAGCAAATGTTTGATCCGAAAGGTTTGTTGAATCCGTACAAGTATATAGTATAGAATCGAGGATGAAGCTGTGCTTTCTTGAGAATGTTTTCACCTGCTACTGTGTCTTCTGCTCGCATACATGGTTGCTTTCCGCCTAAGACGCTTACCACAAGGTACTCTACTTACTCTTGATACGCACAACTTTTGCTCCCATTGAACGGAGAAGGATTGTATCTCCGCAGCCGCCACTACCCCGACCCAAGATTGAAATTTCACCTGGCCACTTTTCGACCAATACATGATGCTAACCCTTCGACCCTCTATAGCTTTGGTGACTCGCTCTTGTCGTCGAGGTTACGCACTAGCTGCTCAATCTTTCCCCGATCCAGACCCAGAAATCTTAGAGACTGAGTCTGAACCCACTCATGTACCTCATCCCAATTTGCCCTCCTCCTCCTCCTCTTCTTCTTCATCTCGTATCCGCTCGGGTACACCTCGTCTTTCCCCTCGTGCGAAAGCCTTCCAAAATGCTAAACGACTAGCCGATGCTATCCGTCCTTCTCCATCAATTCCTTTCCCTACATCTACCCCTCCTTCCTCCGAATCCTCCCATACTCATGATGCAGACTTTCGACCTCGTTTCGATTCCCCTGCTTCACTCTCTTCTTCCACACCTCCCACATTATCCGACTTACTTCAAAAACAACCTCCAGGTCATCCTACAGATCTATCATCAAAGACATATTCGAAGAGATATCTAGTCGCTTGGAAAAGTATCGACCGTTCATTCCTCAAATCCCAACTCATAGTGCTGATGAGAGAAATGGGTTTACTCATGCGTGGACGTAGTACGAAAGAAGAACGTATACGAAGAATACTTCGTTCATGGGGATGGGAAGATCCTCTAGTTTTGAAACAGATTGAAGATCGAGAGAGAGGAGCTTGGGAAATGAGAGAATTTGGATTGACGGCAGGGGAATTGTTTTTGATCATGAGAGATAAAGAAGTGATGAGGTTGTTAACTGGTAAAGATGTTGAAGTGGGAGCTGGGATGGGGACTGGGAATATGAAAGAGGAAAAAGAGAGGGGGACCGTGTTGAGAGTGAGAGGTAGAGGAGAGGTTTTAGATCATATTGCAAAGATTTTGGAAAGTAGGAAATTTGTAAGTCTCCTTTATACTACCTGTACTCCTGTTTCTCGTTGACTTAGTTCTCCATCTCACAATGACCTGAGGAAGTTGGGAGATAAAAGCAGGAATACATGCTGAATTTTTTAGAACACGAAGAACGTCAAGATACCTCTGGAAGATTTGAGAGGTTTTGATCCTCCCACCGAGGTACTCGCTGCTATATCGACCGTATCATCGGTTTACCTTGCGAGGGATACAACTTCAGTCAGTCATATGTTTCTCCTCTGTCATCATCCTCTCCCCCCTCCACATGTCTCATATGTGGAGATATTATGATGACCAATGTGAACCAATCCATGAAATGATTCATCATATCCACTCTTGAAATCGGCTTCCTTGACTACGTAGTAAATCGTCTGGCTCACAAACTCAGATTATCCTCTCGGCCTTGAACGAAGCAGACCTTTCCAGAGCCCAAGCCCTCCTTCAAATAGCAACCAACGAACTTCAAGTCCATCCTTCTCAGCGTAGTCTAACATGTCTTTCCCCAGCCCCATCCTTAAAATCCCATATCATCCCACGTCTCGCACTCATGCCACATCAGACCACATCATCGCAATTGATGCCATGGTATCATTATTCCCTGCATAAAGCAAAAGGATATTTCCGACTCCGAGCTGTGGAATCATGGACTATGAAACCCGCAATGAGGGAAACGGAACAACGATCACAAGCTTTAGACGAACGACCAATACTCGGGTCCTCTTTGTCCAGCCAACAAACTCCTGACCATTCCATAACGCTTGGACAATATTTGGAGAAAAATATGTCGGAGGAGAATCCAGATGAAAAACGGAACATCACTATGACGTAGGTCTTCTCTACATGAAAGCTCATAGTACGTTGGCACTGATACGAAGTTTTGGCCAGATTTTATTCCCCGCAGAAGAAATTGGACCCAACGCATCTCTCACACCACCTATTTCAGGTTCAATGGAATTTTCAGACACCCAAAACCTTCTCACTTCCCGTCCTTCCTATTCCTTCATCCCTGGGTAAGTCTTCAAACCTTCTTGTATCCTTGAAAACTGCTGATGATTATAACAGCTTTACTCCCGTTCTCACACACTTCCCTCCCGATTCTCATACGGTCAGAATGAGAAGAATTAAATATCGTTCCTCAAAATCTAGAGTTACATTTACTTACCGTTATCCTTCAATCGCGTCTACGGCGGATTCAACCACGGATATCCCTAATTGGCTTGGCGAGTTGGATGAGATGTTGGCGAAAAGGGAGGTGGAGGAGGGAAGTGAGTTTGAGGAAGGGGCTGAAGATGTCATACCTGACCAAGGAAAAGAATCGAACGTAGGTAAAGAGGACGAAAAAGATTTGGATTGGATTCCTGCTGTCAAGTTTACAGCGGAGGTGGAAGAAATTGAAGAAATGGATATTTTACTTCCTGATCGGTCAGTGTAAATTTAATCGTCAAATTGTCAATCTTCAACCCCTCTCTTAACGTGTATTTTGACTTTCACTCAGCTTTTCAACCTATCGCTTGTCTTCTTTTCTCCCGTTCACCACACTTGGTCAGCTTGACCTCCTACGACTGCTTCTTTCCGCCCAAATCTTTTTCTTACAAGTCTGTGCGGAAAATTCACTCAACAAGACCTACTTGCTAACTACCAGACCGGTGGATATCCGATGTACCTCCCGACGCATCCGTACCCTTGACCCTTCTTTGGTACCCCAAGAAATAACCGACCGTTTTCAAGCTCTTTCACAACATATCACACTCTCCAAATCTTCTGACCATTCTATCAAAACCCAAATTTCACCAACTAGAGAAAATGAGAATTCACCCACTCGACAAATTCAACCGACATTACCACGAATGTTATCCATAGGAGAGGAAATTATGTTGTTGGAAGCGGACGATGAATTGTTTGTGTCGTCTGCTAGTACAACGGGGGATGAAGTTGTTTTTAGGAATGTGAAGGTACATGATAAATTATTGAACGTGGGTCGTATGATGGAATATAGCGAGGTGTGTTTTATAAATGTCCTTCATCCCATTCGATACAGTCGTTTCCTGTATCACCACCACCGATGACGATTACGTCTTTGCCTCTGGCGGAGATGTAAGAACCGTCTGAATGTTGGGAATCGAGAAGGGATATATCTACGTCTCATTCCCCTGTATCATGATTGACACGTGTTTCGGAAACTGAACAGAAGATGGGGTAGCTGATGACTTAGTTGGAAACACCTTCCGATATTATTCCTGAAACCTTCTGGCGAGAATTATCAAGGGTGACAAGAGATGTGCCCCCAGGTGCATCGGTCAGACCAGCTAGTCTCATTTAATCTCTCATCGTATCATCATCAACTATGATCAATGCATGCTGTATGCTGCTAGTTGTTCGCTGATTCTCGTCGCAAATCGTCCAAACTCTATCCCTATTTGCCCAAACCCCACCTAACCTACCTGCTTCAATCCTATCGATGAACCACACCCTACAGATCGTTCATTATTCTCATCAACGGACATTGAAGTGGGGTCATACGCCAAGAAACGTCGTCACTTTCCACTATGATGATCGATCCAGATTGAAGTCTCGAGTTGTACATCCGAATTGGCGCCAAGCGTGACGAGATGGACGAAGAAGGAGATCACAAGAGGTGGTGAGATGATTTTGAGATTCGGTCGATCAAACCACTCGAAGTCGATTATATTTGGGTAATATATCACGTAGATATTCTAAATGTTTCATACGTAAATTGTCTTCAGTGATTTGAGCGGTCCCATCCCATTTTCGGATAAGAGATTCGGGTCCATATACGATTGTGTAAGGTGAAGGAAGGGATTCGAGTGTTATGGTGGATGATCCTTTACATCAGTTTACAATCTTCCAAGTAGTCTGCATCTTTCAAGTAGGTTATCATCCCACAAGCAAGCTATAGAGCATTGTTATATAATCCAACTATCATCGGTATTGTATTCTAAAGAATAGAATCTCTGACCGATGAGACAGAATATTGGGGATGGGAAGAAAAGGTAGAGTTGGTGGAGGAGTTGAGTAGATTTGGGATAAATACCTAATACACATCGATTCGTTATTATCACTCCTGAAGAAACCTTTGAGCGAGGTTGAAAAGTATTGAAATCTCCTATTTCTTGAGCTTGTATATCTGATTGTTAGCTGAAGATTTATCAATCATCGAAGACACAGCTTTCCTCTCCTTTCCCTTCCAGACATGAATTTTCTTCAACCTACTTATTTCTCACATTATAGCTAGGCCAGATTATTTTCATTCTGACTCATAGCTTCTTACGAAGTTCACGTCTCAATCACACAGAGCATAAGTGTATGATTCACACGGAAGAGTCATTGTGAGGCGCTAGGGATACTGGGAGGATAAGAGCAGGGATGAGGAAAGGTTAAATACAATGATGAAAGTTAAAACGTACGACATTGAACCATGAAATGATTTTCTCTACCTATTCTCATGATCTCTGGTCCTCTTTCCAATAAGCTTCTCACTCTCACGTATAATCATACATCCACAAAGCCTACATCATGTCACTGGGAGGTCTGGTGTATGTTTGAAAGGTGTACTTATTGGAGGAAGGGTTAGGAGAGAGAATAACTTAACTTACCTATTCACAATAACAACACCTTCTTCCACTATACAATCTTCACCTATCACCACTCCTCCTCCTAAACCATAAATTGAAGCTTTGGGATGAATTACAGTCCCGGCTCCTATTGTCACTTCACCCCGAAGATCAGTATCGGCACAGATGATAGCGGTGGAATGAACCGTTATTTGGTCTTTTCGTCTGATTCAATTAGCCTCTACTTATCCCTCATCTATCTTACCTCGTACTATCAAGTAGAAGGATAGAGAGGAGAGACCCACTGTTCTCGAATAGAAGGTTAAAGAGGAGATGAGATTAGATAGATGTACTTACGTCGGTCTGGGAGGCATAATGACACTTGTATGATGATGATTATTGTCATGAGGTGAAAGGAAGTTAGGATTTGCCACCAAACGAAATGAAGGGATATGGAGGGATGAATTCCACTTTTGACGTTGTACTTTCACCCATCCATTCCAACCTTTTAGTAGCAAACGCAGAGCCAAGATGAGCTTCAATGATTTGGAAAGAGGAGAAGCTTCTCAACCTCTTTTGAGAGCTACGACGGGTCAGTACTTTTCTCCCACATACTACCTTACCACGCAATGTCATCCTCTTTCGTCCTTCCCTCGTCCTCGTGCTTATCATCTCTCTGATCTCTGAGGTCTTGGAGGGGTCATCGCAATTCTAAGCTTGCATCATACCAGTGATAGAAAGCCGGCATGTCATGTAGGGGCATCTTCTTATGTGACTTTATAGCGTCACTCACCAGCTGGACTTGATACTCGTAGAAGAAAGCTGGTGGTGACTAGACAAAAAAGCCCAGACGCAATATCTTTTAGAGCTCAAACTCACGACTAGATCCAGATACCGCATTCACAACTCTCAAAGATAGCGTATCCATACAAATCTTCAAGATCCAAAGCAACGTACAGGGTATACAACGTGCTGTGGATAAATTGGGAGGACCTCAGGATGGTCCAGCATTACGAACGAGTTTGTACGTTTTCCATATTGTAGGATCTTCCAATGTTCCTCTGCTCCCCCCGCGACCCTACACTTACCTCGGTCTATTCTTCTACAATTTGTGCACCTAAGATTTCCTGTCACCCTTCTGTCGACCCTTTCTCCCCCACTCTCGGTTTATCGAATCATCAGGCAAGGAGAGAAAAGTCAGACGATATGGGATCATCACTTGGGGAGTTCGAGATGAGCAGGGGTCGTCCATATCATGTTGTCTCAACACGAGAGAGCGAATGGAGACAAGTAGTGAGGAATGAATAGACAACGAGGAGGAAGCTCAGTCACGAGGACAGAAACACTTATATCAGACACAACCTCACAGAAGCCACTCGCGAAATGATCAAAAAGTCCACAGAGGACGTCAAAACCCTAGCTGCTTTCCCCACTGGTGGTCCTGGGCAAGGACAGAGAAAACCGATCCAAACGAAATTATCAAAAGAATTCACTGTAGCTCTCACTGCGTTTCAGAAAGTCCAACGTGCTTCAGCGGAGAGACAGAGGACTTCTGTGGAGAGTCAGAAACGACAGGTGGATAGGATGGTCGAGGATGCCGAGTGAGTTTCACTTTCTTTCCGTCTCATTACCTCGCCACTTTCCCTGATACCCTTTCCTTCTTCCTGCCTGTGGTTCAAATTTATCAACATGAATGACGACTTATACACGATTTTCATATCTTCAAGCTCAGTTTTGATGTTTGATGGTAGTTGAATGAAGTTTGAGTGAATGGGTGAAATACTGATACGAACAGACATGATGAACCTCGAAGTTCGGTAGAATTGGAGCAAGTACAAACTCAACAACATGTTCCTCAGTGGGTTTTTCCCTGCTTTTTCCCAGCTCTTTACTTTCTCTTGCACCATTTTCTTACCTCTACCCTCACACACATCCTTGCTTTAGGCTGTTGAGCGCCAATTCTGAAGATACGCTCTGGACACTCGAGCTCCCAAGATATGGCCAACGTGAGCTCACACGATGCAGGGTATCAACACAAGAATTAGAATTCCAAGAAACTCTCATAGCTGAACGCGAAGCTGAAATCCGAGAAATAGAATCAGGTATACATGAATTGAATGATATCTTCAGAGATTTAGGTACTATAGTAGTTGAACAAGGAGGTTTGATAGGTATGTTCCAACCTCTCTCCATCCTTGCCCCCTCCTCTTTCCACATCTTATCACTTTCTGTCTAGCTTCACATTTATCAACCGTATCCCTCACATCCATGCACGACATTTTCCACATTGTATTTTTCTTCTGTGACATTATCCACCGAGATGGCGAGATGTCTTTAGTCCGAATGCAACTTACCTTCCAGACAATATCGAAAGTAACATCGTTTCTGTTGCTCAAAACACCTCGAGCGCAGCTGAAGAACTCACCACGGCTCATGAATATCAACGCAAGGCAGGGAGAAGAATGGCATGTTTGTTGATTATCCTCGTTGTTGTCGTTTTGGTTATTCTCCTAGCTGTGAGTATAGTATTCCGTTTCTTACTCCCCACCTCCTCTTTTCACTTCCTCTCCGCCTTCACCCTTTCGAGGATTTTTTGTTGTCATCTTCCCTTTCTACTTCCACTTTGTTTATATATTTTCGCTCTAGTACCGAAATGCTATGCACAGAGCGTATGAGCTGATGAGAAGATCCTGTCATAGATGTAGTCTTCGGTATAGTCTTATAATCCTATGGTCAGATACTCGGACTTTTGTCTGCCTAATGCGCGATGCAATTTTACGTATCGTATTGTGACATGTCATGCTATGCAAAGATACCATACCCACCAAGATCAATGATCGTAGTCATAAAAATGGACACCTATCCCTCAATGCTCTCTCTCCTATGGCATCCCATTCGTCTCTTCCTATCCACATATCATTCAGACTTTCCAGGTTACACATGACAGAAGCGCCTTTCCAACTGACAAACCTCGGATTGAGGTTTCGTGGTGGGGGTACAGTTGAGACTGTATCGATAGGTTGACCTTTGGCTCGTAATAATCCAGGTAGTCTTAAATCAGCTTGTACAATTCGTCTCTTCCTTCACTCTCTCAGTAGAATATTCCCCAAACCAATTTACTCTCCTAGCTCGAGTCCCGCACAACTCACTCATCTTTCCCTTGATTGTTCTCGTTCTCCGGTTGTCCGCCGTACTACTCAACCTCATTAGCCTGTATCAAAAGTGGTACTAGATAGAGTGGAGTGGAGATGTGGTGACAAAAGTGGTACACCAAAAATCATTCACTCACCTTTCCTGGATAAACGGATGTAATCCTTTCATCGCCGACCCACCTCCAATTAGCAAAATAGAAGATGAAGCAGTTCGGATCTTCGAATCCGTCCCCACAGCCAAGATAGAAGCCGCTATCGCTCCATCCAGAGGGGTATGTGATGCTTCTGAGATGATCAACTTGGAAGAAATGGCTGAGAAATCTAGTTCTGTCGCTTGTTGGAGAGGGGCAGGTTCAGGAACCGGTGTAGAGGTCAAGGATCCCTCTGCCTTGTCTAATTTGGCTATATCTGAAATCGGAGGAACAGAAGGAAGATCGCCATTGATTTGAAGTTCTTCTGTGAGAACTTCGTTTGTCGTGTCTTCGTTGGCGGGTATTGGTCGGGGTGGAGTTTCTGCGATCAGAGGAGGTGAGATGGGAGGTGGGAGAGTGATGATAGGGATGAGATGGGATACACATGATTTCATTGCTGTCGTCTGAACGTGAGTCGTGGGATCAAGAGTAACGACGTCTCTTAAATAAGTTCCAGAGTGGAGGGAAATACAATCAGTTGAGAGGATAGGTTGGTTTGAATCAGAAGGGAGAGATAAAAAGGCGTACAGGTTGATAAGAACATTCCGATCCTGGTAAAAGGGTATAAAGTAGATCATCTACATTGGACAATTTGGAGGGAGGCTTTTGACTGTCATCACTGAATGCAATCTTTTCATTAGCCTTATTCAATAAAAAAGGAGCCAAAATTACCATTCGAGTATCGAAGAAACACTAAACATCAGCTCAAGACCGAGTATGTAGGAAAACGTACTCACGAGCGGAGCAAGGATGTTCTCATCGTATGTCCTGAATACATATTTCTGAGTGAGGTTTTTCGGATGTAAGACATAAAAGTCCCATAAGGTACTAGCTACCAAATGCTACTTATCAGCTATCACTTCCTATCTGGTCTACACAACTCACCTCTTCCAGCGTACAGATTTTTATTTTAAGATTATCCATCATTTTCCAATCTTGACTCCTGGACAGGTCAAGGTCTTTGAAAGGAAATGCGGAACGTTGTAATATGGTGGTCAGAGCTTTTGTAACGTCGTCTCCGCCATAGTCCAACATGATCCTACTAGTCAATATCAGGAACAGGGTAAGTATAGGAGGAATTTACCGAGTTTCGGAAGAAACTTGACCTTCGTCGACGCATGTTACAGACGTCGATGTGGCTCCTATGTCCACCACACAGGCAGAAGACATGCCAGCGCTGAATATGGCACAGTAGGCTTCCTCTTCGTCAGTACAAGCTCACTACAGAGTTTTCGAGTGATAAGAAACACAGGAAAACCCCAGTTTATAACTGGTTTGACTAGGGTGTTGAACATACCTGGTGGATTGCGATCTCCCGGAAACCCATCTCTCTCATCAAAAGCCTTGATATCTCTTGTGGATACGTCCTATCTCCATGATCAGGCACAATAAGGACCACAGCAAAGTTCTGTACGTCAGTCTTGGTTATTGGGGGACGAACAAAGTATGACGCGCCTGATAATCTCTGGGGAAAATGTTGAGTTCTGTTCGGAGGGCTTCTTGCAGTATCAGGACCACATCATCTAACAAATGACGTAAGCTGGACCAGTCCTCCGTGTTGAGACCTCTATGCAATATCGGGTATTTAACATCGAAGCCAGAATCCGGAGGTAATTGTAGAGCCTGTAATTCAGTGATCAGTGAGAATGACTACTCGACTAAAAAGATAACTCACTTCTTCACCGACGAGATACCCCCTTTCACCCACTTCTGTCCAGTCGATACGATATGGGTCGTTGTGTTCTGGGACGGGTTCAGGTTTGACTTTCTGGTTATACGTCACCACTCTATTCCCCTCACGCCAGTCGGTAGCCAATCGATTGGCGACTAGATGACCACGAAGGTATTCTCGAAGATATCCAATCTTCTTATCCATCTCATCGTCATTTTCGTCTAGAACATGCGACGCATCAGTTCACTCACTGGATCTTCTGCTGCTTCATCATCACCATTGGTCTTTCGAGCATGACCATTTCTCTGTCTTTTCGTTTCTCGTTGATCCGGTGTCTCCGCTGATCTCTTGGCCGAGGGTTCTGGACTTGGAGATGTTCTTGATTCTAGCTTTTTTTTGGGTCTGGCAATGCAATTGGGTACTTCTTTCGGGTAAAAATCAGAAGCCCGACCTATTCTCAGATTCTTCGATCCTGGATGAATTATCAGTATGTTGGACAAAGGGTTCACCTCATCATCAGCTGACGATCACGAGGGGGTCAGAGGAATGTACCGCTGCTAAGGGTTGACCTTCTGCTTGAAGACGTTGTTTTTCCTCTTCCTCCTCTGCTTTCTTTCTCCTCTTTCTGGCTTGACTGACTTGCCGAGCCACATCAAGGTTGATCTCACGCTGAACATACTCCCCAGCAGGGTTCTTGACGTTATACCTGCTCATTCAGTTGGGGTATGCGCAGAAAAAGTTCCGTCTCACATGCCGGGTACGAAAGCTGAGGTGTATGCGATGAGCCGATCAGCATGCTGTACACGTTAAACCGGTTCCTTATATTCGACAGCTCGAGAGGAGAAAGACACACCTTCTGCTTCTTGTTATACTGTCTACGGTTCATTGGAGGTTGAGCAGGAACAGCTGCTGGGGTAGAGTCAGGAAAGGGGAGCTCGTCCAAGACAGCTGCTATGGCTTCACTAGCAGAATCTTGCTTGGAGGGAAGGACCTCTTCGGGGGGCATCGTTGGTGAGGGTGGTGTGGATTCCATGGTGAGATGGACGGAGGTGAAAGGGTGAAGTAGTATTGGGGTGTCCTCACAGCTCGACTAAGGTTTAGTTACGATTGACGTGGGGCATGTGACGGAGATTGAATACATGTCCGTGTCCATGTGGTGCTTCGGCCGTCGGTCCATCGTCTAAGCTTACCAGCCAGCTGCCATACTGATTCACTGAAACATTCGTATCCTGTATCCCCACTATCTTCTCTGTTCCATAACATCAGATCAGCCTCGTGTCCCTCTGCTAGATCGCTCGTCTCTCTAACTCGGTGGTGTTCTGCTCCTGCCCCTTGCCCCGGATCGACACCCCGGTTCGCCATTCTACGTCTCCTCACCGCCTTTGCCTGCCTGCCTGCCTGCCACCCTTGGGATCGCCCTCCTTCCCCTTCGGGTCGCAATCAACTTAAAAACATTCCCCCATCGCCCCATAATCTTACTCTTAAACATCTAACATGTCATTCCTCAGAAAAGCGTCTCTATCACGGAAAAACAAAGAAGGCGAGCCGACTTCTCCTCGTTCAGGACCAGGAAGCAAGCCTCCAAAATCACGAGTGGTGAGCGATGCCAGCGTACTATCAAATTCATCTGCAGATGATACAGTGGCTGGGAGACGTAAGGTGTCAATAGGGTGAGTCTCTCTCCATCTCTGTGTCAGATGAGGGGAATGATTGACGTGGTCAGACACAAGGGAAGAAAAAGACTATCATCCTTATTCTCATCATCCACGACATTAGCATCTGACCGTGATGGAGGACCAAACAAAGGAAGTCCGTTGTCACATGCCAATCCGTCCACTTCGACATCAGGAGCCTCCACACCGACCAAAAATGGTGTACCACCGCCTAAATACGGGTCATTAGGATTAGAATCCACGGTGGCTGGTCCGGTTAATGGGATTCATGATCTTCATCTAGGTAACGAGATCGTACCTCTTACCGACTCTCCTCAACATTCACCGACTATATCGACATCTCCACAGACAAATCATCATTCCACGTCTCGTTCGCCAGAGAAAGTGGCTGCTATAAGAAAACGGAGAGAACAATCCACATCATTGTACTCTCAATGGAGCGAAGAAGCCGATGATTCGAGTGATGATGAAGATCCCGCATTCCTCACTCCGTCGGAAGGACTGAGTGAGGTGGAAGAAGAAGACGAAGAGATAGAAACGGCAGAAGTTTTGAATGCTGAAAAACATAACGTTCAGAAAGGTTCTGTAGTTTTGAATGGCGGAGATATTGCGGGTACGGGACAATCCACGGTACATCGAAGTTTACCAGCTGTTGCAACTACAAAAGTTCATCGGAGGAAGACAGCACCTTCTAGCAGAGCTAACGCTCTAAGTGTGGATCAAGCGGCTTCATTGGCGCAGGATCTGGACGTGTGCAGACAGGTCTTAGGATTATTCTTAACAAGTCATATGAAGGAAGCGGAAGATCTTTGTTTTCAGAAGGATCCGGAGGGCAATCATCTGTATCTACAAAGTGCTTTAGGTATCATTGACGGTCTGAAGGTAAGTTAATTATATATTTCCCAGCAGAGTGGACTTATGATCAAGGGAATGATGACTTTTGACGCGGACGATCTTGCCAATGCCCTAGAGATATGTAAGGGTACGACAACCACCGCTTCCGCTCTCAGAAAACCCACAGAATCCCTGGTCACTCGGCTCGGCGGCATAGTTCGAAGTGGTACGGCTGTGGCCAGAATTAAGGCCATGACGGTGTTGGAAAGACATGCCGAGTTGGTGTATGCAGAGACGACTTTGATGAAGGCCATGTTGGCTATCATCAGTGGTGGTGACTGGTTAGGGCTAGTGAGAGAAGCGTGAGTATTCAACGTTATCTAGTACTTCCCCTTCATCGCACCTCTCACTCCTCCGTGAATCGGTTTGATTGCTCTTACCCGTGAGCAGTTGGGGCATCGAGACAAGTATACTGACACCTGAGGCTCAATCTCCGATCAGCGCACCAAATCTACAAAGCTCTCCAACAGTTCTTGGAAGAAGCAGACAAGGATGGTTTCGACGATGATGTCGATATGGATTTCCGATCTGGCGTCTTACTCGGAACTGGGACCTCGTCTCTTATGCTGAGTCTGCTTCCTGGCAAAGTCCTCAAAGTATGTCATCCGCTAGGATTCATGCGCTGCCTCGCTGATGACAGATCGCCGAAGTGTTCGGGTATGCCGGTGATAGAACCGTAGCTCTCGAGACTCTGATGGCTGCTGGAGGTTGGAGCAAAGATTCGAATGAACCTGCATACAATGAGAAGAACGAAGGAGTGCGTCGACCAGTGTGCGACATCATCCTTCTCGCTTTTCATCTCGTCATTCCGGTTCTCATGTGAGTTTCCCCCTGCCAGTACTATGTCTCAGCTTACCAAATACAGGCCAGTGGCCGGTGTCGATGTACCAACGGCTCGAAACATCTTGAGTTACAATCTCCGAAGATATCCGGATGGTACGTTGTCTTCAACCTTCCACCCTCTTACGCTGCTGACGAAGAGGTGTTTTCTTCCTTTACTTCCAAGCACGACTGCATACCATGCAGTGTGAACCTGAATTGGCCAATAGTGAGTCATTCTGTCTCCGCACGTGGCCGATGATAACGCTTAGAATCTTTACAACGAGCTTTAGACTTGAAGTTGGAATATCTGCAGTTACAACACATGTGTCTCGTGAGTCAGCTAAGGAAAAGAGGTTGGAGCTGACAGACCAGTGGGACTATGCATGTAATTTTATGATGCTGTCGAATTGGAAAGGTGCTCTTGACTGCTTTAGTATCTTGAAAGACGAGTCAAATTGGTCTCGAGCAGTTTACACCTAGTGAGCTTCCTTCGCCATCTGCCTTTTGGCTAGCTGACGTGAAGCTCTGCAGCTGCTTGTCTTGTGGAACTGGCAGAGGAGGAGGGAGATGCCGAGGTGAAACTGGCAGAAGCGGATAAACTCATGAAGGATATCCCTAAGCTCACTAAGAAGATAGCGGGAAAGTCTTTACCTATAGAGGTGAGTCGCCCATTCCCCACGATCTCAGCTCATCACCCCTCGACCCCACCGAACATACACTGAGTACACGGAGTAACCCAGCTTTACGACTCTCAGGCGATATTGTGATTTGAGTGCTGACGTGAAGAAACTGGCAGGCCGCAAAGCGAGAAAGTTCGAGTCGCAAAATCGCAGTCTTTTCCTTCCCGCCATGGAGCTCGCCTACGTTTTCGGCTCTCTCTCACATACTCCTCGAAGCTGCTTGCTGAGCCGAACAATTCCCCGAATAGACAGGATGTTGAAGAGACTGGAAACGAGTACTCCGGAGTCGTATGGAAACGGTCATCAGTACTGGGACGGTTAGCCTTTCCACGCTGTCCCTACAATCAGCTGACGAGAAAAGATTATTGTCTTGGACACTTTTTAAGAGGTGTGGCGCAGGCTGTAGCTCGATATCAGGTAAGCTCGGGTCTCAGATTGGATCGAGCTGACAGATAGCCTCCGGAGGCTAGTCCATCTGCCAGTCGACCCTCGTCTGGGGAGCCCACAGATGAAGAGATTGACCGAGGAGCAGAGGAAGATTTAAACCTTGTTGTCAAGCACGGTCCTGAAGTTCAGGTACGTATCGCTTTGTCGTTCCTCCCCTGAATCTCCAAGACATAAGAGAGTATATGTTGTTTTTTGGGGATGAAGAGATGGGCAATCGGGTAATGGAGAGGGGTGGGGTGGACTGTATCGGACGGATGAGGTTGTGAATGAAGCTGATATTCAGCTCGACCATTATATCCTCTTTCACTGTCATTACGAACTCGGCAAGTTGTACGCCAGACGAGGGGATATGGAAAAGGCGAAGAAGAATTACGATGTGGTGATGAGTGGGAAGTTGACTCATGTCAATCACTACATGGCTAAAGCACATGGGAAGTATTCTTTGGAAGGGGCTCTGATGTTGAAGACACACGCGGCGATTCAAGCTCTGAAAGATAGTACCATTACTGGGTGAGACGATGTATCTTGATAGAAGGTGAGATGAGTGGGTTGCAACATAGTCGATAATAATCACAAAACAGATGTACAGAACATTTTTTGGCCTTGTTCGATTCACTTGATTGCTGGGTGCACTATCAAAAACATAACTTTCCCAGGTGCTAGGTGCATGGTGTGCATGAAGTGCACTCGGTCGCAATTGCTTGAGGGATCTGCGAAAGTGCCACAATGTAAACCTCCTCGGCGGAATGTTAAACCAAAAATCCCGAGAGAACCGGCTACCTCTGACGGCGTACAAAAAGGGTTCTCCTCACCACAGCCCCTTCTTCTTCTTTCCCTCTCTGTGTAGCTTCATCAACCCGACTGACATTACCAACAAAAAGGCTAAAACAGCCTCGCCGTCGTCTCTACCCTCTCTCGACCAACGTGTGATCCCCCACGTTGGGCTGACCGTGAGTCTTGACGTCCCTGTCGTTTGACGAAATTCCACCCCTCGCCACACTATTGTTTACGCGGATCACTTCCCAGAGTCTCTCGAGTCTTATATGATATATGTTGATCATTCCAGGTGGCCAGATCTCTTTTGAGACGACGGCCGACCCTCTATATCACCCCTTGCTCCCTGGGTTTCGCGCAACTTGATTCAACTGGACTGGATCATACGAAACCCCACCGAAAGCACAATGTCAACCACCGTCATCGATCGTTTCGTCTTTCCCTCTCAAGTCGTAGGATGGTCATCAGAGGAAACTTTGATCCCTACTCCTCTCTCTACCTCTAAAGCTCCCACGTCGGAAGATCTTCTCAAGGTTCTAGACCCAAATGCTCAGATGCCGTACTCTCCTCAGCATTACCTTCCTACGCCACCGACCACGTCCCCTCTTTTGAGGAACAAAGAAGTCACGGATCTCGACCCCATTGCCGATATCAACATTCATGAAATGATTCAATCTATCATTGCCGACAAGATGGAAGACGAAGCCGCGTTCTTCGCCGCTGATCTTTCGGCGGTTTATCAAGCTGTTCAAATGTGGCGTCAATCACCAATGGGTGAACGTGTTGAAATTTTCTACGCTGTGAAATGTAATCCTTCACCACCCGTACTCCATTTACTCTCTCTTCTTGGTCTTTCTTTCGATTGCGCCTCGACTTCAGAAGTCACTCAAGTTTTATCTTTACCTGTCAAACCGAACCCAAAAAGGATCATTTATGCCAATCCGTGTAAACCGGCTTCTCATATCCGAGCGGCACAAGCGCAAGGTGTAGAAATGATGACGTTCGACAATGCCGATGAGTTGTACAAGATTAAACGTTTTTATCCTCAGGCGAAACTGGTCTTACGAATGCTTACCGATGATTCGAAATCTCTTTGTCGTCTCGGTCTCAAATATGGTGCACCGCTTTCCACTTGTCCTGGACTTTTTGCGGTGGCTAAACAACTCGGCTTGAACGTCATTGGGGTCAGTTTTCACGTCGGAAGTGGGTGTAAGGATCCGATGTTGTTCGCAGACGCTATTTGGCGAGCACGAAAGGTCTTTGATATGGGTAAATCCGCAGGATACGACTTTACGTTACTCGATGTGGGTGGTGGATTCGAAAGGGCTACATTTGCAGAGATGAGTCAGGTGGTAAGGGATAGTTTGGATTTGTATTTCCCTGTGGAATTAGGTATCAGGGTAATTGCGGAACCTGGAAGATTACTCGTTTCTTCCGCTTTCACTTTGGCTACTCATATCATCGCTCGTCGACGCGCTATCCCATCTGGAATCGCAATGCCTTCTTCACCCAAGGAAGATATCTCGGAGGAAGATCAAGGGAATGAAGAAGGGACGGATGTAATGTATTACATTAACGATGGAGTATACGGATCTTTCAATTGTATCATGTTCGACCATCAAATCGTTCATCCTTACCCTCTCTCTTTGGGTCATTCCCCGACTTGGGCAGTACCATCTTTCCCACCACCACCCAACGTGCACCTGCCTGTGGATTTGAGTGTCAAGCTGGGATACGTGGAGAATGAAAAGGCTTCGGTTTGGGGTCCGACTTGTGACTCTATTGATTGTGTGAGAGAGACTGTAAAGTTGCCAAAAGGTTTGGAAGTGGGTGATTGGTTAGGATGGGGTGAGATGGGGGCGTATACTTTATGTGCGGCGAGTACTTTCAACGGGTGAGTGATAAATCCTCGTCCGCTTCACCCTTAGAGTAAATCCCCCCCCTCCCCACCTTCTCCCCTCTGCCCATCCCTTTCCCCCTCCCATAAGTGAGATATCACTCCATGGCCTGTGGTTCTTGTCGTATCGAACCTTCCCTCAAAAATTACATTGCAACTGCCAGAAGTGCTCGTTTCGTCTCACCCACCCTGGACGATGTCCCGTCCATTTGGTCAGAATGCGTTTTTTTCATCTCCAATATTGCAGCTTGTTACAAAGTGGTCATATGCTGAATTGCTAGATTCGACCGCTCCCCCGTACACTGGACGACGGGCGGTACGACTACCAACGCTCTGGCTGTTCGAGCTGTGCTCGACTCTTTCTGCGGTCCAGAAAGATGACATCGACGATAGGCCCCCAAGATGACCTAAAAATCGCGACTTGACCAACAACTAAAAGCGACAAAGTCGCAGTCTATCTTTGATCTCTGATGCCTTGGTAGGCTTTTGTGTATAAAGTACACGATGCATATGCATATGTTTGTCCTGTCTTCACCACCTCTGACCTAATGGCAGCTAGATACGCGTAACGAGCTGCGAGGTGTGGAGTCTCTTTGTTACCCTGCAGCCCTTGCAGCTGCTGGCTGACGTCACCGCCGTTTCCCCTTCCCTTCCCGTATCGCTCCACTTTCACCTCACATTCCATCTCTTGACATCTTTTGTGTATACCTTCCACCCGACATCTATATTGCTCATCGCCTGTACCTACACCATCAAAATCCTCATCTCTGACATCTCTGTATCTATAATCATCAAACTTCCGTGAGAATCCAACGTCGAGGGATCACGAAAAGAGGAAGAGAAAGAGAATATATATAATAGATAAGGGGATTAAAGATGTCTACCGAAGTCCCAATGTCTACCATTCCTCCTAAACCTGTATCCCCTGCCGAAAGTATACCAGGTGGTCCAATAACCGCTTTAGAACCAATTGTCGAGACTACGATTTTGGAGAAAGCTAAAGGTATTGCTAAACCTGTTAGTTCTTTCCATCTGATCGTCTTCCCTTCCTTCCTTCCTTCTCTTTCTTTCTTATTCAACATTTCTGCTTGCGCTACGGAATATGTTTCACGTTCTTTTCTCCTGGCAGCCTACCTGCTTGATTCTTTTTCTATCAACCTATCGACTTGATTCTTCTCCTATCAGCCTATGCCCTCGTACGATGAAGGACTAGACTTGATCACTTGTCTCAAGTCTAGATTGACAAGAGCTGAAAATCGTAACCTCAAAACATGGACATGCTGACGTTAATAGTACATTGAGAAAGTTCAAGCTACCGCAAAGCCCCTTACGGATGCTGCTAAGCCATACACTGACGCTGGGATTGCTAAAGCCAAAATCTTGGCCGAGAAAATCGAAGTGGGTACAGACAGCATCAGCAACATATATCTATATCTTTCCTTAGTCCTTACTGAGTGGTCTTTCCAAATAATCGAATTCTACTTCAATAGCGAGCCAACAGGTGTCCAAAATCCACCAGAAAACGCCTTCGCATGTTATAACCCAAGCTGATAACTCAGCACGTAACTCCTTCCATGCCAATGAGCATCGAAGCTGGTGTTCCTCCCCCCGAGACGGCATTCCAAATGATGGCAGCCGACGAACAAGCCGCCGCCTCGGCTCCTCCGACTCCACTCCCCACTGCTGGGGAAGTGGGCGAAAAGGCAAAGGAAATGTTTGAACAAGGAGTACGATCTGTACAGGTGAGTAGTAATTCGACTCATCCTTACTTTATCTTTTCTTGAGGAGAAAGCTTATTAGTAGACCGCATTCAATCAGATCACGCACGCCATCGACGAAAAAACGGCTTCCGATACTCATCCAGGTATCATCACTCAGGTCACCACGGCTATACATACCGGGGTGGACAAAGTAGAGGCTTTTGTCAATGAGGTGAGTAAGCTTCATTCTTGATCGCTTTTCTCTTTCTGCCCCTACATCCCTGAGCTTGCCTTTGGCCGAGTATGGCGAAGACGCCGTCCCGGAAGAAATTTACAGTGATGTCCACGGCTAGATAGGCCAGCCAACATATGACCGCTTACCAAATCAGAAGGATAAGACCAATAGTAGTAAAGGTGGCAATGACGCAGAAATCCCCCTCGCAACTGTTACTTTCAAGGTATGTTTGTCCATATCTCCGTTGGGTCATCCCCTTCTCTCTCTCTCTCTCTCACTATCTTACCCACCCTCAAGTATGTGGCCCGTCCTCCATGGACATCCTCATTTTCGAAAATGTATACTGTATCTTGTCAATATCTCAATGGACCATATGGCTGACTCGCAACAGACTGAATTCGCGGTCGACATGACTTGTCAAAATGTATGTCTATCATGACTTTCACACACACAACGAACTGACCCATCAGTGCGTCGACGAAATATCAGATGCTCTGCAAAAAGTACCTGGGATCGAAAAATATGACGTTGATCTGTCTAAAAAACAGGTCACCATCGTTGGTAGGAGTGAGTTCTTCCCATACTTGTATCTGCCTCCACGATACACTTTGGCTCATGCCCCAGCTCCACCTTCCCACCTCCTCTCCGCACTCAGGGCTACCCACCGTCAAGTCATTGTTCGAGGCTCTTCACCTGCCTCGCCCTCTTCACCGTCCCAAGCTGCTGTGTCCATCCTCGAATCCCCCTTCCCCATCCCGTCATCAATCACGGACGAAAACTCCGCACGTGCTTTGCCAGGGGTGAACGAAGCCGAATTCACTCAAAAAGTATTTGGAATCTGTCGATTTGTTCAAATAGCTCCCAAGCTCGTCCTGGTGGATCTCACTGTCCGTCTTCCCCCTACTGCTCTGGGAGAGAAATACAAGGTCTACATATCTTCCACAGGCGACATGATATCTCCTCCTGAGACGACCGGAAAGCCGTATTTCCATCTTGGACAGGTAGAACTGGACGAGGGTGGATATGGTGATATGTTTTGTGAAGTTGAGGGTGATTTATGGGAATGGATAGGCAGAGGTTGTGTCGTTCAAGCTACTTCTACCCAGGAAAATACCGAGACGACGTCAAGTATAGGCCAGATTTTTGCTGGTGTGGTTGCTCAAAGTGCAGGAGTTTGGGGGAACGACAAGACTGTTTGTGCTTGTAGCGGAAGGACCATGTGGGAGGAAGGGAGAGAGATGGAGTCGAAGAGTACTAGTAATACTAGTACGCTTTGAGTTTTATAGTGAATAAGTATCTGAATTATATCTCGTGTCTTTTGCGATGGATAGTCAGCAGGTACTTACTCCACATTGGTGGATTGCCCACAGAGATGATCAATTGACAGTCCAGTCGCCCAGGATTGGTAAAATTAGGATACGCTTGCTCTACTCGTACCACTGACTTGACTTTGTCTGAGACGATTGCTATACAGTGTGAGTAGAGTAGAGTACATGCCATGGCTTAAGCCTCGTTCTTTGACCTTTGGGGAGGTGGCGGCTATTCCACTTAGCCAGCCGGACGACCGCGGGATTTTTCGGCGTTTTGATTGAGTGGGTGTCAGGTTTGCACCGAGGCGATGATGGATGCTTACTCTGAACGGGTCCAGACCACTTTCTTTCCTCCCTCTCTCCTCAATGCTACTACATCTTCATTACAAACTCACTTTCAATCTTTCATCTCTTTGATCCCCTTCATTCCTCTACCTTCTTACTACTCTTTGACCCCTCTCCACACGTTCTTCATACCATATTCGATACAACAGTCCAAGAGGTTGTAGGATCAACACGAGTGAGTGACTTGGGTTTTTTTCTTTTCCTCCCTTCGCGTTCAACCTCTCGTCAATAAATCATCTGATCCTCAGATTTTCAGTTAGCGACATAATCCTCCCTCCTCTTTACTCTACAACCTTCACCACTTTCAATTCGACGACGTTCTCTATCCTTCCGCTACTTTCAAGAACTGGGTAGACACTCTACGAATTCCCTTTCGCCTTGACATCCCACATTCGGTACCTTTGTCTCTCCGACATCATTTAACGAGTTCTTCACCAGCTTTGGATTTCACATACAGGTGAGTCATTCATCTTCATAAGATGAGAGGCGAGGATTCGGACAAAGACACCACGGGAATATGGTATGACTGAATGGTGTTGAAAAACACGCGTTGGAATGGACATTCCGATCTTTCCTTCCAATTCATTTCCCTTCCATCCATCCTCATTCTTCTCTTGGCTTATTAATATTTGCTTCTTCTGCTGCAGTGGACGGTGGACAGTAGAGTTATTGATTACTTCATATGATTGGTAGTGTCATGTCAAATGAGTTGCCTGAGCAGATGACAGTCATGTCATCAGAGCAGATGGAGTGATGTGACATTGGAAAAAGACAACAAGCTGATGTTGAACAGATAGCAATCAAGCTTTATATTCTTCCCTTACTCCATCGTCGAAATGGCAGATCAAACGAATGAGATTGACTTGGATTCGGTCATAGACCGACTTCTCGAGGGTGAGTCTGAGTTTTCGCACTTACTTGATCACTCCTCTACCAGTCTTTCTGTGCTGGCGAAAGAGGTACTCCTGTTCATGCAGAAGAGGAGGTGAAGAGCTCTAAAGGGGAGTGTCACCCAACAACTGCATGTAGGAGGAAAACCGAGGTGGATGCGCGTGAGAGGTGCGAGGTTTGCGACTCAGAAGTGACCTGGGTCAAATAAGCACAAGTGATGCAGCACAAGCCAAAGCTAAATCATCCAGTCCGCGGAAATCGTCCAGGCAAAGCGGTCCAGCTACAGGAATACGAGATCAAATATCTGTGCACGAAGGCGAGAGAAATTTTCATCAGTCAGCCTATACTGCTCGAGTTGGAAGCCCCCATCAAAATATGCGGTCAGTCTTCCTTTCAAGCAGTTGTCATCCTCTCATTGATCTCCGCTGGAATCATGAGGGTCATCATCAAGCTGTGGCTGGAATCTAACATGTAGGCGATATACACGGACAATACTACGATCTTCTACGACTTTTCGAATACGGTGGATTTCCACCAGAAGCAAATTACCTCTTCCTTGGCGATTACGTCGATCGTGGTAAACAATCCCTAGAGACCATCTGTCTTTTACTCGCGTACAAGATCAAATATCCCGAAAACTTTTTCATCCTCCGCGGCAATCACGAGTGTGCTTCCATCAACCGTATCTATGGCTTTTACGACGAGTGTAAGTCTAAACTCGGTCATGTGGAACCGAGCCTGATGAGCAGGTAAACGGAGGTATAACATCAAACTGTGGAAGACGTTCACCGATTGTTTCAACTGTTTACCCATCGCTGCCATTATCGACGAGAAGATTTTCACCATGCACGGAGGTTTGGTGAGTTGACGAGCTGGCGATATATGCAATCGCACTCGACTGACAAATGCAGAGTCCAGACTTACAGACTATGGAACAAATTCGAAGAGTCATGCGACCTACCGATGTTCCGGATACTGGTGAGTACTTGGGTGTTGGTACTTTGTCCAACTGACAACTAGGTCTGCTCTGTGATTTGCTGTGGTCAGACCCCGATAAAGACATTACCGGGTGGAGCGAGAATGACAGAGGTGTCTCTTTCACATTCGGACCTGACGTCGTGTCGCGCTTTTTGCAGAAACACGATATGGATCTTATCTGTCGAGCACATCAGGTAAGTCTCATTACAAACGCTGGCCACATGATCTGATGGTTCAGGTGGTGGAAGACGGTTACGAGTTCTTTGCCAAGCGTCAACTTGTCACCCTGTTCTCAGCTCCAAATTACTGCGGAGAGGTACGTCGCCGTCACAAAGGATGGGGCTCCAACGATTGACGATTGCAGTTTGACAATGCCGGTGCCATGATGTCTGTCGATGACACACTGCTATGTTCCTTCCAGGTGAGATTCGCCCTGATTTCTTCGTCCTCGTCTATCATGCAAGTCAACTGACGTTTAGATTCTCAAACCTGCCGAAAAGAAGACGAACCGAAACCCGTACGGGGCACCCGGCCGGCGTTAGTTTTCGTCCTCCTTTCTCTGAGTCCGTTTTCACCTTGCTTCTTTTCATTACAGCGTGTGATGCGCTTGTACACATGTCTAATCAAGTCTTTCCGTACTCTTTACTATATATCGTCACCCCCCGGGGTCTCCGGGGTATGGATGCGGATCAATGCTGACTTGACCAGCGTCGACTTCGGTCACACCCCCTCGGAAAAAACCGGGCAAGAAATAGAATGACGACGAGATTGATTGTTGGAGTGCGACGGGAGTTGTTTCATTGGTGCGACATGCGGCATGATGTTCATGAGGTTTGTGACGGGAGACGGGATCGACTGGGGCGGTGGGAGAGGACGATCAAGATGGTCAAGAGAGAGGGGGAAGGGAAGAAAGATTCTCTTTACGCCTGTTATGTGTATGAAAACTCCTCCATCCCTTTTTTCCCTCTCTCTCTCTTTCATTCATTCACTCACATGAAACGAGTATCGTGAAATCGTCAAACTTATACTGTTTCTCCCACTCTCATTATCACACGAAGGAATTGCAGACGCATGGGTGTGTGGTACAAAGTATGTACTGGATTTATCGAAACGTTGTGTGCATGACGTGTGTCTCTTGTGTTGGTTGTTCCGCGGTTCCGGCCTGCCTAGCCAGACTAGCCTTTCGGCTTTCGGGCGTCGGCGATCGATCGTGTGGTCAACTAGTAGCGTTTGTTCCTCTTTGAGAATTGATCGTCGTGACAAATTTCTTCTTAGTCGTACTCGGCACTCGGTATCCGTACTCCGGGCTGATCCGTTTTACCCCATTTGACATGACCTTTGATCTCTCCTCATCCCCCCCGTATCTCCCCACTCGTTCCCAAGGCGCAAGTGTGAAAGCTACCTACGTTATAGACGGCCGTGAGCCGAGGACCGACGATCTGATACTATACTGACGCCCGGAATGGATCTAGATCTTGATTTATCCACAATGGGTATCCCCGGTCATTCCCAGACTAGTAGAACAAGCCTGGAACATGGAAGAAAGACGAGGAGAAAGACGAGACAAAAAGGTTGAATCGTCTATGATTCCATCAAAAATCCTTATTCACCTACACTGATCTCATGTCTTCACCCCATTTCCCACCATCTCATATCCCTTTGATCTTCTCTTTCCCCCTATCTCCATAACTCGTCGTCATCCCATTCACCTCGTGCATCGTGAGAATCGCTCCTTCCCGCCCTTCATCCCCCAATCCCCGTCAACCTAGCCAAGCCTCATGTTTTCACAATCGTCACTTGACCAATCTAACCAATCTCAGTCATATTCCCTTTCCCTTAACCCCTCGTCTCTCTTTCTCTTTCCATTCAAGCGAGGAATCGTTTCTTTCACTTCGCTTCAGAGCTCAACTTTTCTCTTGTCAGTTTCACGGGTCCTGGGTCTTTACCTCGCTTGGATTCCCACCCTTTCGCTTCCAACTAGTTTAGCTCAACACTTCCCGCTTGGCCGCCATCCCGCTTGGACAGTTTGATCTTGTGAATTTGTAACTTTGTCTTTCTTTTTGAGGGATGATTCCACTAGGAGATGAAATTGGGATCGGGTCCGATATTCAATCTTTATCATCATCTTCATCCCAAACACCTAAATTGACCAACACACAATCATCTAGATCTTCTTTCTCTTCTATCTCTTCAAACTTCGTACCACTTTCTTCTTTATCAATAACAAATCTTGATAATTATCCTTTTCCTCCTTTTATCTCTGAAAGTGGAGAAGAAGGATCATCAGGATGGGAATCTTTTGATGGTTTGAATTTCAGACCTAGACAAGGAACCGATTCTTCAATCACTTCTTTCTCTTTGAATGGTTTAACGAATCCTACAAATCTATCAAATCTATCAAATTCAAATTCAAACTCGACAAATATATCAAACGTACCAATTACTACCAGTCTTACGAATAATTCAAAATCATCAATTTTGACGAGTGGCAATTTTCCAAATCCCATAAACCTATCCAGTTCAACAAATTCATCAAATCCTATCACTTTATCGAATCTTTCGAGTTCTGCTCAACTTCATCAAGAAACACTAAAACTTTCAGAAGTGTCAAACGTAACTTCTGGTACAGATTTGAAAAGGATAGAAAAAACCCATACGGATAAATCTCAACCAAGTCTACCATCACCTCCTCTGACTGGGACTATCCCACTTTACTCAAAGGATGTTGTCGATTCACGTTTTATCAAATCGGGTGTGGAAATTCCAACAATGGTACGAGACATGTGAGTCTTCTCTTTTCATCTCCTTTTTCACATACTATTCATATCCTTCCTATTTACCCTTGCTTCTTTCTCATGTCTGAGACGTGTTGGATGGGGGAGGTGGGGGTGAACAAGGTATTCACAGCTTTTTTTATCTGCTTCTCTCGCACATGTCTCATGTTTCATATCCTCATATCCCATGTCCCATACCCCCACCCGCGCTGTGCTTCATGTCCCAAGTCATAATACACATTTCCGCCCTTTCTCACTCCCCCCCCCCCTCCGCCTCCCATCTCCAGCTGATCAGTAATCATCTCTCACGCCCTCCATCAGACCATTGTTCTCTCATTACAATATCATCCGATTATCCTCCTCGCTTATATAATAATACTTGGATCTCATGATCATACTAGCGAAGTAGAATCATGACTTACATCATCAGAATCAACCCAACCGATCCTTTCTCCATTCCACAAAGATCTCATTTATCACCAAATCAACCACCTCTCCTCCAAGGGAATATTTTGAATCTAGGACAAGATGTAAATTTCAATCAGAATAAATTAAGACCTAGAGGATTTAGTGATCAAGGTCCAGGTCCTACGAGACCTAGTATACATCCATTACCACAACGACAACATCCATATTCTGATCAAAATGATAGAGATGAGAGTTCTCGTGTTAGAGCACATTCGGATCCACGTGCGAATATCTCGGGTCATACCGTTTCTGCACCTTCTGGTTCTGGATTATCTGGGTTGTCTGGGATTTCAGGGAGAGCAAGTGAGGAAGGAGGGAGTAAAGAAGAAATCAAATCTTCCAGAGCTGGGTTAAAGAGGAGACAAAAATATAGAAGAACCAGAACGGGTTGTTTGTGTTGTAGGACAAGGAGAATAAAATGTGATGAGGGTAAACCGACATGTAGGAGATGTTTGATTGCTAAGAAATCGGTGAGTCAATTTAAACCACAAAACCTAGTTCCTCTCTTCATATTTCTCGATATTGTCCTCACTTCCTCATTCAGCTTCCTTATTACTTATTCCTCCTTCTGATCATCATTCTTGGAGTTTTCGTCGACGTGCAAGAGAATGTCAAGCTCATAAAAGTGTCAATACCCAGAACCTGAAGAAGCGCCCAGAAGAGAATCCAAATCCAGTGATCATAAACGTTCCAGAAGCGCAAGCAGTACCCCTAGCAGTGATGATGAATTACTGCCCAACCCTAAGCCTTTGACGGAGAGGGCGAGAGGTAAACGTAGAGCTAGCGGTGAAAATGTTTCGGGAACATCTGGCGATGTCTTTCTTCCGTAAGTCAGAAACTCTCTTTTGTCACTCGAATCTCTACCTAGAAAGTCCGACCAGAGTCAGAGAGTCTCGAGCTTGTGAGGCATGACTTGATCTGGTATGGACAGACATTCAGGAGTACACGGGAGTGATATCAGGACTGGGAACGTTTTGATACTTTTCAAAGCTCTCCTAGATCATACTATGAGAAAGATCAAAAACTGATGTCACCAGTGACGAAGAAGTCTTCACATACCCTCAATATCCCGTCGATACTTCCGGTTCAGGAATAGGTCTCTTACCTCCTGTCGATTTCAATTGGGATCCGTCCATGGTCGGAGAGTATGGCGTGGGTTTGGGTGATGATGGTACGAGTGGATATGCAGATGAAAGAGTTGGTCAGGTTGATGAATGGGCAGGAGGGATGATAGGGAGACAAAGGTGGGGTGCTGTAGGAGGTGCACCCATGTTGTCCACTCCGAATTGTGAGTCTAATTTGGTATCTATTTCTCTCTTATTCACCCACTGTACCCTTTTACCATCCTACTTCGCCAGTCAGTTTATAGCCTACCTACGTGGTAATCTATACATACTTTCCTCTTTGGTTCTCAGATAGCTACGTCGGACCGAACGTCTGTGTCACAGTCATTCGTATCATTCCAGTCGTCCCGTCTCTTGCATGGAATTCAGGGGGAAGACAGTGCTTGGCAACGGCCGTGGAGTCGGTCATGTTATCCATTGACTAACTTCCAGTCCTCCTTCCTTGGTTCCCTACGGCAGAAGAACGTAGTTTGATATTACACTACTGCGCCAACGCCGCCGATCTCATGATGGCTATTCCCTCTGGTCTCAATCCGATGTTAGCTATCAACCTCCCCTTGGCTCTGGACAGTCCTAGGGGTATGTCTATAATTCGGGACAACTGTCCTGTCCTTTCCCCTTCACCTCTCTGGTCCTCTGGTCCCATGTCGCTCCCTGCTGCTTCATTACTCCGCCTCTTCATCTTCTTTCACTCCCCTATCTCCGGAGTCCTCTCATGCCCTCCGTTCCTCCATTCCCTTTCTTCCCCCTATCGGCGAGACCCCCGATTCGTCTCAAAAGGAGGAGAATCTGATGGACATCACAGACTGACCAACAGGAATGAACACTTCCGCCGACGCACTTCGTATAGCTCTCCTCGGAATAGGTGCCATACATCAAGCTTTTCTTCTTGCCCGAAGTGGCGTAAGCACCACACAAACCGCGGCCATGTTTCAATACGCTAGTAATCTCCGAGATGTGGGTAAACAGATGGTACGCAGTGCTGCGGTTGAGAGTGGAGGAGGTAGCAGTGATGCGGCATTGGGAGCAGGGACGGCTTTGGCCACTATCGATATTTTCTTCGGCGGCAGTGGCTGGCAAGAAAATTTCAAGTTGGCAAAAGAGATGGTCGCTTTGTGAGTTTTCAAAATTCTCCCGTCGTGTGTATCACATAATTGCTCGCCTTTCTCGCACATACTCTATCGACTGCCAAACAGCCTTCCAAGTGGATCAGTCGTTCAACTTCTCTCTGACCAGCTTCTTCACCCCACGGTGTGCCGTAATACGGTATACAGCTGTGTCATCGAGAATTATGCGATGGGGAGCTAGAGGAAGGTGTGGTCGAGCGATGCGCACGTGTACTGACAAACAGCCGAGGAGGACCAGCAGAAATGCTCAAACGTTCTAAACCCACCCTCTTGGCCGACGGCGTGACTTTATCTCCCGCACGGATGTTGCTAGAGATTCTGGCGATATACGAGACGTTTGGATGTCTGACTACTGGTACAGAGCCAAGTTTGATAAGTGATCAATGGGAGCCTTGGTGGTAAGTATTGCATCATATCTTCGAGAGACTTACATTGCTGACGAGTAGGTTCGAAACAGGCGGATCCACGTACGAGGAACATTCCGTGGAGAAACAATTTGGAAGTGAGTTGTCGTTCTATCTCCTCTGTTATCCTCCACCGTTCGAAACTACTTTCCATATCCCTAATCTCCCACACAGCTATGTGGGCGTCACCTCTTTCTTAACTTACCGTCGCGTTTGTATTGTACGTCCAGCAGATCAGAATACTTGGTGGAGAATCAATACTTACATCAGTGTCCCGGATGATGGTCCAGCTCTTTGCACGCATCACTCGTCTCCTCGCTCGCGTAACGCGTTCTACGACAATCATCACAGAAGCAGACCCTCTTGCCCTTTCCTCCCCTCACACAGCTCTAGGACCCTCTCCAATCTCACCATCTGAATCCAGCTCGGCCGTTTCCGCGATCCTCGAATCGACTTCTTCCATACCCATCGCTATAACACCTTCTGCCTTGTCATTGATGGCCTTTGGCGGTATAGATCCATTGGTCGTTGAAGCTAGACAATTGAAGAATGACGTCGATGCCTGGATAGAAAGTTTAAAGTTAACCACTTTGGAACATGAACGAGTACAAGTGGGGAACCGGGCGTATGCCCATGCTATGAAGGTCAGTCGTCTTCTCTATTCGCAGTGATCCTCACACGTCATTCCAATCAGTTGATCGGTGAGTAGAAATACTCTCGTCGGAAGACTTAGGAATGTCACAAGAAGGGAAAGAGAGTACGAGCTTCAACGTTACTGAATGCTAAAAGTGCAGATATTGTTACTCCGTAACGTATTCAAATATCCCCGAGAAGATGCGAGGGTGCAAGATGCGGCCGTGGAAGTTTTACGACATTGTTCTACTTCGACAGCATTGTTAGGCATGTCTATTGAGTGAGTATCGTCGTATTCGCCCACAATTTCCGGTCAACTTTCTCATGCCCCCTACTTACTCACTTAACAGCTGTCTCACTGAAACGTCTCTGAGACCCCCCAGTATGAAAAGAAAAAGCATGCTGACTTCCAGTCTCACATGGCCTGCTATCATTGCTGGATGTTGTGTCACATTGCCTGATCAAAGACAATGGCTTTTGACACTTTTGGAAGGATTCAAGTGAGTCGTCTTTCATCTTCCTATTCATCACGATTCCGTTCACCACCTACGGATCATATTTGTTGTCGTCATGATCTCTCTGAACCGGTTCAATCCAACTGTCATGGAGATACACTGACAATCAGAGCGCAATGCTGTTTCGACATTGAGACTGCCTCTCGGATAATCCAAGAAGTCTGGCGTCGCGTGGATGCCAATGAGCCTAGGGGAGATTGGAAGGAAGTATGTGAGGATTTGGGCTTACAGGTTTTGTGAGTTTGTCTTTCCTTTGATTCTCACTCCACCCATATATCTAGTTTCCCGTATATCATTGAGTCAGACCGATGTTGAATTCATTGTCAAAGAGTCGGTGCTGATATCATAGACTGTGTTGATAATTTCCAAAGAGAGGAAGTTGTGCATTATCAATCATCTGGAGATCTTGGGAATTGCTCAGCATGGCTGTTCAAAAACGACATGTGTATTTATTGGGGAAACCGAGTGTCTATAATGATCATTGAACACGTCAAAGGGGAATGATGATGAAGTATGACGACCTGAAACGTAATGGCAAAGCATGTGCATGCAGATGGATGAATGTATAAATCTTTCATCCATATTGAAAAAATTGTGTCCGTTGCTATATCGATCCTTTCAAGTCGCAATCTCCTGTAGATTTGATCTTGGGCATGTACTTGTGCACTTCATTCACACTTTGATCTTACAACAATGCATCATCCACAACATACATAACCTACACAACGACGGCAAATTTGTCCTTCGGCGTCGGCCGTCAGCAGGATCTGACTCGCGTCCTCGAAAGAGAAGACTACAGGTTTTGTGCTCAGAGGGGAATGGATTCAGGAGAAAGTGTTCAATTCTTCAGTCGAGATAAGAGCGAAGGGTAGTGATGGATGAGGAAAGGTTCAACAAGACTAATTTTCTATCGTACACAGAAACTTATGAGTGGAAATCGTAAAATCAGAAACCAGCGAAGGATGAGGAAAGATAAGTTGCCGGACATGTTCATTAACACCTGACCCGACCCCATATATCCCTCTTACATCCTCCTCCTCCTCCCCCTCCCCCTCCTCCATGCGTGGTAGTAGTAGTAGTGGTGGTGGTGGTGGTAGCCACGACGCTCGTACTCGTGGTCGTGGTTGTTGGTGTGATACTGGGAGACTCTGACGTAGCTGGAGGTGGAGCGGGAGGAGCGGGCATCGGAGGAAAAGTGATATTGCCGATAGGAGCACCTCCAAAGACGTCCCAATTGGTGAGATGTGTCCATGATTCTAGGTTTGTCCAAATATCATCCAAGTTGAAAGTTCTGGCCGTGTTGTAGTTGTCATATACCGTCACACTGAGGTTAGTTTCGGTACTTTGGTATTTTCTCTGCTTCTTGTATCTGAGTGAAGCACATAGAGAGGAAAGGGAGAGGTAGTGAGTGAGTGGGTCAACATAATCCGTATGACAATGTGAGGGCGAGGTGAGAAAGGGAAGGGATGAATTAAAATCCGAGAAGAAAAGGGAATGGAAGAGACGAACTCACTTCAATGTCTTCCCATCCCATCCGGTAGTAAGCGCGGCCACACATTCCGAATTTCCTAGAAGCTTATTACTTGCACTCATTCCTAACAAGATAGGTGAGCTATCCACATGTTGTCTCAACATGTTTACTTATCCGTCAGCCTTTCCGTCTTTTTGAAAATAAAAGACTTACAGAGCTCAGCCTTGTCCGTATCACTAGTCAAATCCGGATACTCCGTAGTGGCGTCCAAACCGGTGACGGCTTCTAACGCATTGTCGCAGCCGCTGGCTTGACCTTTGAATGTCCATAGATTGTAGTATGAGACTTTGTAACCATACGGCCACCTGAAATCAGTGAATTGACACTCTATCACTCGAATGTTGACTTTGGAAAGGTTTAGACGATGACGAGCCTCCAAGAATATGAATGGAGACATGGGACGAGGAAAGGTCAAGAGAACCATCTCCTGGGCAAGGGTTTACATGAAGCGGAGGCTTGGAAGATGAGGAGAGAAGCTAGTAAGATGAAGAAACTCACCAATTGGTCCCTGGTACACCTACCACACCTTCAGGATCACTAGCGGGAAGAGTGACATTGGTCCATTGAGGCTGGAGCGATTCCGGTTGAGCCAGTACGAACCCAGTCATCAACTGGGTATCGGGTTTCCCGCCTGGTCCTATCAGTAACTACTCACATCTCTTCAATATTTCTGCCATACGCGAACAAGGTTGGAGATTGCAGATTCATTGTCCAATGAGTGTCATTGGATCAGGAGAAGATCCAAAACTAAAGGAAAGTACGTATACTACAGTATGAATCAGACGGGATAGAAACATGTTTTGAGTTTGGGGAGAAAGTGAAAGTTGACAAATTGAGGACAGGACAATTTGAGAAACACTCACCAGGCGTATACACATTCGTCGTGATCCATCCTTGATTCTTGTGTACTATGGAACACATAGCAGCTGCTAGATCATCCATTGTCACAGACTCTTCGAATGGTGCCATCGTCACCATTTGATCTATTCCATCAGCTACGTAGTCATGATAATTTCGTCTCGCATGATCCGACGCGCGGCCGATTTGCTCCACCCTTGCTATCCCCTACACCCGTCGTATCTGTAGGCTATAGTACCGAGATCTGAAAGGTGATTCGGACCATGGGTGGAGCGGTCAACGAAGGTAGTCACTAGCAGAATGAGCATTCCAAAGGGTAGAGAGGGAAAGGGGTACCCCAGAGAAGAAAACACCACTAGAAGAGTGAGACAGTGAAGAGGATGAACCTCACCTCTTGTGATATCCTTACAATCCAATCCACCCGGGACGTACACCGGTCCGGCGGCGGTGGCGTTGATAGCTGAGACCTGCTCAACTACCAGTCAGTCACACCAGTTTCCGACCGAATAAAAACTTACCATTTCCAAGTATGGCCAACACCACTCCACCCAAGGTTGCAGAAAAAATCATGTTTCTATTATGCAAATTGACTCTTCTCAAATCGTCAGATGGGCGGTGGAGAAGCCCATACTAAAATACTACTACAGCTCAATATCTTCATCTTATGCCTGACACATGCACAACTTGACGTCCTTTGCCTATCCCCGACCGCCTTTCCTTTCATCCATGTGTCCTGACAAGGGGCGTGAGGGTAGATATGCTCCTCGTTTGTCAGTAGTTGAGACAGCCGAGTAAAATCCCGTGACGGTGAAAGATATGCCACATTTCCAAACCTGTTCAATGGCCGTCAAATGGTCAATACATAGTCAGAGTCGTCAATAATGATCAGTATACATTGTCAGACGCATGTGGTCTGACTAGCTAACATTTACATGAAACCCCTCCTGCCCCGGCCGTCTGATTGACGATGACAGTGACTGTGAACGGTGCTTGATCTTGAGGTCCTGACAGACACGTCGAGTTCGCTGCGGGCGCACTTTTTGATGAACTGTTCGACGACGACGAAGGGTCTTTCGGGGGTTGGCTGCTATTGGCAGCCTTACCACCTATGGGCAGACCTGCAAAGTAGTCCCAATTAGTGAGGTGGGTGTATTGGACCACGTCCGGGAAGAGATCATCAAACGCAATTGTCTTCCATCCTACAAAATTCTCGAAGACGACAACACTGTTAGTCAGTATCTCACCTACGACCAAGTACTTCCCCATTGGAACACGGGATATTTCGTGTCGGGGTGAAAGCGGCCACGACTTTCCATCGTGATGTCGAAATGTTAGGGGCGCATGTCCCCATGTCCTCGCACACGAGAGAAGTGAAGTAATGATAAGGAGGCGGAGAAATTCGTTCTGTGTACTTACTTAATATCGGGTTTGGTCCCATTTGTGGTGAGCACCGCTTGGCAGTCCGATTGCGGCGAATCGTTCGAGCTATTCTTCCGACCTAGGATGATAGGTGAACCATCAGCATACTGTACTAGCTGATCCCCTGCATATAAGCCTTAACTTTGGGCTGACAAGCAAAGACGTACGAAAGAGATTCTTGGCCGCAGTATCATTCGATTGAAGCGTGACTGTGGTGGCTTTAAAGCCTGTCATTGCTTCCAGTGCATTCTGGCAAGAGTTGGGTTGGCCATTCTGGATGTAAAGATCATTATATGCCGTTTTGAACCCGTAAGGCCACCTGAAGTCAACATTTCAGGTTCAGATCATCGTTGTAAACGTCTTCAAGGAGAGTAGGACTTGTTCTGAGGGTTTAGAGGGCAATCGGAAGGGCAGGCATGGCATAGAGAATGGAGCCGAGAGGAGGGAGGAACAGTAGTCTCACCAACTGGAATTTTTCTTGACGCCAGTGACTCCAGCAGGATCGGAGTTGGGAAGGGTGACCTCTGTCAAGACGGCATCGAGTGTACCTGGCTTGGCCATTCCAAACTTGGTCGGAGCTTGAGTGTCTGCAGTCTTTCCTAGATTATCAGTGGTGAACACGTCGCAATTTCCGCGCGGGCGCTGCCAGCAGGACCACTCATTCCGTCCAATGAGTCTTCGATCCAGTATGTGCCATGTTCTTAATGTGAGACAGATGAAGTGATACAACTCACCTGGAAGATAGATATTCGTCGTAATCCAGGTCATCCTCTTGTTTACTAGGCAGCATAAGGCAGCAGCTAGGTCAGTGGCCAAAATGAGGCTGTTGTTCGGCGCCGTCGACAACACCATTTGATCTGGTTTTTCAGTCCATCTGATCTCAATGATACGTAGTAACGATGAGTTCTACTTCACAAACAAGTGTTCCTGAGATGGGTGAAAGTGATTATCTTTAGGATTGAAGTAGTTGAGAGAGGATAAGAAAGTGAATGCCATCTACTTACCCTTGGTTATGTCATAGCAAGGCATATTTGGAGAGTAGACGGGACCTGCCTCTGACGCAGTGATCGCAACGACCGGTCCGACTAGAAAGTGTCAGTCCTTATTCGCGAACATACATGATCAAACTTACCCTTCGCTAACGAAACCAGCACAATCGCAAGCATTGTTGAGAGTAACTGCATATCTCTTATTTGAAGCTTTCCTTGTCTTGTGACAGGGGATGAAGTTGAGTATGTTCACTCTTTATAGACCACGGGAGAAAGTCCGGGCTTTGTGTCCACGCTGTCTCCTGGGTGTCAGTTACCCATTGGGTCTCCCAAACCTCCTTTCCGTTTATCAAGTGGGCCTGAGGGGTCAGGAGGGGATCAGCTACATGTGTGTGCCGGTGTCCTTGACCGAGTGTGAGCGTATTCTCCGTTCTTTCCTTTGAATCCCCTTCGGTCAGGCAAAGGAGCTGTTCCCGTGACGAGGGACGGTTCATGGTAAGCAAGGAATAAAGGAACGGGTGGCACACTGGAAGCTAATGACCAAGAGAGGGGGATGGGTAAGAGAGGAGTGTCGAGTGAGCGGGGGTATTCGACTTGTGATCGGGGGGAATGCAGCCCTAAATCAGCATTGACCCGTCACGGGAGTGTTGTCGAGGAGAGGAATAGTAGATAGCCGAGATGATGGGTCAGAAGTCAGCACACATGGACGGATGACATGCATGATACGGGACTGACGAGGACATGATTGTCAATGATTATACTACACTTTTAGGACTGGCTGACTTCTGGTTGAATGCGAATGCTGTGATGTTTTTCGGATGCAGTGATGGTTATTCATGTGTTGTGATGCAATGTGATGACGTTATTGAGATGTCGTGCGATGATATTGACCAAGCTTGGTAATTGAAATAATGGAGACCGACGATGGAGGCGAGACCACAGGGGCGAGTATTGTAAAAAGAAAGCACAGTTACTCAGTGGTCGCAGCAATAGGCACAAGGGAACAGGGTGGTCAATGAGGAAGAAAGACAATGGCAGCTGAAAGTAGAGCGAGTCATAGGTAAGCTGAATCGAACGCGCCAGAGGCGTAATTGTACAGGTCGGGCTCCGGGATGCCGAAACTCGAAGTGCTCACGGCTATTTTCGGTCAATAAAATCTCCCCCAGTGCCGTGAACAACTCACTCGACAAGGTGGAAAGTCTAGCGGCAGCCGATCTCTGCCGAGTGAACGGATTATCCGGCTGACTTTTAGCGGAGAGGTGAGCGATCGTCGGGACGAAGCCCACCTCGGGGAAGGGTTCTTCGTCCCCTTGACGAGCGCCACTGGAACTCTTCGTCAGCCCCGTTGCTCCGTTCAGGACTAAAGCTTACTAAAAGAGCTTCGGACGCCACTGCTCGATGACGCCCATGACAGCAGAATTTCGGAACTTGTTGATGAGACTGGCTTTACCCCTTGTGGTGAGTGCTGCACGTCGCGGGAAGGTGAGGACCCACTGAATGTTCGCGTACGAGACTTGAAGCACCTTCTCACTTGAGAAAAGGTTCCATTTTTTCCCAACCTTGGCCTGTATGAATGCGTACAGAGCGCCTACGTCGACGAAATTCACGAAAGCATATCCAACGTTACAACAGTTCTTGAAGTCGAAGCGAAGATAGACAAAATCAAAGCGGCGAGGAACAACCTGGAGGATCAGTGTGATCAAGTCTTATCAAGGAGCTCACCTCATGGAGGATGTCGATGAGCTGGTCTCGCGAGAGTTTGTTCTACCTCATCAATTTTCGAAAGCAGCGATGCGAGAATACTCACAGGAACGTCTTTGATCATGACAGTGGTACGTGGATCCAGTCCAGACAAGATTCTCTCCGGAAAGACACGATTCTCTTCTGGGATTGCTTGCCGGTCGTAAGGATTCCATTGACGACCAAGGCCTTGACCCAGTCTTGACCGCGCTGAGATGTCCATTGTGTTCATGATGCCAGCGATTGTGCCCGGTTCTGACATACGACGACTCATGGCTTCGAGATGGGAAGGTAAAGGTCTTTCGGGGTACGGCGGGAACGAGGCATGTTTCTCGAAGGGGCGCGTCAAGGGAATGTAAGGTCCGAAGATGTCAGAGCTGGGGTTTGTCTCGTGCGAGTCTTTGTTCTCCGTAGCATAGGAAGGCCAATGTCCGGTTGAAGGGTCTTGAGCGGCAGAGACTACGTTGCGGCGACGTAAGAGGGGCTCGATACTCTGTCGTACATCATTCCCAATGTAGGTCGAAGAGCCCAAAGTGTTGACGAGACGCTCAAGCAGCGGTTGAGAGCTCTGAGAGGCATAGCGGGCGCGACTTGCATTCCCAGAGATGGATGTGCCGTCCAGGATCCCAATGGCGTCACGAGCATGACGTGCATCGAAGAACTCCGCAAAGAAAGACTGAGTCATGTGTCAGCTCACACTCAAGAACCGTCGAGGTCGCGCCCACCTTGTTTCCTGCACCCAACGATTCAAGCTTCCACAAGTCGCCAATAGATTCAAGCAAGTTCTGGTGGTCAGCGAAGCGACCCCAGTATGGGGATGCTACTTGCCTGCAGGAGATCGATGTCGACTTCGTGCTCAAAGTCAATGACGACACTGGGCTCACAGTCCCCAAAAACAATATTCCATTCCTCCTGAGAACCCACAATCTTACATCATCAGATATCCTTTACACGATATGGTAGAGCTCACTTGTTCAACAATGGCCCTCTCCATCTTCATACAGTGTAGGGAGAGTGGGCGATCGTTGTTCTTGAAAAAGACCGACTGGTTGCGAAGCCCTTCGTAAAGTTTTGTCGTTTCCCTCGGGTCGTGGAAAGCGACCACCACCTAAAAGTCAACTTCCGTATGCCATAAGGAATTGAGGACTTACACAACCCTTACTGCTCAGATGCTTGACGATGATTGCCTTGAAGTCTGCGAAAGACTGCTGTTTCAGATAGTTTGAGATCGTAAGGCTAAGCTCACCTTGACCATCGCCTTGATCTGTCGGTCATCCACGTCACGAGGTACATTGGACAACTGCAATTTTAGTTGATGCTACACGTTCGTGCGCGTATAGACGTACCATTAGATATCTGCCCAACTCATGAGCAGTCAAGGTGATATCGCTGTGACGGATTCTGGGCAGTTTCTGCTCCATTCTTCTGTTACCCGGAAGGTCGGAAACTTGACGGTCCTTCTCTTCAACATCGTCCCAGGGGTTGAAAACCGAAGTTTCTGGTCTGCGCGACTTGCTCAAAGAATTATTGATGATCGGCGAGAAGTCGTGTTGATGAGAAGGTGTCCGGAGTTCAGTTGTCGAAGCGGACGGAGGGGTTCGAGACATGTCTATCAAGATCAGCCTCTTTCGTCACGTTCAACAAAGAGGCTATACCTGTGTGGGCAGGTGTCTGATCAGAGGGACGCCACTGCCAGATCTAAGCCGTCAGCGAGTACAGTCGAACTAAAGTAAGAACAGGACCTTGCTGTTGTTGGCCGGTGTAATTGGGTCACCAGAGAAGGTGAGTTTAGAAAAGTCCGGAAGCCCAAGCTCAGCGCCTATGGGTCGGAAGATGTCCGAGTTTGGGTTAAGCTGGTGAAGTCAGCTCACCGGTGTTTTTCGCCTTCCGCAGAGATCTCTATTGATCTAGTGAGATGGTGAAGAAGGGATAGTTTGATCAGCACTCACCGTCACATTTCGGTCTCTCACTCTCTCACCGGGACTCAGCCCACGAATAGGACGCTGTGGCACTGGAGTATTAGGCGGTTGGATCATCCTGGCGGTAAGAGGTATAGTTCCCACAGGGAGAAGGGAATCAGTGAAAGCACTTACATTCGAGAAGGAGTACTCGAGCTGCTTCTCATGTGTGTTGCTGGAGATGAACGAGAGTGACTCAAAGGGGGGCTGCCCTAGTGAATCAGCATCTTTCCATCGACATAGCAAAGAATTCGCTTCACCAATAAGACGGAAGTCATTGAGGAGAATATGTGGGGAAGAGAAGGAAGGGTGAGCGTGGTGGACTTACCTTGTAATACTTGCCATCGGAAAGAGAGGAATCAAACATGTCGGATGAGCTGTGAATTGTGGTGAGGAGAAAATCTTTGAGTGAGTTACCAAGTAGAAGCAGAAGAATAGATTACTTTTTCGTCGTCTACGAGACGGTGAGATAACGAGGGACGAGTGCTAAGTAGAAGAGATGTGAGGAGGCTTTATACAGGATACTGTACTCGGTATACAATCTGTGTACGTGTTTATGGAGTGAAGGTAGGTGAAGGAAGAGATGTGAGGAAGAGAAGAAGAAAGAAGATTGTGTGGGTAGAGAGAGAGAGAGAGAGAGAGAGAGAGAAACGGAGGCTACGAGTGGAGGCTCACTTTTGATTTTCTTTCAATTTGTCGTAATTTTTCGAAAAAAAGTGACACGCCAATCGAGACTATGTAAAAAGAGAGAGAAAAAAAAGCAGTCACGCTATCTGAAGTCTGAAAATCCACTCAGCTCGAGAATGAGACAGAGAGGAGGCAGTGCTCTAATCCTTAGCTTCCTCCAGGGCCGAGGGGTACGGAAGGGGTTGGACCTGAAGTCGAAATGGAGACACAGCTTCTATTGCTATCTGTGCCAACTCTCGAGCTGACAGACGATAGTAGACCCCCTGAGTGGCGACAATGTGGTACGGAGCAATCGCGAGATCGTGAGAGCTGCTACACCAGGGTTAATGAGAGACATGTCGGTTCTGGAGCGGTGCTAGAGATGCAGGGAAAAAAGACAAAAAATAAGGCTCGAGCGGATCAAAAATCAGGCGCGTCATGGCGGGTTTCTTTTGATTCCGCAGGAATTACCCGAAAAATTGGCACCAGCGAAATTCACCACGACCGAGTGGTATAGTTTTATCAGGTAGTGGTTCACGGTTACTAGTACTATAGACACCATGAAGGAACAGATGCAATACTAGTAAAGTACACACCTATCATTTCTTCTTTCCCTTCTTCTTCCCACCACCCGTGTTACCCGATCCAGAATGACCCTGGGAAGTGGTACTTCCCTGTGTGAAACCAGTCCCCATCGACTCTTTCGCCCCTTTCTTCTTGCTCATCGTTACGGCGTATGATTGACGCTGTCGGAGTGGTATCCATCTCTCAGGCTACGAGTCAGTAATGTGTTTCATGAATTGAAAGATATCTCACATCTTCGGTGAACTGACGAACTTCCGTTGCTCCTTTTGGCAGTTTGTGTTTGCGTTTCTTCTGCTTGGCCTTCTCCTTCCCTTCCACATTTTTGGCAATTGCAGGTTTTGTCTCCACTTTGTCTCCACCCGTTGACCATCCAGCCGGCAGGGAGGGAACGTTGGTTTCAAGGTCGACTTCCGACAAGGATGTGGATGCTAGGACCGAGTGATAATCATGCGAAAGGAAGTCCAGGTGGGAAGCGGTTGAAGCCAGGTTTGTGAGGATGTCTGGGTGTTCAGGGGAAGACTGAGTATGAGTGAATGGATTGAAATCGCCAACGAAGGAGGACATACAGGTGAACATCCAGCCAAGAGCTCGTCATAAATCTGTCGAGTTTTCTCATATTCGCCTATTCTGTATCTCTGGTCAAGTAAGCTTGAATATCTCTAGTAAAGTTTTGTACTCTTTCTTCTCTACGGCCATTCGCTTGTACAGATTGAGAGTCATTTTACGATGTACTACTTTGTAAAGGTCGACACAAGGGACTCACGATCTGGCCCTCAAGATGCAACTCCCGTCTACCCTTTTCTCCGATTTTCGCTTCCAACACCTTCAAGGCTTCTCTCTCCCGATGCAAGCGATAGAGACAATAAGCACGTTCAAATTGAAGTTCTGACTCGTCCTGATACGAGACGACGAGGTCTAAAGCGGCAGAATATTCGTCGGTTTGAAGATGAAGAAAGAGAAGGGTTTGAAATCCTGCCCTAGACTTGGGGTCGAGAGTGAGTACTATTTATCAGTCCTGCTTTCCCCTCCGTTCTCTGTACAGCTACAACGAGCCATGTCTATAGTGATACATAAGCCTACATGAGAAGAAGGAATGATGTTGGGGCTTTGTAAAAGGACCTACTCTTTCTGCACGTCTTGATGGCATTCTGAAAATAACCATCATTCACTTGATCCACCAAACCTCGATAAAGTTGAGGGAGTCGTTCTTCGGCCGACTTAGGTGAACGAGGGGTGAAGGATCTGTGCATGGTATGCTGTGCCATGGTGCGACTAGCCACTACGACCGTTAGATGAAGTTGATGCTTGGAGGAAGTGATGAGACGATAGCACGAGGAATATGCGCAGTCGGGAAAAGAGATGCCGGCGGTATGTAGTGCAGTCATCGATGTGAACCCTTTGTCAGCCAAAGTCATCCAAAATTTTCCACTTTCAAACTCTCTACCTTGGATCGTGAGATTGATGGGAATCATGACCTATCTACATCCTACATCAGTGGTTTTATAACCCTTTATTATCTCATACATCTTTCTCTCATAATTCGTTGTTCTGGCGAGCCAACCATGTCGACCTCTCACCGTCAACCTTCACCCAATGACAACTCCGACAATGACGGAGATGTGGAAGAAACACCTATCAATACCGCAGGTGCTTTCGTCTCTGGTTTTACCTACTTTCCAAATTCATCACCCCCAAACCAAGAGCATTTACCTCTGCCTTCGTCCACCAACTCCATAGACGAAGAAAAAACTCTCAACGCTCATATTCCCTCTACACCACCTGGCATATCTAAAGACCGATCACTGGAGAAAATCCCTTCCGATGTTCCTCCTACCATCTCTCAAACTTCCATGTCAACTCGTCCAGCTCTATCTACAGGACGTAAAATCGCAATATCCGGCATTGTCACGTTCACCACTGCCATGTCCGCCGCTGGACAGATGGGTCTCACCATCGCCCTTCCCAAGATCCAGACCGAATTGAATATGTTGGCTACGGATTTACAATGGATTCAATCAGCTTACACTTTGACCAACGGCTGTTTTCTACTTCTCAGTGGAAGGATAGCCGATGTTTACGGTCGAAAATTGGTGTTCATAGTTGGCGTAGCTTGGTATGCTATTTGGTGTCTCATTGGAGGTTTCATGAAGAATGGTGTGGGGTTAATCATCACTCGGGCTTTGGCGGGTGTAGGAGCTGCGATTTCGTCAGTCTCTTCCATCTTGTCCTCCTACCTGTCTCCTTGCTGATGTCCCCCCTTCTTATGTGTTCACCCACAATTCCCCCTCAGGTCCTGTTCCTATTTGTATGGAAATATATGGAAACGTGGACTGACGAACAGAACACCAAGTGCTATCGGAATCATTGCTGCAAACTTTGAAGGTCGAGCAAGATCCACAGCCTTTGCCTCCTTTTCAGCTGGTGCACCCATCGGAGCAGGTTTCGGGTTGGTTCTCGGTGGTGTGTGTACTGCCTTTGCACCGTGAGTCTATCTCACCTCAAGCTGCTGGCGCTGAAGGAATAGGACCACATGGAGAGCTTGTCTGTGGTGTTTAGCCGGTATCAGTGTACCGCCAGTCGTACTTGGATGGTTCTTCATTCCTCCGGATCATATACTGCCCACCGGAAAAGATAGATCGATCGATTGGGTAGGAGCGACGATGGTCACTTGTGGATTGGTATTGCTTCAGTTCGTACTTACCGACGGACTGTCTGCTCCTCATGGTTGGCGAACGGGATGTGAGTATCTCCCATGACTCAGCACGAAATTTTGTCTCTGATTTTACTCGCTTTATCTGTGCTCTTTGTGTACTCCCCGCTTCTTTCTGTGTCTTCATACCTTTTCTCTTCTTTCCTTGCTCATTACTTCTCTTCATTGTGTCCTAGATATTCCCCGTTGTCCTCTCTCTCTCCATCTCAGTAAAACTCCTTTTTTCGAATACGAGAGTGCGTCCTGCAAAAGACTTCGGGCTATCAAATAAATACGGAATATGCTCACAAAGTAGATATCATAGCCCTTCTCATCCTCGGAGTTGCCCTCATAGTTGCATTTTTCTTCTGGGAACAATACGTGGTCACACGTACCAGCAAACCCCCACTCACGAGTCCGAAATTATGGACAAGGGCGAGTGGAAAACTGGCTTCTGTTTACTTTATTGGATTTGCTACCTGGATGTGTTTCGCCGTGAGTGACCCTCTCAAATCGTACCACTTCCAAGCGTCCATCTTCTATTCTCCCTCTGCGGCGTGCTTCAGCCTTGAACGTTCCTAAGGCCCCTCAGTCGCGTTCCATACTTGTACGGATGAAACTAATTAACAGTCTCTGTTCTATCATGCCACATTATTCTATCAACAAGTCCAAGATCTCAGTCCTATCGGTGCAATGTTACGATTCCTTCCTTGTCCTATCTCTGGTGTATTGTGTAATATCATCGTTGCCGGGCTCATCGCTTCTGTACGGACTCAGTGGATTGTCTGTGTGGGGACTCTGTCAACAGGGTGAGTTGTGTTGTCAGGCTGCCGTCTCTTCTCTCGATCAGTCACCACTCCTCTCCCCAGTCTCTCTGAATCCCCACAAATTTGTGTGTCCGTTTGGTGTGGCCAAGACTGACGTATCAGTATAGCTAGCATACTCTTCGCCCTCGCTCCACCCGGAGGGATATATTGGGCTTATCCATTCAACGGCATGTGGTCATGTGTCCTCGGAGCGGATTTGTGAGTGAATTTCATCCTTCCTTCGTCATTCTCATTTCAAAATCTTCTTCTATACGCGATGACAACAATTGTATAACATGACGTTCCGAGCTGACCGTCAGTCTCATGGCAACAGGATCCATCTTTGTATCCGCCCTTTCCCTTCAATCTGAACAATCCGTAGCTGGTGCTCTCTTCCAAACTCTCGTTCAACTCGGCGGATCATTCGGATTAGCATTCACGACACTCATCAATCAATCGATTTACGACGATCGTATCTCCTCTGGTATTTCGGAATCTTTGGCTTTGCTTGATGGTCTGCGTGTGGCGTTTTGGTTAGGTGCGGCTTTCTGTTTTCTCGCTTTTTTGGTTGCGGCCATCATGCTGCGTGGGATGGGGAAGATTGGGAAGGGGGTGAAACGGAAACATGATAAGGAAGGAAAGCTGGGTGAGGGTGATCATGATCGGTATGTGGAGAGTAAGAGTAGGATGGATGAGTCTGAGACGTCTGACGTAAATGGGCTAGAGGCCGTAGGGGATGAGAAGAATAGAGGAAACAAGCAATAGAGCTCTAATGGAGTGATAAGAATTGCATGTTATACATACTGTATGTCTGCCGTTGTCCTGTCAAAGAATTGGCTATATATTCTAAAGAGGCAATGTGTCAATACCAATGAACATGTGAACTACATTGTACTATACTGTACAATAATATCACGCAGGCAGACACAAGCTCACGTTGAATACTCGAGTCACTTTGACGCCATACTCTTATAGGTCACAAATTATGCATCTCTCGTACTCAGCATCATCTTGTAGTCTACTGAAGGACCTCATCACTGTTGAAGGAAGAATGTTCGGGCATGGTGAAGATACATGATTGTCAAATAGAAATCCGGCTCGTACTTCCAGTTGCTCCCTGCCATATCAGCTGCAATCATACATTTCTCATTAGCAGTCAGAGCGTCTTTTGGAGCCAACCCAATGCTTCCATCACGATGATGCTCTCCCTTTGCCATCAGAAACAACCTTGCATCATCTAAGATCGATGCTGGCATCCCACTTGCTACCTCAAGGTAGCTTGTCAATGGTTCAAAAATGGCTTTGTTGGGGTCCTCACCCTTGTTAGACTCGTTGATTACTTCAACCGTTTTGTCAGCCAGGGCTGTCAAAAGTTCTATCATACCTGTTGGGAGCTTGTAAGCTCCCCACCGGAAGGAGACTGTTTGTTCATGGTTGTCATCCTCTTTGTGTTCATGTTCAGTGCCATCCGGGAGAGTTGGGGTGACTAAGGTATATGTATCAGAATTGTCGGATTCAGCGATTGAAGAGGTGTCGACCATCGTTCCGTCGTTTGAAAAAATTGATTCTGTGTATTCATGTCTATTATCTTCCGGGAGAGTTGGGTTAACTGAAGTGTATATATCAGACAATGAACAATCATAGTTTCCTGGTGCTCCTTGAGCTTGAGGTTCATCATTGGATCTAGCGATAAAAACAGAGGTGTTGGACATTGTTTTGTTGGTTGAGAGGTTGTTTGGTGAGTTATGAAGATGAAGATGGTGATTGGTGATTGGTGGAGCTGGGTCTGATCCAAGGGTTCTTATACTTCTTGAGCACACAGCCTCCTCTGATAGACATGAGAAGATGAGGTAATTGTTGAAGGGAGGAAGGAGAAGCTCTGCAGTGAGCCATATATGTCATTCCGTGAGCCTGAGAAAGTTCAACAAGGGTATGAAAGGAGAGATGAAGATGGCAGTGCTATCTCTTCTCCTGATTTTGCCTTCTCTACCTGTCAGAATGATACATAGACCATGACATAATCGAAAGGAAGGTGAGAACGTGGGAAGGGGCTATGCGCACGGATTTCTTCTACCACTTCAGGCGTGAGAACGACAGGAGAAGAGGACGGTTTGATGATTCTCCTCTTATCCTCTCCGATTAACGCGGGTTTCGGATTGCTGTGCGTGATGATATGTCATCATGAGGGAGACGGGGAGATATTTGGGGACGTGAATGGTGGAGAAAGGGAGGAGATAGTAAACTGCAAGATCCCCCTTCCTCGTAAGCAAAGTACCTGTCTATCAAGGTACACACACATGAATGATTTCTTCTTCTTGTGCAAATAGAATGTCACGGTTACGGCACTTGCTAGACTCAACGTCTGCCTGGGATCATGAGACCACAGGTGAACGTGACCAAGGGGGAAGAGAAGATGGAAATTTCACGGATCAACTGTCATGACCGGGTAGCGAGCCCGCGATCATAAATCGTCCTAAAAAGCTCAATATCAACTCTACTAGTGTTAGTTGATCTCGCTATTAGTACTGGTCGTGACATCAACAGCTTCAGAAGCTCAGCTCACTCTCTCAATTCGACCGGTTGGTGTCAGGATCACGCGATCACGGGTACCTTACCTGGTAGTCGTAATCCATTTCCTGTTCCCGTCTCCGTCTCATGTTCCCGCTACCGGACTTACTCCGTTCCGTACCACGCCTGGTACCAATCCTTCGACACCACTCCCCTTTTTTACATCTCCGTCTTGGCAACTATCATCGTTCTTTCTCTGCTATTCTACCTCAACATCACTTCGAACTACGTACGCCCTTCATCGGTATCATCCCGCGCTCTTTTTAGTATATAGGACGTAGTCTTTTCTCAGCAATGTCTTGTCGAATGTATTTTGTGTTTTCCTAGTTATATCATTTGACATACATCTCATCGATCTTACAGATCTCTTCGATACACTACATCACTAGGTTTGTTCCCTACAAGGCCTCATTGTCACAGCTCATCGACGCAGACTATTCCGACGTCTGGTCCTTACAGTTGGCCAGCATTCATGTTCTATGATCATTCAAACTACATACTGACGAGCTACACCATCAGATCTCTCCAGTGCGTGAGATAGCTTTCTAGAAAGTTTGTACTCACATTGGTCACTGCGCGGTCTCCTGTTTCCCCATCTTTTGTAAACTGAAAAGCAAGGAGTGTCTTTTCAATCTCAGTCAGAGTTCTTCCCCTATTGAGGACATTGTGTCTAATAACCTTCTTCTTGGCAGCAGCTGAAAGGCCAGTCATGTCCACAATGGGTTTGTCCAAGGTTGGCAAGTCTGGCTCAAAATTCACTGTGTTTGCACTGTCTGATGCCAAGTTGCCTGAAGGGTCATTGTCCACAATATCCCTGGTCAAGAAATTCTCAAGGTCTTCTAGCAATTTTGTATCCAGCATTGCTACTCCACCATATTTGTTCAATGCTTCCAAGAGAGTTATAGGCCCATATTGATTAACTTTGTTTGGAGGACTTGATCCTAGGCACTGTGTGGTATATGTAGTCAATTTGTGCAATCTAGTGAGAGCCAAGTACAGAATGTCACTCTCACCCCAGGTGAAGGACTGCTTTACCAATGAGTCTTTGTCCAGAAACGGGTTCTCGATCTCGATTGGTTCGTCTCCACACATCTCATTCCACCTTTGAGACAACACTTGTTCCACCCGGTACCCCAATCTATTGGCATGTGTACTGTTAGGACATTCTTGTTGCGCCGAAGCATAGGCAAAGATTATCTTGTCGAAGTTGGTGAGTTGTCCCATCAAGTGAATGGTTGTCACGACCGGGTAGCGAGCCCGCGATCATAAACCGTCCTAAAAGGCTCAATATCAACTCTGCTAGTGAGAGTTGATCTCGCTATAAGTACTGGTCGTGACATATTCCCCCCCTTCAGGGAAGCTGGCGTCTCGACAGCAGTACTTCTGAACCTGAAACCGTGGCAGGCGCGAGGCCTGTGGGTTTCCAAGTCACATGCGTTCGGCAGGTATTCGCGCTCTCGGAACTAGGAACTAGGAACGTCGAATCGGAAGATCCGACCATGGGATGGTCACATAGGACCCTCGGATGGTTGGCAACCCCCAAACCAACCCCTCAGGGCGAAACCTGAGGACAAACGGTGCTGACACCTGCAGCCAGCACCTCACATAGAGTGAGAGCCGCGAATTCGAACGGGTGACCCGTTAGAGTTGATATTCTGTCACGACCGGGTAGCGAGCCCGCGATCATAAACCGTCCTAAAAGGCTCAATATCAACTCTGCTAGTGAGAGTTGATCTCGCTATAAGTACTGGTCGTGACAATGGTCTCTGTTACGGGGTAACAACGAATCGAGAGGACTCTATCGAGTTCGACGGATTAGGACAGAGGAAAGTGGGAGTTGGAGGCAGTGCTGCAGTAGGTAGGGACGGGTTTTCCCTTTTCGAGATTTCCCCACTGGGTTTGCTCAAAAGCGGTTTTTCACCTGTCCGAGTATGTACATAGACGCTTGCAGTAGGAACTGAGAGGAGGACACGGATACCTGTAGACAGTATATAGTACAATCAGCAAAGTACCAACTTTGCTGATTCTTCAATATCATTCTTTGGCTACATCGATTGCAGAGGAGACACAATCCATTAGCACCAGAGCACCTAGATTTCCACGAGACCTCCATCGAGTTCGACCCAACCTGCGACCTAGTCGTCGTGTTTCCAGTACCGTTACAGTCTCCTTCCCTTTCTCAAGTTTTTCCAAAAACGGATTAAGACTTTCCATCCCAGCTTCCGAAAGGTTTTCCAATGCTCGTGAAAATAGCACAAGAGCACTACGAATTCTTGGATCTGGCATGGCAATTTGACTTTGATTGGGGATTAGATAAGCTTCTAGAGTATCACTCATAAGGGTTTGTATGGCCTCTGTAAAATCAGACGAGTTTTCTTGAGGGCCATTTTCCCACCCAAGAGTGGTGGGTGAGCAATCGGACTGATGAGGATCCGTACGGGTATCGACCATATTTCTGAAGCCTTTAGTATAGTTACGTTACACCGAAAGTGATGGTCTTTGAGATACAAGATGGGGTAAGAACAGTAATCTACACATTCATTCCCCTATATTGTACTTGTGTGGGTGTACTAGGAGAGTCTTCTACTGGTGGGAACATTCATTTAGTAGTGAAAGGAAGGAAGGAAAGTTCTGGGTGCTTGATGTATCACCTCTTTACCCCGCATGAGAGAGACTCGGGCAATGGGGGTTGCGTGGGGGAAATAGAGAAGTGAGTTCATACGTCATCGAGCAGAGGGTTAGACAATGTTCCCACGATTCCCCTTCCTGTGTCTTTCTCCCATCATGTCTCCCACACTTTAAAGATACTAGGGTCCTCCCATGATGTCAGAGTCGAATCCGAAAGGGAGACTAGAGAGGGAATTGATCAAACGAAGATATTCATTGGCTGGCATACGGTCGTAGAGGTCACTCTATAGTATCTCCTCGTTTCAACCTCGGAAGAACCACCTTGCGCCAGATATCCTGCACCTCTAGAGATCAGCCAACCTCCTTCAATTATCCACTCCTTCCAACCAAAGGTATTGTCCTGCAATGTTTCGTCCAACCTGGGAGAAACATGACAAAAGACCGAGGTGAAAGACTCACGAGATTTCGTTTTACCAGGACAAGAAGTGGCGATTTTATCCCAATGTGGGCTGGCAGACTGACTGTCAGCTTCAACCTCTCTTGTCGTTTCACTACAGTCTTCGACCTGATCACATCTTGACCATATCCATGCGACAACGCCCTAAGAGTTCTCCACCACCGATTCAATTGTCGTAAGTACGTCAGATGTCACGTCCGACAGATGGGTAGTGTGAAAGCATGTTTCCTTCTAAGACAGGATGTGAGATGTACGAGGCGACGAATCACTCACATCAACTATCATCTTGAACATGGTCAACTTCATCTCCTTAGTCCATCCCGGTCCTCCATTCGACCAGACCTTGTTCTCAAGTAAAGACGGTAAGATAGTTTTCCGCCAAGTATCCTTACACTCTACATGGTGTCAGCCACTTCCCATCCTTCACAGCTTCAGACGTCCGGCTATCAACGAACAAGGAAGTGAAGAACACTTACGAGTCGGTGTTTTCTTCACTGAAACTCCCACATTCTCCCAGTTGGTCTTCGCTGTCTGCGTCTTATCAGCATTCATCTCTCGGTTCTTGATGGACTCACCTCCAGTACTCGACTAACTATCAAAGTCTTGTTGTGTCCCTCTTTCTCCGGTCGATCATTCATCATCTTCTCTTCCTCGTCCATACCCTCTTGCCCTGCCTTCGTGTCATCGTCTGCGGTATCGACTTCTGCATTCTGAGCCTCTACAGTCTTGGAGTCTGTCGCTTCATCTCCAGATTCCTCGACGCCAGAGGAAGCCGCGGGGGAATGGGGGACATGACGTCGTGCTGCTTCGGTAGCGAGTTGACGTCGTGGAGCTTTACCTCCTGTGCTTTTACGAGCGGCGTTCTTCGTCCTTGACATGGTGGTTGTTGACGAAGTGCTTCAAAGACAAGGTAAAGATGGAGCTGTCAGTCAATACGAAAAGGGAAGGAAGGTTGTCTTGACGACCGAGATAGTGATTGATTCGCCCTGATGATTGATGGTTTGATCCGTGTTCGCTGCTTCCGTGATCCCGTTGTCCGTGCGTCGGATCTTCTGACTTCGTTGCCTGTCCTGTCAATTCTCTTCGTTTCATTTCTCGGATCTGTATTTTCTTTTCTGTCTACCTCTGTAAGTGCCGATCGGATCACACAATATCCATGTATGTAAGGCTGACAAAGAGAGCCAAAGACCTCACATGCTATCACAGATTGAGAGCAACTTCATCCCCGGCAATCCCTTGTCTTCTTTTCATTCGGCTGACGATACCACTTCCATGACACCTGACAAAGCTTTGGTCTTACGTATCATGTGGGAAAAAGCAGAATCTCCAGGTCTCAACTGGGACCACCTGTCCCGTGTTCTGGCAAAAGAAAACGAAAGTGCCAAACGGCATAGTGGGGTCGTTTTCAGGGAAAGGGATCCGAATGGAATCACCTTAGAAAAGATGTATCATACCGTAAGCTAGATCTCCATGGGAGATGTTTTTGAAAGCTGATACGAAAGATTATTCTCCCTGCGCTTAAAAGGGGTGACCTACCTTACGCTGATGCTCCCCAACCGACCGGAACAAATCGACATGTCACGGAGACTGGCTTCACCGCCAATCAAACGTCCTCGAACACAACATCCGTCAGTGAAAACCGCAGGACAACAAGAGACGGAAGGGATGTCCAGGAGGATAGGTCTTCCGCACCTAAGAGGATGAGTGGATCCTCAGCGACAAGGAAAAGGAAGGAAAGAGACGAGGACTTCATTGTAGAAATTGATGAGTTGTCAGAAGGTGAAACAGAAGCGAGACCGAGAAAGCAACCCACTCGACAAAAGAAACAACCTCTTCCCAACTGGGTGACAAGAGATGATTCCCCCCTCTCTTCGATTGCCTCGACTCGATCACCGTCACCTACTCCCGCATCGGTTGAATTCGACCAGGAAAACTTAACCGTTACTAGACCTCCCATCGGCCAGCCTGTAGCAGTCTCATCTCATGTAACTGATCAAACTGCCAACTCGAGTCGTCCACTCCACGTCAAAGGCGAACCTCCTTCATCTCCTCAAGTTCCCGGGGGATATATCCGAAACCGACAATCTCCTTTGGCCGAACTCCAAGTCAAACCTGTTCTTCCCTCTTCACAACGCCGTACACTATCATACAGTTCGAAAATCCGAGAAGAAAGTAATCTCCTCGAAGGTTCAGAAGCCTGTTTTTCATGTCGGAACTCCCAACCTCCCCGAGATTGTTGGCAGAATAAAGGTTCTCATAAATGTGTACCATGTGGGACAGGTCCATGTTCTCTTCATCCGACTCCTGTGAATGTGAAAATAGGTCGAGGACTGACTTCAGTGGCTTCTTTGTTGAGGGGAAGAGCGTTGGACGCAATGAGCAGGGGAGAGAAGAACATTGGTGATATCGTATTGAGTGTGGATGGGTTGATCCCTGCTTTAGATTTTCATGGAGGGGATTGGCAGCAGCTGAAAGAGGTCAGCAAGGATCTACACAAGGTTGATGAAGATGCGAGAGGACGTGGAGGTGAGAGAGGGTAGGATAGCAACACACACCTGTAATCGATTCGATGGAATGCTGGCGCACTGATACGTACATATGATCATTAAAGAGGATAGATTAACATGCATGGGCTGTATGAGTGCCATTCGTAGTCTACTGCAGCGTTAGTAGTAACACACATACGTATTAGGAAGACTTAAACGTACCATCACCGTCGCTTAGGAATCACTCACTATGATGACATCACAAGAGGTCCGTGCACGCCACAGTCACGGTTACAACCTTCCCTCATACTTTTCTCCTTTATCTCTTGACTCATCATCTCCCCTTACCCCTGACTTCATATCTGACCTATTGTGAGCATTCTCTTGTGTCTTAAACTTCACTGACAGGAAGACATACCGAAATGCCCCCTAAACCTCCCAAAAGCAGGGTCAACAAAACGATGTCGATCAGTCCTCCAGCCGTGGCTGACCATACCACAAAACCATCTTTACCTGACAAGAACCTCGTTTTGGAAATACTACTCGCTCGACTCGATGCTGCGAAAGATATGGATTGGTATCAATTATCTCTCTCTCTGTCCTCCACCAACAGTTCCGACCAAGATGAACACAAGGGTGGTAAACGGAAGAGTCCTGTGATGGAGAAAGGCGTAGCAAAGAAGAAGAAAGAGGATGACGAACTGAACGGAACTTCTTTAAGGGAGATGTATTATAATGTGAGTTAGGAAGAGAGGTGAGAGAGAAGAAAGCTGATGAAAAGAGAATATTACCTGCGCTGAAAGAAGGTAAAGCACCGTGGATCGAGATGCCGGAAGAGGATGTTTCGTCAGCCAGCGAGAAGGACCAGCCTAGCCCTATCACTGAAGAAGTCTTCGAGGCACGCAGCCACCAGATAGGTAGGAAAGTGGTGAGGAAACCTAAGGCCGGGGGACCTATGGAGGAAGATGAGAATGATGATAAGAGCGAGATCATGACTGACGGTGCTCATGAGGATGAAGTGATGAAAGACGAGGATCTCGAAAGTGAGGAAGGGGACCTATTGGAATATGAAAATAAACCCAAGGATCAGAAGAAGAGTGAACCTGGTCCAGTCCTTGTTCCTATCGCCAACGACAAGATACAGCCTGTGAAGAAGCCAATTACTCGTAAGCTTCTCGGAGGTAAACCGAAAGAACCCAAACGTCCTCCTGGTCTAAAGACTCCTAAGTGCGTGGCTGGAAAGCCGGTCCTGCAGTTTTGGAAGAAAGATCAGAACAAGGGAGACAAGAAGAATCACGAGAGCAAGTCGAAAGCGTGTTTGCTAATATTAGATGATAATACAGAGGGGAAAAAGAGCATGCATCAATTCTACATGTCTCTATACTTATCACATTCCACTCACACGCATAAAACCAGAGACGATCGAATAGAGTTCAGAGGATAAGTTGAACGGAGAAATATTCGACGGAAGGGGTAATTCTAACGGCGGTTCGGCCGTCCTGGCCCGATTCTATCGGCTAACACTCCCCCACGGGACAATGCACGACTTTGCAGTAGTCCCGGACGATTTATCGATGGCGACGGCGAGGTTTGTGATGATGTAGAAGGTAATAACGATGAGATATTGAGTGTTATGTGTGTGGTAGTAGTGGTAGGTGAAATCGTGAAATGAATTTCGGTGGGGCCCCCTGCGGGGCTCCGCTCTGACACGTGGTTACCACTCACTACTGACGACTGACTCTTCTCTATCATTCCTTTTACTTCATCACTTTTATCTCCAATTATCGGTATGTCCACCTTTCGTCTTTCTCCACTTTTATCACTCGTTTCTGACTGTCTGAGCTTCCCTCTATCCTGTCTACTTCTTAAAACTTCAGGTTTGCTAGTAGACTCCCGAGAATCGATGAATTTCCTTCGTGGTCCTGGCTGACGATATTTCGTAGAACCGCTACCCACCGAGAAACTTTTATTTTCATTAACAATTTCATTATGTCTTCGCCACTTCCCGATGGTATCGATCCCTTGGTTCCTCTCCTGAGGCCTGGTGAGGCTCATGGTACGCTCATTAGTCACTTTATCATGAAAATTATCTCTGACCAGCTGAACTGTCGGATATCTCGGTCCGTACCTTGGAGGCGACCTGTCGACAGATCCGTTTCCTCCGAAGGTTGCTTGTCTCTCTCTCGAACGCTGGTCAAGGTGCATCTGCACCTTTCTTCGACATTCTTTACGATCTCGAAAGGGCCTGTCAGCATGTGGAGAATTTGTTGGGATACCAGATCGATGACAATTAGTGTCATGTATCCTCCCATCTTTTCTATCTTTTATCTTTTCTTTCTTTTCCTTATTTTTCTCTCTTAACTCTCTAATGACTCTAGGTTCTACCGGTGGCTTCTGACCTATCTTAGAATTACTCACATTCTTAGGTACACCTGAAAATTTTACATTTTGGCTCACGAGAACTTTTCCTTCGGTGGTACCTTCGGTGGGTTTCTCTGAAGTTCCTTCCACCCACACTTCTCTCTCTGGTACCGACTCTGTCTGTGGTACCACTTCGTTCTCTGGTACCACTTCGTTCTCTGTACCACCTGATAGATCTCCTAGATCCTCGAAATCTGAATAATCGTAATCGATGATTTCATCATCATCTAATGTCACGTATACTGAACCAATGTTTTTCTTCTTCGGTGGTTCTACCCGTATCGCTGACATATTCACCGAATGTACTGGTCCACCTAAAGCCTTCGTGAGTACGTCTGCCCTCTGAGAGACAGTGCTAACGTATTCTAGTTCAATAACCTTGTTACTGACTAGATCTCGAAGAGCATGATGTCGAATATCAATATGCTTTGTCCTCTGGTGAGTACCAGGTTTCCTCGCTAGTGATATCGATCCTTGGTTATCGCAGTTTAATGTAGTAGGATTTAGTTGATCGTAGCCTATCTCCCTCAATAATCCTCTCAACCACTGAGCTTCCTTCGCTGCTTCAGCCATCGCGATGTATTCTGCTTCGACTGTCGACGACGATACTGTAGCTTGTCTTTTTGAACTCCAGGTTATCGGTGAGTTGTTCATCATGAATATCCAACCTGTAGTTGATCGTCGTGTGTCTTTACAACCTGCCCAATCGGCATCAACCCATCCTGCTAGATCGCTAGCCTCGCCACCGAGACGGATACCATGTAAACGAGTGGACCGAAGGTAGGTAATTACCATTATCCCTTCTTCCCATACTTTCTTCGTCGGTTTAGTGAGGTACCTAGCAAGGTATGAGGCGGCATATGATATGTCGGGTCGAGTACATGTGGCTAACCACTGTAGACATCCTATTAATTCTTGAAATGGTCGAATTTCACTCTCCGCCTCCGACATCGATGGATTTTTCGCAGTAAGGGGTAATGGCGTTTTTCGGTCTCGATGTAAGTCGTTTTCTGGAAACTTCTGAACTATCTTATCGATATATGCTGGTTGGTTTAACCATATTGTCTTTTCTTCTCTGTTCCTTGTTACCTTCATACCTAAGATAGTACTTATCTCCCCCAGGTCGGTTATTATCCACCTTTTACCTAGCCCATCGAAAATTTCCTTCGCTTCTTCCTTCGACTTCGTGGCTAATACCAGATCATCGACATAGGCTAGCAGTATTGCTGCTCCCTTTCCTTCGATTTTCTCTTCTGGTCTGTAGTAAAGACCCCAATCTGATTCGATTCTTGAAAAACCTAGGTGAGATAATCCTTCGCCGAGTTCTATCCACCATGTCCTGCCAGATTGCTTTAAACCGTAAAGAGACTTAACTAACTTCAAGGTATTACATCCAGGCTTCGGCTTTATCCCCTTGGGATACTTCATGTAAATTTCTACATCGAGTTTACCGTTTAAATACGCCCCTTCGACATCGGCCTGACGAATTTCGAGATCTTCGGTGGCCGCTATAGTCAAGAGTATTCGTAACGACCCCGATCTACCGACAGGTGCGAATGTCTCTTCGTAGTCGACACCTGGTACCTGTGAGAATCCTTGAGCTACTAGTCTGGATTTATACTTTAGTAAGTTTCCTTCTGAATCTGTCTTCACTTTGAATACCCATTTACATCCAATGGCTTTACGGCCCGGTGGTAACACCGTTTCCACCCATGTTTCTTTAGATTCGATGTTAGATATCTCTTTCTCCATGGATTCCAGCCACTTCTCACCATCTGGGCCGTTTACTGCTTCTTCAGGAGAGATAGGATCAATGAGAGAAGTATCACTTTCGATACCTGCGATAGAGGCGAGTGAGACTAACTTATTAGGCTCGCGACCAAAGTCTAGGAACGAGTCTGTTAGGCCTGCAAAACGGTGGGGGGGTCGAATAATTCGTCCGTGACGTGTCGTCAGGATCCCCTCATCCCCATCATTTCTTCCTTCCTCATCATTTCTCTCATTTTCGACGATATCGTTCTCATAGATCCAATTTCCTCCCCAAATGCCCTGTCCTCGTCGTCTTTCAGTAGGTTGTGGGCCTGTATTAGGTGAGTTGTCTCTATCGACATCATTTCCTTGTTCATTATCGATATTTTCCTGTTCGCCACTTTCTGAGCGGTCGTCAGGGAAAATTTCTTCGTTGACGACGGGGTCTAGGTCCACTTCGATGGCGTCAAGAGGGGTTTGGATGACATCTGGCGACTCTCTAGTAGCCACCATTCGTCCTGTCGAGCGACGAACATCTCGTGAGTGTTCGATTCGTCCCGATCCGTCCATTCTAACGATCCAACCGCTCACACCCTCATCTTGACCTAGTATAATGGCTGATGAACCCCTAGGTATCGTGAAGTTCGACTTCAGCCTTATCTCCCTTGGTATCTGAACGAAACATCGTTCACCAAATCTCCACACGCTATCTAAGTTCGTGTCTCTTCCTGTGAGTGATGTCCAGCCTGATTTACCACTGACACCAATCGAGGTTTTCATAATTATAATGGCGGCGTATCTGACAGCATAGGACCAATATTCGTTCGGTAGTCCTGAGTCGAATAACATCGTTGATACCATCCCCTTCAAGGTACGTATCATTCTTTCCGCCACTCCATTTAATTCTGGTGTGTATCTTGGTGTGATGTAGTGGTTGATCCCTGCTGATAGGTAGAATTCCCTCATATCGAGGCTATCGAATTCACCTCCCCCATCAGACCTAATCACCCTCACCCTTTCACCAAGCTGTTTCTCTAATTTCGAGATACACTGTCGAACGATATCTGACGATTCGTTCTTCGTCGTTATCGGTACGGCGAACACAATTCGACTCGCCCTTTCTACACCAACGAAGAAATATCGTTCACCTTTTATCGCCGGACCGAACGGGCCAGCAATATCGACATCCATTCCTACTCCTTCACCATCTCCTTTTAACATTGGTGCTTCTTTATTCTTCGGTAGACGTGTTATCTTGGCCTGCATACAGGCGGGACATTTATCGGTTGTAAAGGGATCGTTCTTGTAAGTGTCCCAGTCCTTCTTCAATAGTCCCTGTCTACCTAGACTCTTTAGTTTATCTACACCTATATGTCCGAGTCGCTGATGCTCAGATTCAAGTGGTGAAGTCGCCTTCGGTGTCGATATCACGATCATCGCGGCAGACATCGCTCTGCCAAATCGTACCGACCATAGTGAGTCATGTTTCCTCAAACCTAGTTTCTCTTTACCTTTACCTATCCATCCACCACTGCTGCTTAGATTCGCCTTCCATCCCCATGAGAGTAACTTCGAGAGGGATAGAAGACTTATCTTCGCTGTGGGGACGTGATGTACATCTTTCAGTACCATTTTTTGTCCTGAATCTAGTTCGAGGTTAATGTCACCTGTTTCCCAAGCCGTCATTGACTTGCCAGATGCTAGTCCGAACACTCTCGGCTCCACTAGTCTTTTAATATTCGTCATTATCGACCTGTGAGGAGTTATGTGGTGAGTAGCACCACTGTCCACTACCCAGGTAGGGATTACACGAGTGTGGCTCACGTCATTAGACTCTGTAGCTAATCCCACCCACTCATTATCCTCAACCCACGGGTTTTCAATTTCTTCGGGCCATACGATGTTACTCGTGTACCCTTCGTCATCATCGAACCACGATTCTGTCGACATGGCCATCCCGGCCCACGCCTCGTGTTCACCATCCAATGACGAATACATCAAGGAGGTTTTGGAGTTATCCTTGGACTGGTTCTCATCCTTCGAGACCGTATGTCCTTTCTTATTATTCTTATTATTCCTCCATTTCTTTTTACCTCCATCCTTTACATCTGCGTTTTCTTTCCTGTTCGTATCCTCTCTTTTAGGTTTACGACAGTACTTCGCTAGATGTCCTACAGTGTCACAGTTATAACACTTTCTAGTTTCTTTCCTGGGCTGACCATCAGAGATATTATCTCGGTTCACCCTCATTCCTTTATTTCCTTCGACGAACATCGCGAATCCCTTCCTATTGGTTCTACCAACAGGGCGCGCTTTACGTCTCGCCGTTTCTTTATTGAAGATCGATAAGACCTTTTCCCAAGTTCTTTCCTCTGCTATGAGGGATGTTACTTCGATCTGAATGATCCTGTATGATGGTGCTAGAATGGTATTGAGGAATAACCCAGCTCGTTCCTGTGAGTCAAACTTCAACCCCACCAATTTCGCTTCGGACATCGTCTTCGAGAAATCCTCCACATGCTTAGCCATTTCTTCGGCCGTCGCATCGTCCCTTAAGTCATAGCTAAACAACGCTTGACGGACATTCCTTTGATTCTCGATCGTCGCTGTTACATGCAGGGCTATGCAGTAGTCCCACATTTCTTTAGCTGACATCTTCTCAGATATATCAAGCATCACAGCATCCGACACTGTTCCCTTGATCATCCCCTGCGCTTTATTCTCCCTCGCTTGCCACTTTTCCCATTCCTTCCACTCTTCTCCAGTAATCCTTCTACCAACCACTTGCCCTTCGACGGGCGTGGTAGGAGGTACTGATCCCGCCCTCTCAGCTGCCGATCTCACCCCTATGCGACCAGGTTCGGTATCATTACCTGTGACGATATTCCACACGTCACCTATCTGTAGATACACCTCGATCGACTTCCTCCACGGAGCATACGATGCTGGATCGTGGGATAACTTTGGGTGGTTCTCAAGAGAGATCTTAGACGACACGGAGGTCATTATGAGGAGAGTTAGAAATGGGAACTTGCCTTTGTTATACACAGAAGGTATGTGACTTCCGACTGTTAATCTGTTTGCTAATATTAGATGATAATACAGAGGGGAAAAAGAGCATGCATCAATTCTACATGTCTCTATACTTATCACATTCCACTCACACGCATAAAACCAGAGACGATCGAATAGAGTTCAGAGGATAAGTTGAACGGAGAAATATTCGACGGAAGGGGTAATTCTAACGGCGGTTCGGCCGTCCTGGCCCGATTCTATCGGCTAACAAAGCGGAGGTATTGTTGGAGATGTCTGAAGAAGACTGATGGGAGGTGAGTCAATTTTGAAGGTTCATGATGCATCGTGATACATTTCTGTCGGTCAGGACCGAGCTGATTGACAGGTTCACGAACGACATCCATGGAAGAGCTGATATCATTGGTTTCTAAATACAATCTAAGGAAGGAAGATACATCGTATACGGTGGATAAAGATGCAAGTAGATATGTCTGTCCCTACTTACTGTCTACTTAGTCACTCGATGAAATGGTATTATATCTCCTCATCACTTCCCATCAGATCTTCCTCCGGGAAATCTCCAACGCGTACTTTGTCTGGTCGAACAAAAACTGCGTGTTTTGGTCTACATTCGAAATACTTCTTCCCATTCACCCTTGACGTCAGTCACAGTTTTCAGCAATCTTAGCAATTCGAGTTGAGTAGTACGTAATATTGAGATGGGATATGACGGATGTAAGCGAGCACTCACGAGCCACCACCTTTCCCGACGGGCTCATCCAGCTCTACACCCACCCACACGCCACCTCTGCCGACAGAAGCCTCACCGACGAATCTCACAGTTCCTCGTCTAGCCATGTCTCCTTCTGAAGATATCACCTCACATCGCTTTCCGGTGATAATCTCTGGAGGAACGGAGGTTGGTGGTGGAGGGGCTTGGGAAAGGTTGGTAGGTGTAGGAGCGAACCGACCGAGTTTGTTCGCTTTGAGGTGGGCTAGGACAGTGTCTGCTGGTCAGGTGTGCACTTGTAGAAGTATCAGGATTCTCCAAAGTGCCATCATCGTCGATTGCCAACAGTCGTACTAGTAAAGTAGATTGCACCGTAGTCTTGTATCAAAGACCGGCTCAGGGGTTTTTGAGAAGTAAGAGTGGATGAGAATGTTCAATTTTCTTTGTTTGTACATTGACAGAAGACCAGGTAGCACGAGATTGTACAGGGGAGATTTTCAAAGGAGACAGGAGAAAGTACGCACCAGACCTAGCTTCATATTCCTCATGCGTAAGTTCGAATTTGTCCACTCCCGTCAAATCGCTATACTCTCCTGGTCGAGCTGAAGGATCGGTATTCTCCACCTGTCGATCAGCTTCTACTTCCTTTTCAAAACTTGACTGACCCTTATACAATTCCCGTCCTTCACCCCATATTCCTCTAAACTCTTCTTCTCATCGTCGAAAGTGGCCAGAACGGGTGACGATTCGAGTGAAGGATACAGTCGGAGGATCTGATATTGTGGAGATATACCAGTGACGGGATGTAACTTTTCTTTCAGAGCTTCGATAGTGATGAAAGGGTCAAATCGGCGTTCTCCTTGAGCATCGGGAGAGGAGATGAAGACGCTTACGAGGGGCATGACGGGTGAGTGGAGTTAGAGGTTGAACGCGACATTCCAGGAATGTACTAGATGTGATCGAAAGGGTGGAAGCAACCGTGGGAAACCTTCTCCTCCGGTTGCAGATGGAATCTTGGATCGATGGATTGTATGTACAACTCTTGACAGTCATCATGAGCAAGCAAGTAGCCGTCACTGGTGAGTCATAACTTTACTGTCAAGGAGAAACAACAGTGAATCTCAACTACAGGTGCTAGTGGATTACTCGGAAGGGCAGTTGCTACCTACTTTGAACAACATGGTGATGAAGGTTCGTTCTTTTTATCCTTACTTATTTCATGGAATGTACCCCTCTCCTGAGAATATCTCTCTCACACAGCTGAAACAGAACTGATTGATAGTCTTACATCTCGCTTTCAGCCGTACAGACAAAAAATCAAATTACCTCAAACTTGATTTTACCGACGAAGAAGCCGTAGGCAGATTCTTTGCTTCTCATCAGATTGATGGTACGTGTTTCTCATAGTATACAAGCATAACCCTAATTGATAGTGATGATACATTGTGAGCCCAATTGATGCTGTTTATGGCTACTGTAAGCTTATGTGTAGGTGCAGCGGAAAGAAGACCCGATGTTGCCGAAGCGGTTCGTCGTAGTTTCATCACAATTGATTTCGAGCTGATAGGTAGAATCCCGAGCTTGTCAAAAAGGTGGGTCCCATCCGTCTTCGTGGAATTCTACAACGAAAGAACATAGAGTGATGTGAAAAACTGACATCTCAAGCTCAACGTACAAAGTCCTCTTTTGCTCGCTACTTTTGCTAAGAAATATGGCTTCACTTTGATTGTCATCTCCACAGATTACGTGTTTAATGGGAAAAAGTGAGTTGAAACCATATCCTTCCCGCATCTTCCCCGTTGAATACATTTCACATCGATTCTCTCTCACGTCCTGAATTACTTCCTCATCAGATCTGTACTGGTGAGTCTCGGCATGATCCTTTCTTGTGACGAACACCCAGAAGTCTACCCTCCAAGACAGATGTGGTAGTAACGGACTTGCCTTCTCAGCTGAGTCGTCCGCGAAAGAATCAGCTGAACAATAGTCCACCGTACGAGACGGATTCTCCTACCGACCCTCTGAACGCATACGGACAATCTAAAGTAGATGCGGAACAAGCTGTTCTCACTCAAAGAGAAGAAGGAGCTAAAGTCACCGTATTGCGAGTTCCCATTCTGTACGTTTCTTTCAATCTGTAGATGATAATTAATGGTAGGTACGGACGAACGGAATACAATGCAGAGAGTGCGGTCAATATCATACGTGATGGTAAGTCTCAATATTTCGTTTTATGCCACCATCACCCTTACCTCTGTTTGCTCCCATACCTCTCGTCTTCCACTTCCTGCTCCAATTACTCATGTCCGTCTACTACGATATCTTTTGTGTTAGGGCAGGGGATGGAGAATGATGTGAGAGATTTCCAGTGGGTCGTATGAGACCAGTCATGATGCTGATAATAAGTGGTAGAAGATCAAAGTGGGAAACAATACAAGATGGATCATGTTCAAAGACGTTATCCTACCAATGTTGATGATGTGGCTAGAGTATTGTTTGATCTCACCCGTGCGTCTTTCTCTTTCCCCGTCTCCCCTTCATCTCATCTCTACGTCGTTCAAGCGCTTCACTTTATATATCGTTTCTGCCCCTATTCATGTTCATCACTCTGCACACATAGTCTCTTACTACTTCCTCAGCATGGTCGACTTATATGATACCAGCTCTGATTCATCACACATGCCCCAGTGAACTTTCTCTTTAGAATCTTATGCCCCCATCGATTCTGTCTCAAATTCAAGGAGTATATAGGGAGACCGGTCAAACTGGGCGAAACTAATTTCCAGATCTGGGGAAACCACTCCCATTCATCGTACACTATTGTTCCCCCTCTCCAGCGTTATCGAAATGGGATATGACCCAAATAATCGCCCGACATCTTCATCTACCCATTTCACATATTACCCCAGAAACTGTCGTCCCACCCGGAGCTACTTCCAGACCTCAAGATGCTCAATTGAGCACTCGCAGTCTTCAAGATATAGGCGTGGACGTAGATGAAGAAATGTCTTTTGATGATTGGTGGAGAGAATATGTGAAGGCGTCTTAAATCTTATATTCTCAAGAGTCCCACATACATGGACTAGAGAAACCGTAAAACTATGTGGCATGGTTGGAGAAAGTTCTCAGAGTCAAGGAAGATAACATTACACAATGCATATAGAAATGGTCGCGATTCATACACACCGAGAATTTTGAAGACTAGAAGATCTCATATTTGTCATCTACTTTTGACAGCTGTGGAAGTAGTGGGGGCATTGGTTCGGGGTTTAGATAATTTGATTCCTTTTGATTTCAAATGTTTCCTCTTGCTCTCTGCTTTGTCAGCTTGGAACATCAAACATCACTCGACTCGACGAGTGATCATCATCAGTCGATATCGTCCGACTGACCAGAAAGGTAAATTGGGAATGTAAGAAAGAAATTACAAAAGCCGAATGGAGAAGGGAAGAGCCACACGGGAGAAGGGAGAAGAATGACGACTAACCTTTGATGAGCTGTTCATCTTCCTCTGCATTGAATATAGTCACGTTGGAAGGTTGTATCACCACCTCTCCTTCGGCGTTGATTATCCTTTGCGGTTCTTCTTCTTTCTCAGTCTCCTTTTTGGCACGTTTACCAACTTTGAACTTTGCCACGAAGAAACCGTCCATGTTATGTTTATGAGGGTAATACTGTATGTCAGTTCCAACTTTCCTCACATACCTTCATGCAGATTTACAACCGGAATCGAGACCACAAGTAACAAATCCATCAATAATTCCCACCGAATCCCCGAATATCTTGTATGTAACGCATGAATTTACATGAGACGTAAAAAAACGCATGCTTTTGACATTATTATGAGACGATGCCTGAAAGAGACAGATTGTGATGAAAGAGATAAAAAGACAGTGACAGTAAAAGTGACGACTTACCCTTCTTGTCAAAGATAAATTATCATGAAAAGTCTTTCCCTCAAAAGCTTTGAATCCCTCCACACCAAATTCCAATCCAGTATCTACCAACTTACAATGAGGTCGTTTTCGTAATGCGTAATCCACAACAGCTTCATTTTCATCCACAGTCACTGAACAAGTAGAATAAACTACATATCCTCCTGTGGTCGAATTAGGATTGACGGAATCGAGTGCACAAAGAAGAAGTTGTTTTTGAAGATGAGCCAAAAGTTGAAAATCACGTTCGGTCTAATAATCAGTACTTTCTCGTCTATCACTTTCGATTTTTGGAAAGGGAGGGAGATCAATTTGATATTTACCTTATTGACTTTTACACTTTGATCTTTTGATATCACACCTGTTCCACTACATGGAGCATCTAATAAAACTCGATCAAACCCTCCTAATACTTTGGGAAATTCCCTAGCATCGTAATTACAAACCACCACATTTTTACATCCTAATCTATGTACATTGGCAGTTAAACTTTTTGTACGTTGTTTATTACTATCGTTCGCGAATACTATTCCAGTATTTTGCATTAATGCAGAAATATAAGTGGTTTTTCCTCCTGGAGCAGAAGCCATATCTAATATTCTTTCTTCTGGTTGAGGAGCGAGTGCAATAACTGGAAGGAATGAAGAAGCTGATTGTAACATATAATGACCTGCGAGATATTCTGGTGTAGCACCTACAGGAACGGGTGATTCGAATACTTGTAAACCGACTTTTGACCATTTACCAATAGGTTCAAGGACTACACCTCTGTTGGAAAGTGTTTGAGCTAGATCTCGACGACGAGTACGGAGAGTGTTAGCTCGGATGGTTACTGGTCGAGGGGATTCGTTAGCTTCGAAGAAAGCTATAGCCTAAGGCATTAGCGCTTAAATTTACTGAAGATCTCCTCACAAAGGGAGGATTCATGTGAATGTCGTGGATGTTTGGAGGTGATAGAGGTATGAACGGAAGGATAACACACCTCATCAACGATGAATAACTTCATAAGCTTGTTCACTAAAAACAAGTTGTATCCGAAATACGTAGCGATATCATGTTGTAATTGTAACAAATGATCACTCCTACTTCTTCCTGGTAATCCATTCGAGGTCTTTTCCTGTTTTCCACTACAAACCCCAATCAACCACCTCATCCTACTCTCTACTTCTTTCAATGATGTTCCAGCTTCATAATCTTCTTGTTCTCCTCCACGCTCCACTGCAGGTAAAGTGAAACCTTGATGATCAAGATCATCTTCCAGATTGGTAGAAATAGGACCACCTTCTTCATCCGTTGGTATAGGATTGGGACGTAAGTGTGGAGGAGGTAGATCATTCACATCCATATCGACGTCTTCTTCCTCTCCGGAAGAAACAAATGCGGAATCTTCATCTGAGTTCATCTCTTCATCAGAAACAAGATCGAAATCGTCTTCTTCCTGAGATTCAAAGTCACCGTCATCTTCTGGAGCTTCATCAAGGTCGAAAGTGTGTTGTCCAGGAGGAAGACGTTCGTCGTCACCTCCTATATCATCCTCAGAATCGGAGAACTCGATCTGTTTGATTGGTCTAGAAGGAAGATCATCTTCGTCAGATCCAGTTCTATGATAATAAGCATTTAATATTCCACTTTGGAGAGGTCTCACGTCGCAGGTTTTTTCCCCTTTTTGACCTTCTTCACTGGAATTTCTTCCTGGTCATCGGATAGCTCTCTGATGATCAGTCTCAGCGGCAAAAGAAGTCTAAGGATCATCACGCACCCCGGTCTTAGAGCATCCTCAATATCACTATCGTCGTCATCAACCACATCCACTTTCTTCACCCTAGGCTGCAATCGTCTCTGTCGGTCTTTCGAGCTCTTGGCATTGACACCTTTGGCAGCTTTGAGACTCTTGCGATTGTCTGATCCTGATGGAGCCTTCCTCTTTCCTTTATCACGTCGACGATCCAGGTCTGATCCGACAAGAGGAGTTGGTGCGGCTTGCTTGTTCTTTGCTTTGCGGCCCATGATGTTATAGGGATACAGGAGTGGTACAGACTTTCTTTAGCAGCGTCTGAGAACTTTCAACTTTTCCAGTGGCATGACGTGGCTTTTACCGAGCCGTGCCTGAACTCGGAATCACCACCAGTCGAAAAAGTCTACTACTCAAAGTTCAACATTGTTTCGTTCACTACAACTTTTTCCTTCACGTTCCAGCCAAGGTGCGAGGTGATTCAAACGATGACAGCCGGGGCAGATGTACTAAAAGTCTCTATTCTAGGGACAGAGTCTATCCATGTCGGTTTCCATCTCCTGCCTTACATCTTCAACACTATCCTTACCACCCTCCCCTCTTCAACCTATGCCCTTGTGACGGACACCAATCTCTCTTCTCTTTACCTCCCTGACATTCAAAAAGCCTTCGAGCATGCTTCAAAACAATGTGATTCATCAGCTAGGTTTATCACCTACCAAGTCGCCCCTGGTGAAGGAGCCAAGAGTCGAGCAGTCAAAGCAGAGATCGAGGATTGGCTTTTGGAGAATCGGTGTACTCGGGATACGGTCATACTTGCTTTTGGAGGTGGTGTCATAGGTGATCTCACAGGATTCGTCGCTGCCACTTTGTAAGTCCCATTCCGACTCTCAAACAAAGCTGACCTGGTAGTATGCGAGGTGTCAAATTCGTTCAGATCCCCACGACACTTTTAGCTATGGTAGATTCATCCGTCGGTGGGAAAACGGCCATTGATACTTCTCATGGAAAGAATCTCATCGGAGCTTTCTGGCAACCTTCTTATATCTTTGTTGATTTGGCATTCCTCACCTCTCTCCCTCCTAGAGAGATCGCCAACGGAATGGCCGAGGTAGTGAAAACCGCCGCTATTTGGAAAGAAGATGACTTCGCCTCCCTCGAATCATCTGCAGAGGAAATCATGACTGCCGCTTCCACCAAAGTTTCAGCTCCCGATGCTGGTCGTTTCGCCAATGATCGTTCCCCATCACAATCCCTTTTACTCAAAGTCGTCACTGGTTCCATCCACGTCAAAGCACACATTGTCACTGTCGATGAACGGGAAACCGGCTTACGGAATTTGGTCAACTTTGGTCATACTATAGGTCATGCTATCGAAGCTGTTCTAACGCCTTCGATGCTACATGGAGAATGCGTCTCGATTGGGATGATCTTGGAGGCAGAAGTGGCACGTCAGTTGGGCGTTTTAAGTCAAGTGGCAGTCGGTAGACTCACTCGATGTCTCCAGGCTTATGGTTTACCCATCTCACTTTCCGATCGACGTATCACAGCGCTTCCCGCATCCAATGGACTGGGAGTGGAGAGATTATTGGACATCATGAGGATAGACAAGAAGAATTCAGGGCCGGCAAAGAAGATTGTCATACTCTCGCGCATCGGAAAGACGTTTGAAGAAAAGGCGACGGTGGTGGCGGATGAGATCATACGGAAGGTGCTCTGTGATGCTGTTACCATCCGAGCTGGTACACCAAGTAAATCCCCTGTGATCATGGCCACACCAGGTAGCAAAAGTATCTCGAACCGTGCTTTGGTCCTCGCCGCTCTTGGCAAGGGACCGTGTAGAGTGAAGAACCTGTTGCATTCGGACGACACGGCGGTTATGATGAATGCACTTGCTGAGCTGAAGGTAAGCTGATCGACATTTGTGAGTCGAGCTGATGAAATAGGGCGCAACCTTTTCTTGGGAAGACGGAGGTGATACTATCTTGGTACAGGGAGGAGAAGGTCGACTTTCAGCTCCTGCCAAGGGGAAAGAATTGTATTTGGGAAACGCCGGTACAGCTGCCCGTTTCCTCACCACCGTCTGCGCCTTGGTCTCATCTCGCCATGCCACTGCATCATCGCATACATCGACCGTCGTCACCGGTAATGCACGCATGAAGCAACGTCCTATCGGACCCCTCGTGGAGGCTCTTCGTTTCAACGGGGCCAGCATCTCTTATCTCGGCTCGGAAGGCTGTCTGCCTCTTGACATCGACACCGACGGTTTTCACGGTGGACACATACAACTCGCCGCAACCGTGTCCAGTCAATATGTCTCCTCCATCCTCCTCTGCGCGCCATACGCCTCGGACTCAGTCACTTTGGAGCTTATCGGAGGTCAAGTCATATCACAGCCATATATCGATATGACCATAGCCATGATGGCTGAGTTTGGTATCACGGTCACTCGCCAAACGGATTCCTCTGGCAAATTACTCGATGTTTATGTTATTCCAAAAGGTACTTACGTCAATCCTGAAGTGTACAACGTGGAATCAGACGCTTCCAGTGCCACGTACCCACTCGCCATTGCCGCTATCACCGGGACGACCTGTACAATCTCCAACATCGGCTCCTCGTCTCTTCAGGGCGATGCGAGGTTCGCCAAAGAAGTGCTCGAACCTATGGGTTGTTTGGTGGAACAAACAGCTACCTCGACGACTGTCACTGGCCCCCCAAAAGGACAGCTACGAGCGCTGGGAAACGTCGATATGGAACCAATGACCGACGCTTTCCTGACCGCTTCAGTTCTGGCTGCAGTGGCCATCAAACCGTGTTTGCCGGGTAGAGAAGTCGAGGAGCTGCCTTCGACAGTGAGTAGGATATACGGAATTGCCAATCAGCGAGTGAAAGAGTGCAATCGGATACTAGCTATGAGGGATCAGTTGGCCAAATTCGGTGTCAAAACGGACGAATTTGACACCGGTATCATCATATTCGGACAAAACTGTTCTACGCTCAAAGAAGGCGCCTCGATCCATTGTTACGATGACCATCGTGTAGCTATGGCGTTCGCCGTCCTTGGTACACTCATCGATCGGACGATCATTGAAGAGAAACGGTGCGTAGAGAAGACTTGGCCGAACTTTTGGGACGATTTGTCAAATAAAATCGGTATCCACTCCGATGGTGTCGAGCTTGTCAATCATCAAGCTTCGAGTTCTCAGTCCAATGGACACGTCCAACCCTCCGATTTGCCTATTTTCCTCATTGGTATGCGAGGAGCTGGAAAGACTTACATTGGTCAATTGGCCGCTTCAACACTTTTATGTCCATACATCGACGCTGATGTCGTTTTCGAAACCCGAACTTCTATGTCGGTCTCCGATTACGTCGCCGTCAACGGCTGGCCTGCTTTCCGAGAGACCGAGACGGAGATCCTAAGCGAGCTCAGTGCGACCGCTGGGAAATCTATCATCTCCCTTGGAGGCGGAGTGGTGGAGACTCCAGAAGCTCGTGATATACTCAAATCTCACATCAAAAGAGGAGGCAACGTCGTGCACGTTACCCGGGAGGTCAAAGCGATCGAAGCGTTCTTACAGGAGCTGGGAGCGACGACCGGGCGACCTGCGTATGGTGAACCTTTCCAGGATGTTTATAAAAGACGTGAACCATGGTATCGTCAATGTTCAAATTACGACTTTTTCAATGTTTTCGAACCTCTGCCCGAACAGAGTCAGAAGGATCACCATCAAGCTATGAAATCTGAATGTGGTCGATTCTTCAGTTTTATCTCTGGTGCGAATTTGAACCGTCCGAAACTTGGACCTGAAAACCCTACCACTTTCCTTTCCTTGACATTCCCCGATATCACCGTGGCTCTTGGACAGATGGACGAACTGACCGAAGGAGCCGATGCGATCGAATTGCGAGCTGACCTTCTCAATCCAACAGGTCAAGTCGTCAACGCTCCTTCCATTCCTTCGTTGGAATATGTCGGTAGACAATTGTCTCTTCTTCGACTCGTCACCAATCTACCTATCGTCTACTCCGTCCGGTCCAAAGAACAAGGAGGATTCTTCCCCTCTGACCAACCTGACGCTTACGAGGAAACGGTGATCCTTGGACTGAGAAGTGCATGCGAGTATGTGGACATGGAAGTTGCTTGGCCTGTTCCGGTAATGGATTCCATCGTCTCTCATCGCGGTCAATCTCACATTATCGCATCATGGCATGATTGGTCCGGGTCTATGAAATGGTCTTCCCATGAGGTCCGAAACAAATATATCGAATGTGCGAAGTATGGTGATATAGTCAAAATTGTCGGTACTGCTAAAACATCATCGGATAATTCTCAGTTACAACTATTCGTTTCTTCCCTTTCTCCCAACTCGAAACCATTATTAGCTATCAACATGGGTGAATTAGGACAATTATCACGTATAACCAACTTAATCTTAACTCCCATCACTCACCCTCTCCTTCCCTCTCGTGCTGCTCCGGGACAATTATCAGTCAAAGAAATCCTCCTTGCTCGTCACTTGATCGGCATGTTACCAAGTAAGAAATTCTATATTGCCGGATCACCAATTTCACATTCCATGTCACCCACTTTACACAATGCCGCATTCAAAGCTTGTGGATATCCTCATGTCTACACCCGATTGGAAGCTGCAACAATCGACGATGAATTCTTGGAAATCTTACATTCGGACGAAACGGGTGGAATGTCAATAACCATGCCACTTAAACTTTTAATTATGGATCATCTCGATAGTGTTTCTCCCGACGCTAGATTACTAGGAGCTGTCAATACGGTGATACCTTCTATCCGAAATGGGAAAAGATGGTTACATGGAGAAAATACAGATTGGCAAGCAATCTACGAAGCAGCATCTACGAATTTACCTTCTTCTTCTTCTAAACAAACATTAGAAGGATTGGTAATTGGAGCAGGAGGTACTTGTCGAGCAGCTTTGATGGCTTTACACACTTCAAAAGCTAAACGTATTTATTTATATAATCGAACATTATCCAACGCTGAGAAAGTGAAATCGAGTTTTCCTAAAGAATTCAATATTGAAATCATCGATGATTTATCTATCATATCTCATCTAGATCAAAAACCTCAAGTTATCATTTCGACAGTTCCTGGGGAAAGTCTTACTTTAAAGGAAGGACAAGGGATTTATCTATCGGAATCAATTTTCGGAGAAGAAGGGGTAGCTATTGATTTAGCTTATAAACCTAGAAAAACGGCTTTGATACAATTGGCAGAAAAGAAAGGATGGAAGGCTGTGTCGGGTATTGAGATATTATGTTTACAAGGGTATAAACAACATGAATTGTGGATGGGTAAGAAAGCGCCAAAGAAGAAGATTTATGAAGGTGTCATGGAGGTTTATCTGAAGTAGAGGTCATTATTGCATACGATATGCATCGAAAGAGATCTTTGTTTCGTTTTATCATTCAAATCTACCCAGGGTGATTTACATAATATCGTATCGTTTGCTCATTTCCGTTCCTATCTCTGTAAGTAACGTTAGAAGTAACACAGTTCAATTTAGATGTCTAATCTTGTCATCTTGCGATTCATACTGTATGTATCAATGTTCATACATACATGATACATGATACCACCAGCACATACAAGTTGAGGGTAGGTCCAAAAACTGCGAAAGAATCGAAAGGAAAAAACTCGACTCCGGTCAGAACAAACTTTGATCATGTGTATATAACACACCTTGAGTATTCGAAAAGAAAAGTTTCATCGAGGTAAAAATGCCGAGACATGTAGCTTTAGCTATCATCGTTTGTCAACGAAGTGAAAAGGTTTTGATGATCACCTCTAGAGCCAGACCGGATTTATGGATCTGTAAGTCGTTCATTTCCTTCTTCACACATCTTCATACCTCCTCTAGTTCTCAGACATCTTTCTTCCTCTACTTCTCAGACATCTTTCTTCCTCTCGTTCTCACACATCTTGCCTCCTCTCGTTCTCACACGTCTTTCCTCCTCTCGTTCTCACATAGGAAGAGGGCTGGTGGGATCGTTCTCAATATTTGAAGAGTCCTCATCATCCTCTCCTGGATGAATACCAAATTGCCTAAGGAATGTGATTGCCATATGGGTATCCAATGCCCAAGGGACGCTCCGTGATCTCGGATGACTTAGGAGGTTGAGCTCCACTCTGTCTCGTGGAGTTAGGCATTTATGGCTCTTTTGAAGGAAGAAGATCTCATGAGAAAAAGAAGATCTTAAGGGAAAGAGGATGGAACGATGATCGATGAAAAAAGTTGTGAGAAGGGGAAATTTAAAAGAACTCATATAAGGAGATCAAGTTAGCCAGGTGAAAGGGAAAAAGCGAAAAGTACTTTGTTAATGATAAGTGCCTAAAGGTGGAGTGGAAGATGGTGAAACGTCAGGTCAAGCTGCAGTAAGGGAAGCATGGGAAGAAGGTTAGTTGAATTCTTTCATTCTCACAAATTCCTCATTATATCATACATACTTTTCGATGAATGACAATTATATTACATCAGAAATGGACTTACGCTCATTGAATAGCTGGAACACCTAAAGATTTATTTCCACCGAAGGAGGAAGATAAATTATTGATCATTTCTCTAAAAGGGGGTAAAAGGGGTAAAGGATCTATATGGCATGTACATGTTTTAGAAGTGGATGAAGATGATGTGAAGAGTGTTAAGGATTGGTAAGTCATATCATTCACATACTTATCCCACCTATTGTTGGCAGGAATAGCCCAAATACCCTCGATTCCTACCCCCACTTCATAACCCTTGACCCACCACCGCCTTTCTTTATCTGTCTTGACCAATCTTCCCCCCACCCCGCCTCCCCCACGGAACCGAGAGCTCACACCTGTCTTCCACGCCTGAGACGATGTGACCGTCTTCAGTCCGAAGGTCGTACCCACAAATCGTCGCTCATCACAGGCCTGAAGCACACCAACGTCAAAGAGCTTGGTTCACCCTTTCCTCTGCTCTGAGCAGAATCAACGAGTGGAGAAAAGACCCATTCGCCGCTGAGACGTTGGAAGATGTTATGGATGTTCAATCTCAGTCGACAAGTACGAACGCTCGAACACAATCTGTCACGAAGGGAAAGAAGGATGAGAAAGGAGGAGCTATGGAATTGGCATTACGGACATTTGCTGAAGCAAGGGGATGGATAACGGATTGAGCTACAGTGCGTTACCCCTGATATCATGCTCTCCTCCCATGAATGCTGCATGCTACATGCTGCACATTCTGAGGTACCAGGTATGGCCCTGCAGCATGCTAACCGGCCTGCTGGCTGCTGGCCGCTGCGACGGACCAATGAACGTCGGGTTGAAACCGAGCAAAACCGAGGGACCGACGATCGGAACTCCGCGTCACGTGGCGTCCCATATCCTCTTTTCTCACCATGGTAATACAACTCGCAACAGTACGAATCCTGTACACATTCATCACACGACGGACACACGACTAACGACTCACGACTTTGAAAATATACTTCTCAACGTCTCGTCTATTGAGCCAGCTTCAGATTTAGTGAATTTCCCACTGACTGCCACCGTCAACCAGCGAGCAATCAGCAACCAGTGATAAGCTAGTCAACAAGTCAAGACGCGGCCTAAAAGTCACACTTCCTCTTTCGGCTACCGACCTTTTTTTTCTCTCACTGCCATCAAGCCCATCCTTCCAGTACCCTGGTACGTTGTCATTCTTTCCCATCTCTCACTCATCTTTTCCACACACAGCGAAAAGACGATTGAACAAGTGATACACCAAAGAGTGAATCATCTCAAACCTCTTGATCCTTTTCCAAACTACCAAACAATTCTGACACTCCCTTGATATCCTTTGGTTCTTTCCCCGCGCCTTGATACGCTCGGAGAGTGAAAGGCTCGCCACTTGACTGTGTTTCTATATATAATAGATGTTACATCGCTAACACTTCAGATTTCTACCGTTAATCCCATCTCTTGAAGTTGAACCGCTCAATAACGGAATATCGATATTCCAGTTTTCAGGTTTCTAGTGAAGATACAGTAGTTGGAACGCGGAACGTCAAGTCATAATTGACAACATGACACAACCTATTCCCACGCCTAACAGACCTGCGGATAGTCCTTCTGCCTCTTCACCTTTCTTAACACCTGCCAACACTCCACCAGCACCAGGATTCTCCGATGCGAGGTTACAACAGTTGTTAGCTGGTTTCGATCAGGCTGCTCGAGGAGATAAAGCTGGACAGGGTGTGAGTGGAGGTCAAGGATATTTCTTTGGAGAGGGCAGAAGGGGTTCGTATTCGTTTGGAGAACGTGAGTCAGACTCGCTTTTCCTCGTGCATCATCTCTCTTATGCCTTTTCACATGTTTCCTGGTCAGATATCACTTGCAATAGCTGTTCGAGGGCCCTCATGACCAATCCCCCTCTTCCTCGTCATTTCATCACAACACACACAATTTTAAAAAACTTATCATGAGACTCTTTGTAAACCTTCGAGGCAATGACTAATGAACAGACTTACCAACTCCACCACCTTCCCGTCGACCATCCTTCTTATCCGGGTTCAAACCAACTTTCACTCCTCTCACCCCCGCTCATCCTCCCTCCACACCAAATTCCCCAAGAATACAACCACAAGATCGGACTCGTCCTTCTCTCTCCCATGCTCAAACGCAGATGACACAATTACCCACCCCAACGGAAGAAAAGCCGCAGCCTATGCAACGTAGTAAATCCGTCACATTACCCGGAAAGGTGGGTTTGGAAGGGACTAGAGGGAATAAATTGGGGAATGAAAAAAGACATTTCGATCCGAGTAAAGAGCCTAGGTTGTTGTTGATCTAACTATTGGATCACTCTCAGGGAGAAGGTGTTGATATGGAAGAACGTCGTGAGGATTATTCTTGGGTTTGGAGATGGAATGTTTTTGTCATGGATTTCGAGATCACGTGGTGGAAGGTTTGTGGTATTTCAGGCAATGAGGGGTTTGAAGGATAGGAAAGTGATTAAGAGGTACCAGTAGTGTAGTCTAAAGGGGAGCTTGTGTATATTTGTTCACTTCATTGTATCATACTCTTCGTCTACTCTACTTGTGCTATATGACTCTACTTGTGCTATATGCAGAGCTGCTTTGCTGCTCGATGTCACGTGGTCATTCCCAAGTCTGCCAAACGATGAAGTACGTACCCGATGACCGAGTTTCAACAGCGTCGTCACTTGTCGCTTAACATCGTACTCGTACTCGCATTCGTACTCGTACTAGCACTTACTCTGAAAACACCTTCATATGACATACCCGCATCTCTATTTCTTGTCACCCTGGTGTGAAGCTCAAGCATAAACACCTCAAGATCGCACCCATATCCAAGAAAGTGCGAGCTCTCCCAACGTCGTCTTTGGTTGTCTTCAGAATCGGAAGACACCCAGTGGATCAGCATGACCATGCCTCAGCCAGCTGGTCCTCAACCTATATCTTTCCCACAGTATTTATGGAGAAAATGTAAATCTCAACCTGTGATACCTATAGGTGAGTAGTTCATTCACTTATCTCCACCTTTACTTCTTCTCTCTTCATCTTCAATACTTATCCTATAAAAACTGGCAAGAAATGTTATATTTCTTCCGTTCCATCTTTATTTATTTTTTCGTCAATCATCTCACAATCTACAATTGTCTTTTACAACAAGGTGTAATTACTTCATCTTTCTTGGAAACTACCTTGTATCTCATCTGTCCTCATCCACGTTGTTTTGTGTAAGGCGAGATGTACGACTGTCTTGTGTAAGTACCTACCATGTCTTTTTAGGAAATACAGGAAATGCAGGCGGTGTTGTTATGATCAAGAATGTTTCATTTGAAAGTGTCATTATACTGATGATAGGTATGGTAGCTACCGTCGGAGCGTTAGTGGGCGCAGCGTACTCCATGAGAACGGGTAATAGAAGATCTATGAATTATTATCTTCGTGCAAGAGTAGCGTGGGTTTTTCTTCCTTTCCCCTCTCATCCCTCCTCTACCCTCTTCGTGTTTTCCATACCTTCTTCCCGTCACTCTTCTTCATCGAGGATCTGTCTCACGGTCCTTCCTCGAAGATCTCCAGACGTCCTCGTGTCCCCTATCATTCGAATAAACATCACATCACATCCCTTCCATTGCATCAATCTTCTTCCCACTTTGATCCGACACAGAATGCGGTAAATCTTATAGATGGACGGTATATCAATAACAAGAGAAAGTAAGGCTGAACTCCCAGACTTCAAGGTCTCACTGTAGTAGCTATGATCTTATACGGTAGTGTGGCCATTACGCGTGAACAACAACAAGCGCATCATATTCGTGCACAAAAAGTCCTTGGTGAGTCACTTTGATGTCTTAATGTATCTTCATCCGGTCTTTTCTTGATTCGCCTCCATACTCTATCACTTATCTATATTCTCTCCTGATCTTTCCAGACTTCTTCTCACATCCCAGTCCCTGGACGTCGTACTTCTCAAGCCGTATTAGTTGGCTTGAGTCCACCTGTCATTCGTCATGACTCGTGGAATATCATATCCTGTCAGATGTAAATCTCTCAAATTGAGCTCAAAACCTGCTCAGATCACATGCTCCTTTTTTACAAGGCGGGATGGATCGAGTAACTCAGTGGATCAAATTAACCCCAAGGTGACTTACCCGCCGATATGCCAGTCCCTTCACCTGAACAAATTCCCATACGACTCAAACCTGACGAAGAATCCGAATGGTATCAATCCATGCGAGACCTTCGAACGATTCGTGAACAACATAAAATAGCCAAAGGTGAAGTGGATGAAGTTCCAGAAAGAAGGAGTGAACAGGATTTGGCTGCTTATCCTTTAAGAAAAGAAGATCGTGTCAAGGCCAGTGAATTCGCTCAGAGATTGAAAGAGGCGGAGAGGTTGCAAAAGGTTGATGATGAGGCTAAAGAGAAATGAGTCGTTTGTGTCATGTGAGAAGTAGTGTGAGTAGTGAGGAATGTATAATTGAAGAAATCATGCGTCTGCTCAAATTGTCCAACCTGCATTACACACCATACAGTACAAATAGAGTAGAGTACTGGGAATAGATGAAGAAAGAAGAATTGCTCAATAATGTATCTTGCATGAGACAGGTTTTGCATATGGGAAAAGAGGTGATGACATGATGCATGTTGAAAACTCAAACAATGGCTTCTAATTGCTGAGCTAGCTTGAGAGCAGGTCCCACCATGGTGGTCATAGGGACACCATGGGCGACACCTTGAGATTGAGCAGCTTCTATGGCAGCAGCTGCTGCGTCTGAGGGTAAACGACGAGCGGCTTGTCGGATAGAAATGGATGGAGAGTTGGGGAAGAATATTGTGGATGATGTAGGTTCGATTGACCATCCTCGCTGTGGGTCAGTAACGTGCCGTATCGATGCTCTCAAAGGGCACAAAGTCGCGAATTACAGCGACGAGGTTGGATTGCACAATGTGGGGATGAGACATTTCCTGGGTGACGTGGGGATGGAAGATGACGAGAGAAGTAAAGATGGCACTCACTTCAGTACAGAAATTGGCCAATTGACTTTTCTCCTGAGGCTTGTAGAATAGCAAGGAAGCAGCGCTGTCGAGGGGTAAAGAAGGGTAACTAGCTTCGATGGTGGCGGCAATTTGAGCTCTGACCAATTAGCCCCAGCAACATTTGAATCAACAGCGGGTCGTCCTCGAATCATGGCAATTAAGCTTTTTACTCCGACATGAAAAAACAAGGAACTGAAAGTGACCCACCTGACAGTACCCATGAGTCTCTCGAGAAGGAAAGCAAATTCCTCTCGTGGTACACGTTCCCTCGCTCGGTAAACTTTGTTATACGCCCCTTCCATCAACCACCGTTCACTATTGGTAAGCATCCTTCTTTCGTCCGTCACACCACAAGCCATTCAGTCCATACCCAGCTGTAGGTGAGGTGTAGAGAAGCAGAGAAAAAAGGTTATAGAGGACGTGGAGAGAAGACTTACAGATCCACAGGAAGCTTGACAAATGAATCATTCAACTGGTCCAACTGCAGAGTTTCCAAAACAGTATGGAAATCTGTCAAACGTCCTTCACTCAGTAATGCCAGTAGGTGTAATCCTAGAGTGATCGGACGAAGAGGGGAAGGAGGGATCTGAGGGAGATTCTCGTAAAATGGTTGAAGGGAAGAATTGTATTGCCAATATTGTTTTAAATTTCCTAATCGAAGAGAATGGAAGGCACCGACTTCAAGTATAGAACCTGGGTTTCAGCTTGGTCCTAAATCAAGTAACTGATCTGGCCATGGGGAAAGAGCGGTGATCATGAGGTATGCAAAGAAGCAAAAGACCTGAGGAATTGATTCATTTGAGGTGGCTGTGTCCATATGGGAACTTACGTGTCGCTATCAAATCTTGGGGATCGGCAGATGGTGGGGCAAAGTATAAACCCGATTGAGCAAGTTCTAGCTGATGCATGTCAGCTGAGGGTAGCAGTCAGTGATCAGATGACTCACTTTGAGTTTTGAAAGACGTTTGGTAACATCTTGCTTTGAACCTCCAGAAGCGTCGAAAGCGGCTTGAAGTTCAAGGAGTGATTGTTGCAAGGTGTGAGACATGACGATGGGAGATTAAGTATGACGAGAAGGCCAACTGCTTGAAATGGAGATATAGCAAACAGTCAATTCTACTCCTGTGGTTGGTATAGACGGAATAGGTTATAGAGTTGATATGAGAAGAGTGAGTTTGCACCACTTGAGGTACTTGATAGATTGACTTGATACGATTATTGAAGACACACACGCCAGCACCCAAGAGTGGTAAGAGGTGACGCCACACGTGTCACGTTTCGAATCGCCGAATAACTCCATATAAGAGGTTGTGGAGGTTCAAAAGTCTCTCAAAGTTCCTTCTCTTTTCCTTCTGGAATCCACTTTCTCATCAACTTTTCATCTTTTCACCTTTTCGACATTGACTTTGTCCCCCACAGTCTGACTCTATATTAGTGTCCTGACTTTTCACAGATACCCCTTTATTATCGTTTGATTCTGCTTCATATCACATCAGATACCCCCACTTTTCCTCGGGAAATCAAAAGTTAAGAAATTGTCAGTTGCTTCTACTTTAATTTCGCTTCTCATCTCCACTCATGTCTTCTGGCAATTGATTCTGAGGGAGAATGCTGATTTACAGTGCTTTGCCACTTTACGAGACGATCACGTAAACCATCATGTCTACCACGGCTCAAATGAACGGACATGCTCCTACGCCTGCTGCAGCGCCAAACTCTTCTTTGCCCAATGGGGAGACTTCGAAAATACAGGCCAGTGACGTTGGGTTTCAGTTTGTGCCTCAATACTAGTAAGTACTATGATACTTTTATTGGAGAACTTCGTTGATACTCTCAGCGCTTTCGTGAATAAGCATCCTGGTCGACTCCACTGCTTCTATAACAAACGATCATCCTTTTCACATGGTGTATCTGGTGAAGATGCCCCTATCGCCCGTGGTCAGATTGTGAGTACCTTATCATTCACATTCCCCCCGTATCACTGTGAACTTGCTACACGATGCACATGCGTTGTCGTTGGACTTCGCCCAGAGAGTACACATGTCAGCCAGTCTTGCTGACATCATCAGGAAATCCATGAAAGAATCGCCGCTCTCAACTTCAACCAATGCAAAGTCTTTGTCAACTCAATCGACTCTCAATCTTCCGCCAATGGTGGTGTCGTTATCCTCGTCATCGGTGAAATGTCAAACGGTGACGGTGCCCCGTGGCGCAAATTCGTACAGACATTCTTCCTCGCTGAACAACCAAATGGATATTTCGTGCTTAATGACATTTTCCGATACCTCAAGGAAGATGATGAGGAAGAGGTCGAGGAGCAAGCCGGTGTGGAGCAGCAAGGTCCTCTGGAGATCACTGTCCCCTCCGCTATCCCCGAAAAAATCGCTGAGCCGGTGAAAGAGGTCACTCAGGAAACCGCTGTCGAGCCCGCGCCCGAGCCTGCCCCCAACAACGAGCCTGCTCCTACTCAAGGTGCGGGCGTACCTGAGGAGGCTATAGTCGCCGCCGTTCCAGACAAAGATGTCAGCCCCGCCGACCCTCCGATCATTCACGAACCCGAAACGGCCTCTTCCACAACCCCAGACGCTCCCATCGAATCTACTCCTTCTATCGCCCCCGCTCCATCCGTCCGTGCTCCTTCCCCAGCTGCTCCCGCCGTCGCTCCTATTGCCAATGGCAACACTGCTCCTGCCCCCGCCACCGCTACCGCTCCCACTGCCTCTTCTGCTCCTGTCCCTGCTGCCGCCCCGACACCAGCTGCTCCTGCAAAACCTGCTGCGCCCAAGACGTGGGCGTCCATGGCTGCTGCTGGATCTGGGAAACCCGCTTGGGGAGCGGTCGCTGCTACTGCATCTCAACCAGTCACGACCACCGCCGCACCCGCCGCGGCCCCCGCTCCTAAACCAGCTGATCAGGCTGCTCCGGCCGCGGCTGCGGGCTCTTCTTCTGCATCTCAGGGACGACATTCATCCAACGACAACGTTATGAAGATCACGACGAATCAATGTTTTGTCAAAGTGAGTTCATCCTTCGCTTCCCACTCAGGGCATGTGCCGTTGTATCATGAGAAGGCTGATGTTCAGCTTCCCAATTGGTCCATTGACAATCCTACTGGAGGTGACTCTGTCGACGAGACTACTGTCCGAAATATCGCTGCGAGATTTGGTGAAGTGAAGAAAGTCGAGATTGTCAAACATAAAGCGTGTGCCTTTGTCGAGTTTGCCACTGTGGACGCTGCCCGTAAAGCCATCACTGCCTCTCTTCCTGCTAATCAGGGAGGTGAAGGTGGAGTGAAATTCAGCGATGGGAAACTCAACTTTGAGACTCGTAAAGAGAAAGATGAGCGTCGACCCAAGGGTACCCGCGGCGGTGCTCCCGATGGGCGTGGGCCAACCCGTGGTGGATCACGTATGGGAGGGAACAGAGAGGGAGAGGTAAACGGTCATAGCGGTGGAGGTGGTGGAGGCGGTGGTGGAGGTGGTCATAATGCTACCAATGGCGGTGGTGGAGGTGGATCGAACAGAGGTAGGGGACGTGCGAGAGTAGGCGGACCAGGAGAGGGTAGGCCTCAACAGCAGGCTAAATGACATGTCGCTTCTTCGTTTGATAGTGTGAGAGTGTGATTATATCCATTTTTTTCCCGTCAATGATGGCCAGCTTGTATATAGCATGAGGAGAGCATGGCATGAGATCGTGGGATGCATCGAGTACAATACATGTTTTCTAGATTTGGTCACTACGAGTACTTCTGACTTTTGCCTTCTTCTTTCCTGCTCTTTACTGAGGGGCAGATTGTGGTGGATCTGCCGAACGGAGCAATTGAGCTTTGTTAAGGATATACTTCCACAAACCCTCCACGATAGTCCTATCCCTTCCTTCGAGCCACTCTAATCGGAGCCCACTACCAGTCCTTCCTACTCGTGTGATCTCTTCTGTACGGAGTCCACCATTGGTATATCTTACCTGTGTGATCTCTTCTGTACCTGAGCGAGGAGACGACTCGAATATCAATCTAGCACGGAAGAGCGGTTCGGTCATCTCTGTCGAATTCGTTACGCCATGTCGTCGGGCGTGTCGTGACCATGTGTTTATCCTGGGTTCGAGCACTATTTCTTCAATTTCCCAATTGGACAATCTATCCCCTGTTCGATCCTCCTGATCCATCTGATCTCTCACTCTCGTCGTTTCTTCAGATCGCATGTCGTTTACTTCATTTCCAGAGTGTATAAAGGTAAAATTGAGATTCTTTGTTGAAACAGACAAGTTGGTCTCTGACTTTCTTTGAGTGTGGTCGTATGATAATTCGGGTACTTCGAGCAAATGAATATCTCTAAGAACGATCATGACGCGTTTTCGAAGTTCATAGATGGGAATAGGAGGATGAGAAATATGACTAAAAGTAGTACTGAGGGGTAAAAGTCGTGTGAAGGAAGTACCACCTATAAGATGACGTGGTCGAGTAAGTGACTGATTGTATCAGTTTGAGTATTGGGGTGGTGGGGTGTGAGAACTCACATCTGGTAAACGGATTCGAGTATATGACCAAGCTAAGATCCATCGGACGGTATGGGATGGTTTGAAAGATTGTACTAGGTAATTTGTACACTATTTTCAGTGATGTTTTCTTCCACATTCCGCCAAAATTTGATCCGGATACCCAGGGATCGATTCAGTCGATGGATCATGGTTGTGGTACCGATATGAAGACAGATATGGAGGGAGAGAAGACTAAAAGGGAGATGGTTTGCGGGGGCTGGGGAGAAAAAGGAGAAGGCTCACTCCTTGAGAACGTAAGTGGTTGACCAATGGAGAAAGAGAAGAGTATTTCCCGATTAGTGAAGTATACCATCTAACCCTATCAGTTACATAATTGGATATAGCGGGATGAAACTGGGTTGGAAAAGAATAAGAATGGAAGCTATTAGGAGATATAGGATGTAGAAAAGGGGAAAGACTTACGAACACTTTTCACCGAATTGTAAAGATTCATCAATCATTCGACGGACGAATTCGACTTCTCCACCTGGAGTGATTAATTCGACTTGGGCGCCTGTAGCAGCCTAAGGTTAGCGTCTGTCATCTTGATCTTGGGCAAATTTTCTTTTGTTCTCGATCTGGGGCTCTAGCATATTCAAGTACGCGGAAGAATGAACATGGTAGCGAGTACGTGAGAAAGGGACACGGAGATCTTTGTAACTCATCTGAGAGAGTATGGTAAGCAGAGATGAGTGAATGTCAAGAAAGTGTAGGACAAGAACACACTGATACAGCATCGAGAAGAAACTTTACTCACTCCGTATGCACCTGACTTTTTCATCGCTTGTCCCTCTTCCATCTCATTCATCGACCCGAAAAAAGGTGGATTGCAAATCATGAAATCCACCTCCCCAATCTCGTTCAACGGCAAAATCATGTCCTTCTCATTCCTCAACATCAACTTCACACTACCCTCTATTTCATTCTTTCTTAACGTCTCAGAAGCATGTTCAAATGACACTGAATCTATCTCAGTACCGTATATCTTCGCTTGAGGTCGAAGACGATGTAAGAGTAAAGGATAAATGGCTACATGACCCGTACCTCTTTTCCTTTAGTCTATACTTTACACTTCAAGCACTTACATGTCGACCACTCGTAATGGACCGGGATGAGTGAGGGGTAGATACCTCTCAAGTTCTAGTATCCGGAGTAAGTAATCGAGTCGGTTTGCGATCTGTCCTCAGCTATGTTCCTCACAGACAAGATTTTGTAAGCTACGGAATGGAATGAAGTTTTCAAGAGAAGAGAGGAGAAAGGACGAACTGTTGGACATAACCTATCTTTACGGATAGAGATGACATATTGCCAATCATTGTGTAAAAGAGCTTCGGTCAGAGTACGGAGAGAAGCAGAATCGTGGAAATCGATAATTGATCCATGGTCGGTATTCTGGACACTGAAAGTCAGCGAGCATGGATGATTGGAAGGATACTCACTATTGTTTAAGAGGAGGGTACGATTTGGCTAGAGAAGAAAAGTCTGGAGGATGACGGTATCTGTTCAGAGGGTGCATCTACCTCTGGGTGCATGACACTTTGTGACGAAGTGCGAGTAGATAGTGAAAGTGAATGGAATTTCAACTTGAGCCATGTCTTGACGTCCACTTAGGGCACCCCCCTAATCTCCTCCGGGCACCCCCCTCCAGGAACCTAATGCCTAACCTAACGAATTAGTAGATCATTAGTAAATTATGGATAATATCCTCCCAAGCTCCCTAACCCCCTG